CTCCTCATCGGTGTAGTTGGTGGCACGATCACGGTGGCTCAGAAGACCTGAACGCTCAGTTGGGATCTCATCCTCATCATGGCCATTCTCCGAATCCGATGATTGTTCATTCCGGTATTGGCTGGCAGCGATAATACCTTGTCTCAGTCTCTCGGGAAGTACGGGAATATCGTCGGGGCTCACGAATCCGCGTCCCGTGCTGTATCTCCTTGGGCCGCGAGTCTGGGTGTCGCGTTGTTTCCGGGACGGTTCGGTGACAGAGTGTGTGAGAGAGTTTTGAGGCACGCTTGCGGGTCTGCCAAAGCCAGCGGTAGCTCCCGGGATGTTCTCACTCTGGTCGGCGATCGGTGTGTGATCGTGATCATGTTCACCGGCCTCGATGTCATGGTCATGCTCATCGTGACCATGACCATGGTCGTGACCGCCGCCGGGTCCGTGGGAGTGGTCATGGAATAGCGCCAATCCAATGAGATTGGAAGCTAGGCCGAAGCAGCCAACAATGCAAACGAATCGGGGGTTTTGCACTTCCTGGGGTTCGAACAATCGTTGAGTTGCCTCCAGGAAAATCGACATGCACAGGGCGACTAGGAACACGCCATTGACCAAGGCACCAAGTGTCTCCGCTCGTTGCCACTGTATAGAAAGAAATCCAATTGTCAGATCGTCCGGGCTGGTGTTGGTAATCGACTTACGCCATAGGTGTACGTGTTGGAGGTGGTCTCCCGGTTTGCAACCTTGACTGCCCATAATCCGACACACAAGGACAAGACATCATTCAACTATTCGGGTTAACTTTAGCCAGGGAGTAAGATCGTAGATGGTAGCGTACCATGTGGAAGGAATCGGCGACAAGGGCAAGGGAGTGGACGGCATAACCTAGGAAATCACTGTCAGAACCCGGTCGCATACGATCAAGCTGTCAAGACACAAACCAGTGATTAATTCAAGCAAGAAAAATGCTATATCGATGACCAGCAGGATCAACATCCTGTTCGTTTTGGATAGCCCCATGATGGTAGCTTGTTGCGGCGCGCTCGTTGAGAGCTCCACGGAATAAAGGGGAAGAGCGTCTAATCAGAATAGAATACAGAGAGAATCTGTAATGGAAATAGGAAAAGAAAAAGTGAATGACAGAGAGTTAGACAAGAAGAGGAGGGGTTCAAAGGACGAAAAATGAAAGCGACGAGATTAAAATCAATGCCCGTTGACGCAGTGGAGCTCAAAATGGGGCTAGGGCGGAACAACCTCCGGTCTAGTCCGTGGTGGCGAGACTTGGTCTCTCTTTCAGCCACTTTGGACTTTTGTTAGGACTTAGGACTTTGTTATTTAAACAGTCAGTTTCATATAAAAAGTACTAAAAAGAAACAGGGATTGACTTTGATTTATAGCCAATTTTTGCCTTATTCCTTATTTCTTGTCTTTGGAGCTTTGATTCTCGAGAGACCTCCGGGGCCCACCTCCCGTGCTCAAGATCGACCTAGCCTTATGGGAAATCTCCCCATTGGATCGGACCTTCATTATTTTGTAGTGGCCTCTGAACCAATCCATGAGTCCATTATTTTCTATCCATTGATCCTGACTGCATGTGGTTGTATCTACTTTGAGAACCCCTGCAAAATAACCCTTTGGGAGAGCTGCATGGGGTATCCTACCAACCCGAAATTATTATGAAACCAACTGGCTCCTGTGGGACTGATCACTACAGCTGCACTACAGCTGCACTACGGATGTTATAGGTATGTTCTCCGTAGGTGTGCTTTCACTCCTTTGTTCTCTCAACAATACCCGCTTATTCGCTAGGCTATTAATAAACATTGATACCAGGATATCGCACAGTGTGAAAGCCCTAACTCGTAGTTTTCTCTAACTAACTATAGCCTAGTAACTTTAGCGCTATTATATTGCCACACACACATTGTCTGTGACTTTTTCCCCCATAATATGGATCCCAGAACAGTGGGGGCCAAATGAAGCAGTGCTTTGTCTTGTTAGATGCAACCTTCGAAGTACTCACATAGCTATATATGTTTCACACCACAACGGCATCTGTCTATTTTGTACATCCCAGCAAGTACTGTGCTTGTTTCCCAGCACTATATTTATACGATTTCTTGGGGTTGCTACGTGGTATTGCAGCAGCAGTCATATATACGCTAGGGTGTGATGCCTCTCATGCTTCTGTCGCTAAACTAGTCACGCAAGCTACTTGACACTATTGGGAACCCATGTGGGCTACAAGATTGATTACTGGATGAGAACGAGAATATCCACTGTACTCCGTGGTAGTGTTCTATGTAAAACTGACCTACTTTTTCCTACTCCGTACTATTCCACTTTCCATCCGACGCTGGTTCATCCGCGTAACTTCCAATGTTGACTAATGATCTCTCAACGCCCAATGCCCTTTTGTGGGTGTTGGTATAGTGTTGATGTGACTGCATGGGGGCTTGAAGCAGCATTAAATATGTTATTGGATGATTTATATGTTAGAGTAGCTGGTAGCAGATATATTACGTACAGGTTGGATGGCAATATATATAATGCTTCTGCATAGTTATGATGACATCAAAATATATGTATAAAAACTAAAACTGGTATGAACAGTAGCGAAATAAGCATTATTTATCACTACTAGACTAGTCTTATGTATTTGAAAACAAAGTATAGACCCATTGCGACGACGGTATGTCGCCAATGAGGCTGAAGACGGATAGAAATGGGTCCCACTTAGATTTCGCTTATAGTGCACATTTCGTCTTAATTTCAAAATAAGCATGGCCGGCTGGCCCAATGGCAAGGCGCTTGACTACGAATCAAGAGATTGCAGGTTCGATCCCTGCGTCGGTCAATTTTTTGGCTTTTTGATCATTTTATGGGTCTAAAAGTGGCCTCGGGGTGGGGTGGTGTTGCGTGTGAATTTTTTCTATGAAGTGGCTGGCATATGAGTGCCTGCGCTTTGAATCATGATGTTCCTTCTATGTCGATAAGATCAAGATATTCGAAAGAGCTAGAGGATAAAAAGCATGTTTGAAACCAACTTTTCCTTACGTAGATGAATTAATTGTGTCAAGGAAATTTGCACTGATATGATAGCTAAATCTACTCTGCACTGTGTTAGTGAAATCTAGGAGCACGACAAGTTACAACTAGTTATTGCATTCCAGTTGGTCTTTGGCCTTGTTTCCGTTTATCTAACCATATTGTCACTGACACTTCATCTTCTCTGGTAAGATGGCCGAGTTGGTCTAAGGCGCCAGGTTAAGGTATACCTTGACTCCACAACTAGCAATAGTTTCCTGGTCTCGCAAGAGGCGTGGGTTCGAATCCCACTCTTATCATGATAATTTTTGCTTTTTGTTCTTCTCAAACCTAAACTCCATACTTCGGATTAATAATAATCCGGAGGACGATTCCAGAGTCTCCGAATCGATGAAAGCCGGACTCTTCCACTGAAAACCGGACTATTCCAGAAGATTCGATCCAGCGCGCGTTGGACCCCATCAAGAAATATAAATACCCCCTTCTTTCCCCCTCGAATTCCTCTTCTTTTTTTTTCTTCTCCATCCTAGTGCACGGGTTTTACACGTATCAGTGAGGAGACATCCGAGATCGTGTTTTTGCTAGTTGAAAACTACCAAAATGACTACTTCAAGTGAGCTTAATCGCACGCTTGGGAATTTTTGAAACTTTCCTGCCTCAACTCCTTGGCTCTTGAGCCCTCGAGTCGAATTTGATTCTTTGATGGGAGACTTCGGTCACCCTCGAGGATCTTTTTAAGTATTTTTATTACTTATTACCTATGCTAGTGGCTCTTAGAGAAGACAATTATTATGGATACTTATGATTACCCTCTACCCCTTGTAAATATTTGTTTTGTTATTTCAAATATAGAGCATGTCTCGCGTCTCGAGTACCAATGTTATGATAGAGTATCGCGTCCCTCCCCGTTCCTCGGTCTCGTATACTATACCATAGTAATTCTGGTTTACATAGTAAAAAATGCACCATTTTGATTAGAAAAAACCGTACATATCATTGGTTTCTATCGATTTACTCTACAAATTGAGTGTCCTGCTTCTTAATCCTTCCGCGCGCGCTTTGCTCCACGTCCACGTCCTCGACCACTGCCGGCTTCACCATTGCCGGTTCCCCGTCCACTACCCCGTCGGGCCCGTCCACGTCCAACGCCCACGTCCAACGCCCACGTCCACGCCCACGCCCGCGGCCCCGGTTCTCCTCCTATGACGAAGGATCTCGGTATACAGAAGTATCTTGGGTTAGCGCATCCAGGAAGACTGCGGTTGCTATGTGGTGGCCTAGGTACTAGCCTAGATGCTTAGAAGGTTCCCAGCAATGGAAGATAATGTATGTAAACCAGAATTAGAAGATTAATTTGTTTGATCTAATCTATATGACAAAAGCGACTTAATTTTATATGGTGTTTACATACAAATTGCAGGTAACTATATACTGTCGTCCTATAGTGTTAGGGGTAGTTTGGCACGAAGGCGGTGTAAAAATTGGAAGGCGGTGAGTAAGGTTGTAGCTATCGAGGTAAAAGCGGTACCAGATTAGGAAATCGGTAGTATTAATACCTTAATTTTCAGGCAGGAAGTGTCCCAGTATCCAAAGGGGTGTCCCTCTATCAATCCCCTATTCTTATAAACGTTTTCTGTAGCAAACAAGCAAATAGCAAACATGCATGCATGGGGTGATTGTTCAACAATAGCTAACTAGTTATTACTACAGCTAGCCATATAACCTGTAGGCAGGATTGGCGTTACTTGAGAATAAAGTCCACGGTCTCTGATATGGATAGGTTAAGATCTGCCCGCATAGGTTGATAGCGATTTTAAAGCCTTATGTATAGTGTGAAAATTGGATGACTATTCTTGAAGTTACTTTGGGACTTCACCGAAACACGCAGTACCTCTTTGTTATATGTAATGCAACCTGGTTAATATAGCTTCGGTCTATATAGTATACAAACTGTTATATATTTAAGCAAGCTTCTTCCGAACTTCCAAAATTCTCTGGGTCGCAGCAGCAAATGACACCGGGTCCAACGACCCATCTCCCAACGCAGCAAGTAGAGAATTAAATATATCTTCCCCCTGCGTGACATCCTTCTTAGCTGCAAGCAAGATATCAACACCAGCCTGCGCAGCCAACAAACCACGAGCAGCCTGATCGCCAAACGCCTCTAACGCTCCCGCCTCAATCGCATCGGTAATAGTGACACCTTTGAAGCCAAGTCTATCCCGCAACTCATTTTGGATAATAGTCTTGCTCAGACCAGAGGGATAGGTCGGGTCCAAAGCGGGATAGATAGCCCACGAAGTCATGACCACGTCCACACCTGCCGCAATGGCCTTGGTATACGGTGCCATATCCACCTTGCGCAGCTCTTCGAGAGTCAAGTCAATAGTGACGGGTTGTAGATCCGTATTCTCGCCTGCGCCTGCTGCACCAAGGCCAGGGAAGTGCTTGGCAGATGCGACGATACCGGCTGATTGTTGCGCGCTGATGAATGCAGACCCGCATGTTCCGACGACGCGGGATGAGTTGCTGAAAGAGCGCTGGGAGGCATCGGCGAAGTCTCCGGGTTCGCGATAAACATCCAACATAGGTGCCAGATTGAAGTTGTTTTTGAATTCCTTTAGGGTGCTTGCGGCATCTTTGCCCATTTGTGTCGCTGCTGCTTCCGGATCGGCGGCCTGGCCGACTTGCTTAGCGCTCTCTACTGGTCCGCCGGCCAATCGACGCACTTTTCCGCCTTCTTGGTCTGTCATGATGAACAGAGGACTGCCTGAATAGTACGGACTTTGCTTATAAGTCTCTTGGAAGTTATCGATTGTGGTTGTGAGGTTATCACCGGCATTTTCGCCGAACAGAATGATACCGCCGACTTTGCCTTCCTTGATCAGGTCGAGGAGATGGGCTGGTGGCTCAAGGCCGGGATAAGAGAAGATGACATGGTGACCAATTTGCGCCTGAAGATCGCTTGGGGAAGCAGCTGAAGTTGAAGGCGCAAGAGCGAGGAAGAATGGGAGAAGAAATTGTGGGGAGAATTTCATTTTGATTATAGGCTGTTTGAACTGCCCATCTTGTGGTTATCATTATTGCCTATATAGCGCCTCTCGCGGTTTGTGAACACTTTGAGAACTCCCACGTTGACTTATGATTGCTCTAGATTGTCCAAATGAGGTTGCGAGGGATGTTACATTGATCGTCACCGAAGATTCCCAGAAGGGGAACTCACCCCTCAATGAGCTTACTATCTGACCTCGGAATTTGTGGCATTTAAATTGGTTGTTTCATGTCACCTTACTCATTAATGATAGGGATTTGAAAAGGGGACTCGTTGAGGTTCCCCAGTCTACCGTTTTGTGTAGGAATATGATCTCTACATTATGTTGTATGTTGTATAGTTAACTAGCGATATCTTGAGTTATGGAAGTCAAGTTTATGTCTCGGTCGACATTGAAAAAATAAGCAGTTGGAAGTGGGTAGTAAGGTTTGAGTAACTAGTTATTTGGGATTCTATCTCAATGCTCAACATCTCAAATGCGGTTTCTTTAAGAGTACACCAGGAACTTTAGAACCCGTACTCTTGGGCCATGAGAATGGATACTGGGAGACCAGGCAGCAAGATCCAGGTTTTAAGCACGTGCTAGCACTGCACTAAAACGCATTTTACTGCACTAATTTCAAATTTCCCCCTAGCTACTCGCCCAAATTCCAACCTTCAGTGCAGAAATGATCGTCAACGTTCTCACGGCCAACGCGGTTGACCTGCAGCAGCTACTCGAAGAGAAAAAGACCACGAGTGCTCATATTGTGGAAGATTACTGGGCGCAAATCCATCGCTATGAGTCTACCCTCAATGCACTGATATCGCCTGCCCCGCGGGACCAGGTCCTCGAGATCGCCAGGGCTCGGGATGAGGAGCGCCAGAAAGGGCAAATCCGGGGCCCATTTCATGGAATTCCCATAATTTTGAAAGACAGCTTTGTCACAGCGTCGGAGCTGGGCATGAGCACCACAGCTGGATCATATGCGTTTATTGGAGCCAAGGCGTCAAAGAACGGAGCTATCACTCAGCGGCTGATTGACGCTGGCATGATTATCTTGGGAAAGGCTAATATGACTGTGAGTGGACGTTTGGTTTTTTAGGGGATGTTATTGGATTGACCATTGTTCTAGGAATTCGCTGGCATGAAAATGACCATGATGATGCCCGGTTGGTCTGCTCACGGCGGTCAAACTCTGTCGCCGTATGTTGGAAAGATAGAAGATAATGAGAAGATACTTGGCCACTCGGTGAGTGCATAAAGTTACAGATGTTGTTCATTTGTACTGATACTAAGCAGGCTCCTGGGGGCTCATCCACTGGTTCTGCGGTCGCTGTAGCCGCCGGATTTAGCCCTCTTGCCATGGCCACTGAGACCATAGGTTCTATCGTGACCCCGTCAACACGGGCTGGTCTTTATGCACTCAAGTCTACTATCGGGGCCCAAAATACTACTGGGTTATACACCATGACGGAATTCTTCGACAGTCCGGGCCCTATGGCAAAGTCAGCAGCTGATGTTCGCGTTCTTTCTGAAATTCTACTCGGTCGCCTGTTTACCTCCCCCAAATTGGGTTCCTGGGAAGGTCTTTCGGTGGGCTTCCTGGACCCAAATATTTGGACCTTATCAGTAGACCTTTGTACGCAACTTGAGGGGACAGCAGAGCAAATGGTACGTCACTCTCATTTCATTAAAACTTTCACAGCTTTAACAGTTGATTTTAGGCAGACGAGTACGAAGAGACAGTTTCCGCTCTACGAAGCGGAGGCTGTACTCTGAAATACCCAATCCATTGCAAGGATCCCTCAGTCTTACCGGCTACTATATTGCCAATCGCATGTAGGTCGCTGCAGTCCCGGTATCATATGAAATTAGGATGACTAACCACCACTAGATTGGGATTTTAGGAATCTCTGCATCCCTAGATTTATTCGCTCTTTTCACGAGTGCTCTGTAACAAGCGTGGCAGATATAGTCGAGTTCAATGAAAAGAACAGCGACAAAGCCCTTCCAGCTCGTAGGTCGACAGGAGGACACGCTCCTAAGATTTTACAGTGAAGAGAGAGCTACTAACAAAACGCAGCATTCGTCGAGCAGAATGATCTACAAGGGGCAATGGCCGCCACTGAAGAAAAGGAACAAATAGATGAACTGAAACAGAGCCTTCGCAGGGCCGCGAGAGCTATTCTGGATGACCTATTTGACAAGGAAGGAATCAATATTCTGGCAGCTCCGGGAGACTCCCCGTTATGTGTTCATGCTTCTGCTGCAGGTAATACTCATCAATTACACTTTTGAATCGCCGTTGCTAATAAAATCAGGGTATCCTGTCGCCACAGTTCCAATAGGACAACTTCGCTACAATGGCCGGCCGTTCGGTCTATGTCTAGTGGCCAGAGCGGACGAGGAGGAGACACTATTGCGGTTCATGGCAGTGTACGAAAAGGTTGCTAAGCCTCGTCCGGTTCCGAATTTTGAATGACCGTCGTATAAAATAGTCTTTATAGCCTGTCGACATTGTGTACTCAAATTGCCAGGAGTTGAGTTTCTGGGAGTGAAATTCTTTATCTCGTTTCGATTTGCGCAACCTAGTGAATTGCGCCATATTATTTGCAAGATACTCTTTCCAGCTAGGGTGGAAATTAAGACCTAGAGTTTTGATGACGTCTAGGGTATTTGCGTGTTCATCCCCGGGTTTATATCGTCGTGTTTTCTTATCCCAACTTTTGACTTCGTGCCGACCTTGATTTCTGCTATGCGGAACAGATATGAACTCGATAGATCGAAAAGATCAATAGACATTCGTGACCTCGACGTAGATATATACAGCGTAGCAGACCTAAGCCGGGAATAGCAAAATGTCTCTCTGTTTCTGCCCCATGAATTGTCTTTTTAGGGAAAACAAATATGTGACTCTTAACTCCCTTCAGTATACTTGCATCGTCTTCTGGTATAGTATCAGCCTGACCGAGCCGGCGAATGTTCTCGACATAATGCGTCCTCCAGGTCCTGATGCATGGAAATTGGATATATACATATGTATTATTACAAGAAGCTCAACGTGCCAAACTTAATAATTCAAGCTTTGTGCTGGCCGAGTGCCGAAAGGGTAATACTACAGGGATTACATTCAGTGCGGAGAACTGATTTTTGTTGTCGCGCGTCTAAAAGCGAAACCAGAGAAAGCAAACCAGCAAATCTACGATCCATCAAACCGGGATCAACAATGTGACTGAACATATCAGTAACCAGGTTAAAACGAACTTGGCTGGGCAGCGACATGTACTACACAGAGCCCAAGATCTTCGGAGAATATGCATTGACAACAAGACATTGCATTGCATTGAATATTTTGTTTTCATACGAACTCCGGAGATGTCCAATCTGAAAAGCCCCTGAATGAGGCCAATGGGTCAACGTCGCCTCCGATTTCGTCAGCCCCACTCCTCACAACTTCCTAAAAAGGAAGCTCAGAGTAGAAGTCTTGGCGCGGAGATTTAACCTCCCAGAACCCATTCCAACCCACAAATCACCTTGTCTCCCTCGTGCTAAAAATTATGGTAGTCTTCTAGAAACGGTCAATAATAATCAGATACGAGTACAACATACACTTTTACTGGGTCTGTCGGTCTATACCCCGTAGTTGTTGGGGCGTCATTGCTTAGAAATGGCCACTCACTATAGTTATAAAAATCTTTTCATCACGCATACAATGGCGCACCGCTCACTTATAATCCAGCACTAAGCAAAACACACACACTTCTGACAAAGTATCATGGGAGCGCCAGAAGCTCCTGGCCCGAGCAATGTGGCCATACATCATGACCCGGAACAGGCCAGGATAAACCAAGAGACTATCGATTTGGAGAGATTGGGAAGAGAGCGTCCCAAGTGCTTCGCTGGCCCTTGGTCAGAAATTTCGTTCTGTCTTTCGATTTTCATGTCCCAAATTCTTGCAGTAAGTCATCGATGAAGGTCGTACACTACGAGGGAAAATTCTGACATTTTACTAGGAATACTACATCTCAGGCTCAAATGTCCTCCTTCCAACGCTCATCAAAGAGCTTGACCTTCCCGAAGCCTCGGCCATATGGCCGTCTACCGCATTATCGCTGGTAGTCACCTCGACGCTCCTTATCTTCGGCAGATTAACTGACATGTTTGGCGGATATCTCATTTACAGCGGTGGGGCTATTTGGCTCACGATATCGTCCATCCTATGTGGTGTCTCCCAGACATGGCTGATGTTGATTATTTGTCGAGCGTTGCAGGGCTTTGCTCTGGCTGCTTTTCTTCCTTCGGGAATTATGGTTCTTGGCAGCACCTACAGACCGGGACCCAGAAAGAACATCGTCTTCAGTATTTATGGCGCATGTGCAGCGCTAGGATTTTTCGTGGGAATTTTCTTCTCCGGGCTATCTGGTGAATATCTCACCTGGAGATGGTACTTCTTCTTCGGGGCGATTCTCTCTGCCATCACATCAGCTCTGTCACTCTTCTCCATTCCGCGTGATTATTCCGAGATAAGAAAACTGGGCATCCAGATGGATTGGCCTGGTGCGTGTCTTTCCGTCCCAGCAGCTGTGCTCATTGTTTTTGCCATTGCGGACAGTTCCTATGCACCGCAGGGATGGAAAACGCCATATATCCCCCTGTTCCTCGTTCTTGGGCTCATTCTCCTCGGAATCATGGTGTATATGGAAGGATGGGTTGTGAAGAACCCTCTGCTTCCTGGTGACGTTTTCCGAGTCAAGTATATGCTGCCTCTGGTCATCGCTTTGCTATTCCTTTATGGCACATTAGGCATATTTTTACTATATGCCGTTCTTTAGTGAGTTATATCCTGACTATCTAGCTCAGGCTGGACCTTTTGCTGACAAAATCTACAGCATGTCTGATATAATGGGTGCTTCCCCAATGCAAATCGTGGCATGGGCTGTGCCTATGGGAGCTGGCGGTCTTATTCTCTCAGTCGGAGGAGGAATGATCTTCCACAGAGTCCCAGGAACGATATTGATGTTAATATCATGTCTCGGCTACGTGGGTTCTGGACTGTTTTTCGCCGTCATCCCTATTGGCGGAAATTACTGGGCTTTCGTATTCCCCGCGATGATATGCGGCACAGTCGGCATTGACATCAGCTTCAATCTGGCCAATGTCTTCATTACGACAAACCTTCCAAAATCAAGGCAAGGATTAGCTGGTGCATTGATCAACTGCACTTTGCACATGGGAATCGCCGTGATGCTTGGTTTCGCAGACATTGTTCATACCCAGACTTCCGAGTTGGGTACCGTCGACAGCTTCAAGGCTGTGTTTTGGTACCAAACCGGACTAGCAATCCTAGGTATGCTTATTGTTGCCTTTTTCGTGCGAATCCGAGAAGCCAAGAGTGAGTTTACGCTTGATGAAAGAGAAGCAATGGCAGCAGAGGGCAGTGGAAGAGCTGTCGAGGCCTGACGCGTTTGATACCCTTTGTGTTGTTTCGATTTAGACATAAATATTTAAGATAAGATAAGATAAGACCGTCCTCATTTATAAAATTCAGAGCAACTTCAATATGTATTCCATATCACACACGGTCGACATCGCCATTCTATTTATAGCGCAGGAGCATGGGATCTCCGATTGGTCACCGGATCCACAGTCACATGCCTGGCCCTGATGAGTCACGTGGCATAACTAAACCTTGGCATGCATGGCCGCGGCAGTAATCCACAGTGCTACTTGATGATGTTTTAGGACTTTTTGTACAGCGTCCTCTACTCGCCATTCCCGGAGTTCAGAAATATAGACCACAATGTCCACTTTGGCTCCCGGATGACGAGTGAAGCTTATGACAATGTCGGTCACAACGATTCCGCTCGAACCCCTTATATCGACGGCACGTGCGGAGACGAGTCACGCCGGCGCAGCCATCCGAGACGTTCAATATGACCGAACACAACCGGAGAAGAAAGGGAACGTGGGGATGATGGTCAGCGACAGTAAGGCTGCGGCGACCGTGAACTTCTCTGGCACATCATCGTTTAGAGAAAAACAACCTTCGTCCGGCCTTCATTTCCTGACTGCAGAACACCCGCTTTTCCCACCGATGCCGTCGTATGGCCCACCGTCTGTATTGCGCAGGGTCCAGTACTATGCGTTCATTGCTGCCTCGTTCTTTCTGTCACTGTGCTTTTTGACAGTCATATTTGTCGGGGCCCTGGTTCACACAGCCGGAGTCGCAATTTCGGAAACTCGTCTGCGATGCAGTGGTCACAACCCAGACACGAGGAGATCGTTCTATACAGAGGAACAGGCGCGTAGGAAGGCCCGGGCCAATGCTGACCGGAGATGGGCTCTGCGCCAACAGAAGAGGGATATGGACGAGGAACATGGGTCCGACGAATGCCAAGAATTCCCATCATTGGAAGGAGGCAAGGATCCTGTGGTTGGTGACGTCGCATACTATGCCCGCCGAGTTGGTCTCGACGTGGAAACATTTCGTGTTCAGACAGAGGACGGTTTCATTATCACCCTGTGGCACGTGTACAACCCCCGGGAGTATGAGGCATTGTCACCAGAAGAACGGCGTGAGCGTGGACCTGATGTTTTCACCAAGTCAAGAATGCCGAATACATCTCGTCAATCTAACCGTCGGTATCCTGTTCTCCTGGTCCATGGATTGCTGCAAAGCGCTGGTGCATTCTGTACCAACGACGAGGATAGTCTGGCATTTTATCTCTGCAAGTCAGGGTATGATGTTTGGCTAGGGAATAACCGCTGTGGATCACAACCCGAGCACACTATTTTGTCGACCGATGATCCGCGTATGTGGTCTTGGGACATTCGGCACCTCGGGACCCTGGACCTGGCAGCACTCACATCACGTGTTCTCTACGAGACTGGCTTCAAAAAGCTAGGTCTCGTGTGTCACTCCCAAGGAACTACGCAGACATTCGTTGCTCTAGCCAAGGAACATCGTCCTGAGCTGGGTGAATACATCTCGGTTTTCTGCGCGCTTGCACCGGCTGCGTATGCCGGCCCACTTGTGAGCAGATCGTATTTTCGGTTTATGAGCCTTCTCTCTCCCGCGATGTTCCGAGTAATCTTCGGTATCCACTCTTTCATTCCCTCCATGATGACCGCTCGGCGTCTACTCCCGCCTAGGATATATGGAACTTTAGCATATTGGGTGTTCTCCTCTTTGTTCGACTGGTCAGACACGCGTTGGGAGCGTGACCTGCGCCATCGAATGTTTCAATTCGCTCCTGTATATGTCAGCGCCGAGTCAATGCGCTGGTGGCTGGGAAGCGACAGCTTTGCAAAACATAAATGTATTTTGTCCACTGACAACGAGCTCCTCCAAGAGACAAACGCGGGCCCGCACATGCGAGACCCCGTTTCTGATCACGGTGACGATCCCGCAGACGCTTGTTTAGGAACTTCGGCTCCGAGCCCATGGTATGGCCCGAGAACACCCCCATTTGCATTCTGGATCGGAGGCTCCGATGCTCTTGTTGATGGTCGCCGGCTTCTGGATCGCTTCCAAAGCGGTCGTGAGCCCCATGTGAGTCTCGTTCATTCGAAAATCATTGAAGAATATGAGCATCTTGATGTACTTTGGGCGATGGATGCGATCGAACAGGTTGGTAGGGAAGTCAGTCAGGTCATTTGGACAACTGTGCCTGATGATGCACGTCAGATATGTCGTACCCCGCGCGGTTTGAATCTAGACATTGTAGACAGGGGTTAGCTTACATTTGGTTAGATATTCTTGTATATTCTGTCATAGAGAACATTTTGAGCACAGCAACACTTTTCATTCCTATATGGGTAAGACCACCACCAAACCGCTTCACATATTTTACCAACATATAATGGCTATGTTTACTTGTACCCTTATCGCTGGGTGCTTCTCAGTGGACCCTACGGACTTTTTCCACAGCTGTCTTCTATAAATGAGGTTAAGGCGACTGCCCGAAACCTTGAAACACTTATCATGTTGTCGAAACCTGTCTATGTTCCGGTACACCTTGCTCTGGCACGACTTGCAATGCCATCAACATCCTGTCTTTTTCCGATGGATTATGGGGGAGACTGCGAAAACCACGCAAAGCACATGAAAGGACATACAGACCCAGCAAGAATGTCACCTTGACTCGTCAGTATAGGATAGACAGGTTTTGTATCGCTCCCGTTTTAAGATCCTGCGTCTTATCTTACACTTTGAGTTATGAATGATAGCTGTCTTGCAAGTATAGATACTATAGCACAGGCACATAGCCGACATGAATGGAATGATCTTGGTACCAGGCTTCATGTTTTTAGCGCTTTTTACACTTCCAATGGAGTTGGATCTCGATCGTTTCTCTCGATGTATCCTTTATACAAATTTGTAGCTCTATATGAAAGTGAGCCGGTTCTGTGCTTGCCCTTGCCCTAATACTCCTTTCGGTCAGGTACAGGTACCTGTCAGGTGACAATGTACATCTGCCTGATGCCTTCCTATCACCAAGAATCGGGGGGTGAAGTATTCTCCTTTTAATTGCTATCCTACAAATAACAACAGAGTTTATTCCACTTTTTTATGTTACTAACATTAAGAATCATGTATTCAGGTCAGAGGAACTGCTGAATCCAGCTTTGAAGGGCTTCAGACCAAGTCAATCTAAGCTCAGCCAGGCCCACTCAACCCCGCAATGCCCCGGATTTGGGTGGGACCGGGCCAAATCCTCCGGACTCCACCATAACATTTCACTTTTATCGGATTATCTAACATATAGTTAAGTATATAGAGATAATGGAAGCAAACATACAGTGGTAAGTATTCTCTTCTCATTTAGGCTCGTCTCTGCGTCACATTTCAGGGGTGCCCGCCTACAGCAGGGTGATCATCCCACCCAGACAGCCCCTTATTCGGTTGTGTGTCACAATTTACACAGTTGCGAGTAACTGAGGGTACACAGGTACTTACACTGCCATAATATACGTGTATTTGTGTACTTTTGGTCTACCTGCGACGGTAAACCTGACCAATCGCATACAGTCAAGGCTAACCAAGACCACTTCGACACGATTCAAGACAATGTGGGGGAGAGGGCTAATGCCGCCCCATTATGATCGACTGGAACTTCCCACTATCAATTAGAGGGGCGGTTATAATTTACTTTATAGCCCTACCATCGAGTCTCTTCAATGTTTACAATTCTGTAAACAAAGTAGTCTGTACTTCAAGGTAGGTATTGCAATCCATGGAAACACCACTGACTTGAACCATCACCGCGACATCAATTCGAAACCATCTAGGTCATCAGGGGACACATGGATCCTGAAACTCAGTCGACAACACCAAGGTTGTGTGACGCATCGAGGCCATTGGCTTGCCACCGTACAGGGGCGCCCTAGATCCATGGAAGTCACCTTTCACCCAGTCCCAAGTCCTAACTGACTCCCAACCCCGCATTCTGTCAGATGATGCCAGTGTATATAAGTACTTCTTTCATGTCCCTCCAGCTTGTGTTCCTCTTTGCTTCCCAAGAACTTCTCCCCTCCATCAACTTCCATCAGCCTTGCAACATCAACTTGACTTTTCCATCAACACACTATCCAACACACTACATCCAAGATGTCGGCAGCCATGGGTCCTCTCATGCAGCAACTACAGGCCCTCCCTGCCCGCTCAAGGCAGGGTCTGAATAATCTGCGCCAGCGTATATTCCAGCAGGGTATGTTATTCCCTCTTGGCCTCCGACCGTCTCATCTACCTTGGTCCTCATATCTAGATATACTAACACCACTCAAAAGGAGAGAGACAACCCAAGGAAACCAACCTGTTACGCACTTCCCTCAGTGCTCACCGTCCTGTCTGGATCACTGCTGCCGGCGGTCTGTACACCAGCATGGCGGCTGTGTACCTCACGATGCGATATCTGAAACGTGTGGCTCGGTAGAGGTGCCATCGCCAGTTCAGTCGGTCACTGCTACCTACCTGACTCGTCTATCCTCGACTACATGACTCTACAACCCTTCCATATATCTTCCACTACTCTTCACACACATACCCCTTTCACTCCTCGTCGCCTTGTATCTATCGACAACAGCTGTGTCTGATCGATATTTATGTGTGACTGAAATACTTCAGGTTCCAGTTTGGGTATTTCTTTCTTTTGTCCGATCGGTCGTTGACATCTTAGCTATAGTCTTGCAAGGTAGACCTGGCGTTTTTGTTTCGAGGGCTACTTTACCCTAAATCGATACTATCACAATGAATACTTTACAAATACATCTGAATGTGTATTATATTGTACGTTTCTAGCTTAATGTCTCAACTTGCTGTCACTCGTGTTCTATATAGAGTTGTCGCATCGCATGTCATGGTAAGACTGACATCGCTCAGCCCCAACCTTGGAAGGTGCCGGCGATGACCAAGAAGGTTTGAAGAGTGCGTGGTAATAAAGACTGAATAACACATTGTCTAAACAAGCACAATCCAGAAGGCCATACTAGACCCAACCCCAGCGATAGGGCGATCTTCAAATGAGGGGCGTTATAAACAAAGCGAAGGCCCAGATGTTTTTTTCCTTTTTCTTTTTTTTTTTTGAAATAGGGCACACCACGTCGAAATGTATAAATACCCAACGTAATATCCCTCCCAAAATTTGGGATTATGTACCAGTACAAATAAACAAGTCACTTGAAGTAGACAACGAGAAATGACAGATCCACTCGGCTGAAGAATCCACCTCCATAATATCGAGATGCTCCACTTCGCCATCGCCCAAAGGAATCAGGAGTGCGCTCGGCCCCTCGCTTCCACCATATACGATACATGATATCTCAGGCAGACACTTGTAAACAACCCTGCTAGCCTATCATATCTCTTCTCTTACTCAGGGCGTCGTCACTGTGCTGGGGTTAGCCCATACGATGATCTCATTGTTGATGGGTGCATGCGTTAGTTTCTGTCTCGGTGGCTTGGCGACCCCGCGTTTGTGTTTCGTGCGGAATTTCCTGATTGGGTGGTTGGCGAACGCAATGTGTTTGTCTGCTCATACTTGCAGGTAAAGCAAGTGAGTATTTGCGAGGATAAACCGGTCTTTAGAAAGGTTGTATGATCAAAGCCTTAAAAATATATTGTCTAGGACATTGTGACTTGTGTGGTTCAGCTGAGTCATGAGTTTGTTTCATTGGCGAAAGAGTGAGACAAATTAATTTTCGTTATCATCTCCATAAGTTTTTGGAATTGTTACAGAGTAGGTGCGCCTGGTCTGATCAAGGGCTCCTACATTATAGTATACTCCACAGACACGTGTGAACTCGCCTGATGTGAACTCGTCTCTCCATCCCTAAGATCGCTTGAGTGAGAAGAAACCATTACTTCACTCGAACTCTGTTTCTTTTTGGTTTTCACCCTTATGATTACGAATGTAATTAGCATATGGGAAATGGTCGGCCCCCACCGGAGTCACGGTCTTCCCCCGGAATTGCCAAGCTTTGTTTTAAACCCCGGTGGGGCCAACCTTAACTGTCGATGTATGAATCTAGCATGGCCGATTTTGAGGCCTCAGGAAAGAAATTGCCATTAAATAAATAAATAAATAATGATACAGGCGATGCTAGGCAACAGGTGACTGATTTATTTGCAAATTCCGGTGTCCCACAAATTCTCCAAGCCTGAAGGTTGGTTATTTGTCTTGAGGCGGACAAGCTAGATATCAGATGCTATGGTGAACTCGAAAAATTCCCATAGACGATATGAAATGATGCGAAGGAAAAACGGAAAGAACTTTGCTTGTCAAAAGTCGGTGGCTGGGAAGGGGGAAAGGGACACAAGGCAAGTGGGAGATGAGGAAAGTGAAGGATGATTCTGGTTGGAAAGGGGGAGTTATCTGATGAGAAGCCCTGAAGGCAAACAGGAGGAAGTTGCAACCTACCATATCTATTTCAGTCAACTATGTCACGATCACTTTCCGATTTAGGCAAACCATCCGCTTCAAATTCATTTTTTTATTTACTCTTGTGCTTATTCTCATGCCTTTGCAGATGACAAAGTGCCAGCTTCCACAAGCGATTTTACAAAGGCAACAACTGCACGGATTGCAATTTCAGCAATTTTATCACCGTCTCCAGAATCGGGATCAAATGAACACACAGTGAGGGACTTAGGCGTAGCCTTGCGCGGCACGAGACCCATACAAGCCACCAAATCCTCTTCAAACATACCACCCGGTGAGGGGAAGTCATTGACTTTACCATAAGACTCATCAAGCACATCTAGGTCAAGATGCACTAGAGCTGGACTATAAGAGCCCGACTCCAAATGTTTCCTCATCTCAGCAGCGAAATCCACCTTCCGCTCGGTTTCACCCCATATGGAGGTCATACCTGCCTCAATGACTCTCTGTCGTTGAATCTCACTTTGATCCCGTAGACCGCAGTAGAGGAATCGTCGGTAGGTCATGGGGTGATATCCGGGTACGGTGTTGATCAAGGTTTTCCAGCTCTCTCCACGCAGCATGGACAGACCCATCGCATCGAAATATCCGTTCTCGTTCACGTCCGGTGAATCAAGGTCATCATGTGCATCGAAGTATATGAAGCCGAGATCTTTGATATTCAGGCCACATGCAGCGCCGACACTTGCCATACAATTCCCGGATAGGATCAACGGGAAGGTACTTTGAGCTATTGCTTCGGTGACGGCAGTTGAAATTCGGCGCAGTAACTCAAAGCTACGGCCGATCTCGCCTTCAAACTCGTCTACCGAGCCGATTTCTTGAAAATTAATTTTAACACCTAGCTTTTCGAGCGCTTGGGTGATTCCGAGGGACCGAATTCGGTGGGGACCGTTGCCGACTCGGTGATCGCGAGCTCCGACGTGGTATGGAGAGGAAATGATGGTGATCGCATTGGCAGCCATGGTGAATAGTCAGAAGGGTATAATGATTGGAACAACTGTTCATCAAATATCGGGGTATGCTGGTGGTTATATATTTTGTGAAGTCCCCAAGATACGTCACCGGCTCCACTACCCTGAGATGTAAAATACATCAAGTGTATGCTGTATTAAAATTTTGCAATACAAGTGTAACCTTTGGTATATTATTATTTACCGCATGGCAATGTGTCATTGAACAATTAATTGATCTAATACGTTTAGACTAACGATTACCGCATTGCATATAATATAGCGGCACAGGGGCACTCCTTTAAAACCACCGAGTATTTCTCCAAACTCTGCGTTAAACATGCCCATCCCAGCTAGCTCTAAGTGGCCACGAGGGTGTTGGCTATGTTGTTGGGTTGGGCACTGGGATGGGAATGGAGTGGAGACATACCTGGCTTTGGAAGAAGCTGAATGCCTCGTGAAGTTAGTAAAGACGGAGACAAACGAACTTGGCACTGTAGTAGCTCTTGTTTGTACGGGAGAGGACTCGGCCTTGAAGGGGTTTTGTAGCTACTATCTACTAGAAGAAGAAGAAGAAGAAGAAGAAGAAGGATCCTTGCGTATTTAATCCAGGAAGACGGGGGTATTTATATCCTGAATTTAACAAACAAGTGCTCAGTCTGCAAGCAAACAACGGGAGATATGGTAATCTTAACGGCGACTAATTAGCTAGTCTGGAGCAGATGAAAAAGAACAACTAAAGGAATGCTTCCATGGGGCAGTCGTTTACCTGTAGTTCAGGATGAAGTGGTTTCCGCTCTCTGATGGATGAGCAGGATATAACCCTAACTCGGACATATTGATTTATTGTATATTCAACTGGACATGATTGATCGTGCAAATACTATTGACTAATCCAGTGGGTCGCTATCTACGCCCGGATCTACTGCATCTAGTTATGGATAAGAAGATCAAGTACTAAATAGAACTAGCTAATAAAACGTCGCTCGCCAATTTGACATAGATGTGCAGGCCCCTTAATGAGGTTTGCCAAATCCGATTGGACTAGATAGACTATTGTATGTACCCTATTTTTGTATGGCTGGCCATGGATATATATATCTCACACCTTTTATAGTAAAGGCTACGCATGATGGCGGCTTAAGGACCGCCCGGCACGCCGATCACGCTTCCACTACTCCACCTGTTCTATTTATACTTAGTACTTAGTCTATGTATAGTTCCACTTTCTAACTCCGGTGCTAATTTGGATAAGGGACCTAGCCACTGAGTTATTCTGTTCTTATTCTCTATTGTGTGATTCACTTCTTGAGATATGCCTACCACTAAGTGCAAAAACAAAAAAGTGAAGTGACAACCAAGTCTTTCATTAAGAAATATAGACGACTAAATAATGACTCAACTCGGAGGATAGTCCAGGATCTGCTGCGGGGTACCTGTGTTGTATCCACTTTACGCGTCCCCGACGCAACCCTACGGACATAAAGGGGATTTTCGTCCTTTGGCGATGCTTGGCTAAGAAGCTTAGCATATCCCCAATATAGCGTGGTCGAATGTGTATTCTCATGACAGCAGCTATCATTCGATATTCCTCCTCGCTTGTGCAACATATTTAAATTTCGTGACGGATTCACATACCTCGTTGGTATCGATGCAGCCTAGATCCTACATGCATCCATGCATTGTTCGAGGACCTTGCTCCACCCCGAACGTGCCCTTACTCATATCATACAGAGCGGGCTTAGTTTTGTTTTTATAACGTCCGGATTGGCTCGAGGTAAGCCTGCGACGCCCCGGGCCCGGCAGGACTTTTGTACCAACCAGCGCACCCTATTTCAATGCATCTGCAACTGCCCGCAGTTATCGCTTCTATACATAGAACATCCCGATTCCGGCTTCGGTTGGTATTGAGAGGAGTTGCAGCAAGCGGCGACCCCGGAACTTCTACTATTCCTGGATATTTTTATTCAATCGAGTGCTACTGGATTACCTCGAAGACTTGTATTGACTGCTGCAGGTCAGGGGTGAAGGGTGACCTGGCATTAAGGCCATCGCATTTCCCGTATCCCGTCTCCCCGCGTATGACTATATCCCCCTGGCAGATAATAATAACTCATACCAGGTGCTTCAGAGCCGAGATGCCGATGCCTTGCGTCATTTGGCGTCGGCATGAGGGGAACCCCGGCTCCATTATACGAAGATTTGGAGAAACCCCCACCTGATTAGGGCGATGATATGATGCAATGCGAAAGTGAGTGCATAAGCCCGTGATGGATAATGTTGAAATTTTGTTCACTACCTCAAGCTATAAAAGACGTCTGGTACGCGATAGTAGAGGGCTTTTCACTTTGGTTCAACCTACTATCTTCCCACTTCCCCACAAGCCTTTGGAGAATATCAATATGAAGTTCCAACTCCTTGTTACTCTACTTCCTGTCGTGTTACCCTTGGTGCATGGCGCCCCTGCTCGCAGGGATACCTCCAACCCCGATCTTCGCGGAAGCGACTCGCTAGTTGGATATTCGCCAGACAATAAGGGTGGCAGCGACTCACCGCCTGATATCGAGTATACTCTTATTCCAGGGCAGAAGGAAGATCAGAAAATTGGGTCATACCTCGATTTTGAGAAAGCCGACAATCCCCAGCCGATCCGTGGGTCCACGGGTGCTGATGATCCTGGTCCCAGTACGACCGCCGTCAACGACCTCGAGATTTGACCGGATACCGAGTATGCTAACATTTATTGCAGGGAACTATTACTATGACAGGATAAATAGCGATAAGCTTGCACCCCCGGAACTGACCATGGCCAGACCATCAATGCGCAGTGGCCGATGGGTAAGTCCACTAGTATACGTGGAGAAATGTATAATTTGCTTACTATATGTCAGGATTGAGCCACAATAGGTAGTCTTCCATTCCCGAACAAGAAAATTACAGATACTCATACCTTTTGAAAAGACTTGGAATAGATGGAGCTGGTTGGGCTCGCCAAGAGAACACAGTTGTGATGCCGGATGCGACGCTCATGGCTGGTGTCGATATGCGCCTGGCACCTGCTGGTTATCGTGAACTTCACTGGCATGTGGCTGCCGAATGGTCCTTGGTGCTCAATGGGTCGTGTCGAATTCAGGTACTTTCATATCCTAAAATGACTGAAAAAGTACTAATCAACCCGCCAGGCTGTGAACGAGAATGGGGAGACATTCGTGGACGATCTTACTGCCGGCGATGTGTGGTTCTTCCCACCGTTAGTATTTCCATTTGAATAAATAATGTTCTATGCTGATCCATTGTTAGCGGTGTTCCTCATTCTATCCAAGCCCTCGACGATGGAGTCGAGTTCCTTCTGGTGTTCGACGATGGAGACTTTAGCGAGGATAATACATTCCTCGCAACAGAGGTCTTCCTCCACACTCCAGTAAGAAAAACAAATTTTGAATTGAAACCGAAATCCGATTTGCTAACCCTCCACACAGAAAGAGGTCCTCTCGAAGAATTTCGGAGTTGACATATCAGCCTTTGACAAGATTCCCGACGACGAACTATACATCTTCAAGGGCACGCCCGCCCCGGCGGACATCGAGAAGCAGAACGTGACGACAGCTGCTGGTCTTGTGCCTCTAGCTCAGAGCTATTCGTATCATTTCTCTGAGCAGCCAGCTCACAAAGTTGCTGGGGGTTCAGTCAAGATCGTCGACCCGCTCACCTTCCCCATTGCCAGCAACTTCTCCGCCGCTATTGTCACCGTTCATCCAGGTGGCATGCGTGAGATCCACTGGCATCCAACTAGTGACGAATGGACGTTCTTTATTTCGGGCCAGGGTCGAGCAACGCTTTTCACTGCCCCGGATGCCGCGACTACATTTGATTATGCCGGTGGTGATGTTGGTTACTTCCCAAAGTCTAATAGTCATTATATTGAGAACACCGGTGATGAAGACTTGGTCTTTGTGGAAGTGCTGCAGGCGCCTAAGTTTACAGGTATCTTTCCTTTCTTGCTATATGTTTAGGGTTCTATATACTGACGGCTAGTAGATGTAGCTCTTGGTCAATGGATTGCATCCACGCCGAAACAAATCGTTGCGGACACACTCAATCTCAGTGAGGACATGCTTGACAATCTCAAGACTGAGAAGCAATTCGTTGTCGCTGGCACTAGCAGTTAGACTACCTCGGCGGACCATCCCCATGTTCATAATTCACACGTCTGGATGACGTTCTCGGTAATGCAACAAAGCGTTATTAGAACGAGGCACAGCGGATCATCGGTGTAATTTCCCCGGATAAAGAGCCCATTACCATAAGGATCGCATGTACCTGCGGCCAGTGGATGGGACCGTTGATAGACTTAGTCGCCCCCGAAAGCTTCAAAAGTCTCAAAGTGGCACTGGGCGATCATCCGTTGAATAGAATGCTCGGTTGGCTGACGACCAAGTTTAGTAAACAGATTTTCCGGGGTTCAAAGGCGAACAAGTGTAGACCATTCTTAGCACATGGTATTAACCTCATTTCTATTAACCAGTGGAAGCTCTTCATAATGGCCATACTCCGAGGACATCCACTTCGGGTTAGAGCGTATCCTCAACTACGGCCACGGGCCGAGCCTATCAGGCCCACGCACCCACGTTGCTTACTAATGCACCCATTCGCCCAGGTGAGCACGTGGAATTTCAAAGAAAGTCACAGTGCCAGCGTTTTATTGGACGCTCATGAGTGAAAACGTGATGAGTGGGATTTTAGCAGAATCGATGGCTTACAGCCTCCGTTGCAATTCAATCCTGGCCAAGGCGAATGAAGACATTTGTTGGCAAGGCTAGGTGGTTGGCCTAGAGACTGACTGTTAAGAGGTTCTACACCCCCACGCGACCGGCGGGGCTCTGGGTTTCGTTTAACGCGAAGTCGAGTTTCCGGCATTCGAAGATTCTCATTGCTGATTGACACTGGTTTGACGGGCGATGGATGTCAATGTCCAGTTCATGAGCGATACAGCCGAGCGGCGACGTACTCAGAATCGTCTAGCTCAGCGCAAGTTCCGTGGTGAGCGGTCGTTGTCCAACAACCTGTATTGATCATCCTGCTGATCTAAATTGTGATGACAGAGAAGAAGAAGAAGCGGAGGGTGGCAGAAAATGCCGTTGCGACGCCTCAAGAACGGTCACAATCGAGGTCAACCGCCAACAACAATCGGAGTTTTTCAAGTAACCCTTTGCCTTCGTTCGAAAGTGCAAGTGCAATTCCTACACTGGCGGGAGCTTTGCCGCTAGAAGAAATTCCGATCGCTAGCACGGATGCAGGAACTGTAGACAACTTTGATCTCGATGCGATAGACCAGTTTTTGTACCAAACCAACCATGATTTCTCCTTCACTTGGTCCGCTCCATCGCCTGTCCGGTCAAACGCGACACAACCGGATCTCACCCAAAGCAATTCACCTGGTCCCGGCTCACGCAAGGCACCCCTGAGCAACACAACAAGTGATAATTCGGCGTCGCTCTCTCAACCTGGGGATAGCCACAGCCTGCCACTACATCACATACCATCCACTTCTGATATTTGCCCGGAGAGTCTGGCCCCCCAGCCTACACAATCACCCAACTACGATACGGTATTGGAACTCATCACATCGGCCAGACATGATAAGGGATGGATTGGAACGCTTCACATCGCCGCTCAGAAGGGCTACGAGAAAATTGCTCGAGTTATTTTACTCCAGGATAACATAGATGCAAACAGTCAAGATAGCGACGGTCGCGCACCCTTGATACACGCAGTCATTGAGAATCACGATTCTATAGTCCGCCTACTACTATCCCACGGTGCTCGGATAGGCGTTTATGATTGTGATGGTCGCTGCGCACTGCACTGGGCTGTGTTGCATCAGCGACTCGAGATACTCAAGCAATTGCTCGAACATCGCGCCAAGTACGAACCCGGTTTGGATATTGATGTATACGATAATTATGGCTGGACCCCATTGCATATGTCCGTGGATAGGGCTTTCGAGGGTGGAATCTTGATGCTACTCCAGGAGGGCGCAGATATCAACGCTAAAGCACATAAATGTCCGTACACGGGCAAGATCCTGCCAATGATGGATGGGTAGCGATAAAGTGCTCGTTTCCTTGGAATTAGCATTTTCTTCGAAATCACTAGTGATATTTTCACACTTTACTCTGTCACACTACCTGATAGCCCAGAGTCTGCCGTCACAGTAGAATGCAATACATTTGTCCAAGAGCGGGAGGGACTGCAACCTCCCTATATCCATGAAACAAACGACAAGCCAAGTTGCTACTTCGTCTTCTACACACCAGATCTCTCTAACGGCAACTATACGACAAACCCAACGATCGGCTGATTGCCCGAGATACTATACGAAGGTAACTGCCTCGTTTTGAATTCTGCTTACCGCATAAACGGCATTACTACCAATTTCACAGATGCGCGAGTCAGAAACACCCAAGAGTTGAATACTGTTGTTCCCGCTTGGGAGCGATGCTTTATCCTCTGTCAATATGGACATCTACCTGGGCCCAGCTGGTCCACTCAAGCGTTATACACAAGCAGCGGACACATATTAATCGTAATCAGAATATCTTGAAATTTATCACTTCGAATCATGATACCTATATCTCAATTATAGCTATCCACCATACAGTCTAACCATAATAATCGAAATGGTTGACCAGTATCTACCAAGGCTCCTGATTGCCGTCATACTTGAAGAGCTTCCCACTGTGAGTTTCGAGCGTAGACGCGTCAATAACCTCAACCATGCCGGTAACACTCTCCTTCACGGTAATGGCGGCTTTCTCGATCCCGAAAGCGTCAGCACCCCGGTTACCGAGCTCAGTCTGAACCCAGCTATTTCGCGGTGCCATGATCAGTCCACCACGCAGGAACACTAGGGCGGGATTGAACAGGTGGAACTTACCCCGGGTCCAGAGGGAATGCGGTCAACCAGGGATCTTCAGAGGATATTGCCTTGGTATACCAGTGCTGAGCACCTTTGGTGGGAGCGTATGCTGCATTTTGCAGGGGGATAAAGTTCCTACGGATGGTCAGTCAGTACACTCGTTTACGTCTGGGATAGACACCATATGTCAACGGCTGGTGGACCGGAATCGAGGGGTTACTTACTATAAATATTATTAGCACCTTGTCTATGTCAGAGAAAACGGAATGACGAGACTTACCGTCAGGAAAGCGGAGCTGGATCCGATTGTTACCAACTTGGGGGCCAGTGCCTCCTTGAGGACGGATCGGAAAGCTTGGTAGAGATGGATGAAGCCATACACATTAACGTCGACGTGCTTCTGGATATCCTGCACCTTGACCTCTGACACCTTTGGCCAAGAAAGAGCGATACCGGCGTTGGCGATCAGGATGTCGACGTGGGTGATTCCCTTAGTAGCTAACGTCTTCACGGCCGCAATGGGGTCAGTGGGAGAGAGAACATCGAGCTTGATTATCTCCAACGTAGTGCCTTCAGCCTTGGCTAGATCAACCAAGGCATTAGAGGTTGGGTGGCTTGGGTCACGGTTGGCGGCGATCACCGTGTGGTTTGGCTTCTGCAGATACAGTTCTAGGATACCTTTTCCAATCCCACGGTTGGCGCCAGTAATGAGGACAATGGTCGGGGCCATGGTGAGGTTGAAAAGATAGTTGCGAAAAGAAATCGATCAGATTGCTAGAGGTGAGGGGAAGTTGTGGGAGTAGTTGGATTTCCTCAAAAGAAGCGTGAACTACTACAAATATATACGATCATGACTAGCTTGACAAATAGGCACTATACTTGCTTATCATCATGACAGCTTGCTAATAGGCGCAAGGTCATCATTTAGTTACGAGTAGGGCAGCGGGTCGATCTGTTTAGGAAAAGTAAAACCAGGGCGCTGGCTTCAAGATAAATAGATTCAATGCTTGATCATTACTCCGTGCCACTCAAATGACGTTCTGTACTGTTCTTGGAATGGGATCATGCAGGGTCAGCAAGGGTCAGCACTTACTGTGGGCCTCGGGATAAGCAGTGGAAAATAAGCAGCGAGGATCATCTACACGGTGAAATTCGAGTCTTAACTACTGTTGAGCAAAGTCTATTGTATAGATTGCTACCATGTGGGGAGAAAGCACAGGAAGAATCATTAATTTATTAAAACTAGAAATCCTGGGTTTATATACCCTGGTAAACCCATCTGAACAAAGGCTCAGTCTGTAGCAAACAAGCAAGCAAGCATACTTGGGATGATGCTCCAACATTGATAAATAACAGTAGCTTAAAGATATCACAGAAACCTGGGCAACATAAGAAAGAGGAACAAACCACATATCCACGTCTAATATTATCAAACTGCTATCAGGCTCGGCATCATGCTAGACACCGAGAGATGCCCGAATGCCACAAGACAACCAGACACACCTGCATTTTGATATAAAGCAGAAGCGAGATATTCACATCCGATGAAGAACCAGATGAGAACGAATTAAAAGGAAGTTCAGTCGAAGATGAGGCTTTGATAACCAATCAATGAGTTTTGATTTCTGTGTCAAATTCGCCGGCTGTCAGCGAGTTATCCCCATGACCAGCTTTGGGTTTGGCCTGCTGGATGACTCCGTGTATTGCCCATCTCTTCTCAGACTATTTCGCTTTGCCGTTATCAGGGACACGATTGGCGATATCGACTCAACTCGGGCCCACGCTTGGATGAGACCTTGGATGGTCAGATGCAAGGTAAATTTGTAGTACATCAAGATCAGTTGCTTCGCAGATCGCAAGCTGAGAATGTCCTCTACTTTGGACCTATTGTAGCTCTCACAGTCGGTCTGCGGTGGTCGACGTGTTTGAACTTGTCCCGGGGAGCAACGATATCACCGAGGTGAAATTCGACGTGTTTCAGCTGACGATGACGTTATTTCGCGCAAGAGCCAGATGTAATTTTGGAGGCAGGGGCCGGCTAGCATATAGTAACCTCCATAAATGGCGTCGAATGAAAGGCCGAATGCCCATAAGATGACTGGGTCACGGTTGGCCATCGGTCGGGATAGATATCCCCGTCCGGATTAAGATCGGCGGGCGGGTAATGACACCTTTGGGGCTATTTTACGATAAATTAGCCTCTATGCATACATAGGCAAAGATCTGCCAATATAGTTTCCATGAGAATCATGGTTTACCACTTACCGGGTATTCTCAGGATCACCCACCCTTGGAGCCTGCCGTCCTCCAAACAAGATAGCCGGAGCCAGCAAATCACCCCCAAGCCACGACGATAAGAAGGGCCCAAAAGGATTTGGTTTCAAAGACATATTTCATGGCCATGACCCCTCGAGTCTGAGTCAGAACATGCGAAGAAGTCTTGTATCGTAGTCTCGATATAAGGCTACCCTATGGTTGTCGAGAACGTAGGAAGGATTGGAGGGCATATGGATAGCAACATGCTTGTGTGGAACACATCATCTGTAGATGTTTCACGTGGCACAAGTAGTGAGGACAACACATCCCACGACGAAAGGATTCCCCGATGCGGACAGAAGCTCCCGGTCTCGAGGAAAGGTCACCAACGAAGACATTGTCGGCTTCAGAGTAGATTCTGTATATGGGATGTATTTCTTGACGTAGAAACATGCCATATTTTGAAGGATATATGCCCCAACATCCACTATCCAATGCTGATATCTGCCTCTGTCCGGGAGGAGCCGTGTTGTCGCACTACCAGGTCAAATGGCGTATCATGGAGGGTTTGAAACGGTGACTATTGATTGTAGCCGTATCTTTTATCGGATCGAACCAGAGTTCATTCACAGCCTGGCTCTATAACCGTGTTGATTACCTCGCATTATAATCGGAGGGATGCGCCTAGAAAGAATCTGCCTCGGTCGTCTCTCTCTTTGATCCACGTGCAGTCGAGCGCCGTTAAGGTGCACTATCTGGCGTATACTACCCTAAGCAAGAGACAGAGGTTTTGTATGGTCGCAATTCTGGGTGCACCTTCTGATGAAAGGAAGGGACAACCCTATGGTTTGAAAGGGTCAAGAATCGGATATCGTCGCGAGTGAAGATTTAAGTATAATGTTTGACGTGCTGGCATGATTCTTTAATTGTTTGGATCCCCATCGACAATGATGTGTCGTGTTCGTTGGGATTACCCACTTGTCAATGGTGATCATCGAATTTCTTTTGTTGACTTTTCCACCGCCACATGGGGCGTGACCTGTGACTCGGACACACCCACTTGAAGGGCAAAGGTGGGGTTGCGGGCATAACAGATCATGAAGCGGATAGGGCCTCCCTAGGTGAAAAGTTGGGCGAGGGAGTGTCAGTCCTCGTCTGTCGGTTGCTCGGGAGGATGAGGGATAGGGAGATGCGCAGCGGTGGTAGTTGAATCCCCGCATCAAAGTCTTGTGCCATTTGGCACGACGATGACGGAAAACACTGATGAGAAGGAGAGTGGAAAGACGCGTAAGAATTCAGCGTGTTCCCAGGTTGCCTAGGGGACAAGAGACAGTGGACAAGGGGACAAGGGGACAAGGGGACAGGAGACAGGAGACAGCGGTGTACAAAATGGTCCAGGTCGTGCCTTCCATATACGGAAGTCCATTACGCCGCCTTAGATTTTGCCTACAGCCTGCATTTGGTAATTGGAGTATTCCACCTGGTCATATACAATATCTAAAGTCTCATCTTATATTATTGAATGCTTAAAATTCTTGGGTCCTTGACTTTCTAAACCCTATATTCGTCATCGTAGGTCTGGTCCTAGTAGTGCTGCGTTATGTCCCAATTTGCTATGAAACTAGTACTTGATTCTTGTATACCCCAGTGAGATAAATATGTTCATAATCCACTTGTTGAACACAATTTTACTGGAAAACGCACCACAGTAGGTCATGGGTATTGAAATAACCGAAAACAAAACGCCTATAACTAATCAAGACAAACCACTCCTCCTCCACATTGGGCTAAGGTCTGTAGGGTGGAGGTAGATCAAGACCAGAATCACCCGGACTATTCCCACCAGCATCTGATTCAACATGGTAGCTAGGGAGACAAATATCCTGCCGGGGGTGATTTTCAGAATCCAATTCAGAAATTATAGACCCAACAAGCACAGGAGCGGATTGCTATCGAATATCGTCAGTTGATACTCCCTCGTGCTGTTGATTGAATCAACTTACCCCGGCCTTCGAGCCATAGTTCCGAATAAAAATAGGATCTTGATTGCCAATCTTCCCAACCAATTCATTTCGCTTCCAATTGCCATATTTAAGAACCAGTCCCTGGAAGTCACACCGTTCGATGATGCACTCAGTGACAACGCAGTTTGTCAAGGTGGTTCTCTGGAGTTGACTGTTTGAGACCATCGTTCCGGTCACGGTACTCCGCTTAACGGCACTCTTGTCCTGAATGACCGACTGTCCAATTGTGGATCGGTCCACCGAGCTTTGTGTTTGGATGGTGCTATTTGTGATAGCACTGCGCTCGGCAAGGGCCGCGTCGTAGAATTGGGATTTTTGGGCTGTGACCCGGCTCACGTCTTCTACCTTCGATAGCACACAGTCGCTTAGTGTGGATCGTTTTACGCAGGAATTGTTGATTGTGCAGTTGCTAAGAGAGCATCGGGTAATTGTGTTGCCGTCCCCGTTGAAAGCGCTGGATTGCGCTTTGTCGTTGTCCATAATAGCACTCAAGAGTCGAGTATTTAGCGAATTAAAGAGATATAAGTAATTTTCTGGAAAATGTTTATTGCTTGGAGCAAGTTATAAGTTGAGAAATATATTGGGGAAGTTCGGGATGTTGGGTGAGCTGACATCGAGCGGTCCGAGGCCTCTCGGCGAGGAAAGCTGTTGCCTACCGGTGGTTCTTTATACTTCAAATGTTTACATCAAGGTGTTTGGAAACATATATTATTGTACATAGTATTCAAATTTTTATCAGTATACTTGTTCAGCTACCCCTAAATCTTTGTGGGATGAAGGTTCCAGCACTCACATGGCCAATTATCGTTCTCGGGCATGATATATATAGCCCGTGATGCGAGACAATAGAAAGCTCCACCCCCGATTTTCACAACGATTCAAAGTCATAATCCCAGTCTTGGCTTACTTCCTCGGTCTCGTCCTCATCTTGGCCATAGAACTTCCGATATGTAACTTCACGCAAATCCGGAAGCTGACCGGCCTCCATCCTTTCAACAAAGCTACTGAAGGAGATGTCCATTCGGTCTAAATCGTGAGTCTCCAGACTGTCAGGAAGATGCGGGGTAGGATCAGGCGCATCACTGTTCCACGACCTCGTTGAGACCGAGTACCCACGCATCTTGAGCAAGACCTCTGAAGGCTGCGCCCAGATACACTAGAAGATATTAGCCTTTGATCTGCTCCCTTTTGTCAGATTCTGGGATTTATAAGACCGTAGTTTCTATCCCGCGTATTGAGTGGGGTGCTCAACCTCCAAGTTGTCCCTATCTCTCACTAGCTTAGAGAGCAAACTGTGATCGTTGATTCCAAGATATCTCTGAGCGGTACGCTGTGCACGATTAGGCCGTCCAGGTCATGCATCTCGACGATGTCATTTAGGGGAGATTCGTGGGTTTTACCTGCTTGGGAATTGTGGAAGTGTACCTATAGCTCGAGGATTAAAGAAGATACCCAAGATTTTGCTGCAAAGTTCTTGCAAGCTTCTCAGAGCTGACTGGATTCATCCAGCAAATTTAAGATTAGAGTATTGGAGTTCCAAGAATATAGAGTTTGCGACAGGCCAAGGCAAGGCTGGAAAGGGAATATGGCGATTCTCGTAGGTGCTGGAATATCATTCCCAGAAGTTCAAGTGGAAGGGTCTCAAAGATCGAGACTTGAGAAGGCAGAGCTGGTAGATATAGACCAGAGAAAAAGCCAAAGATGAGAGAAGTGATGAATCTACTTGCCGTCACGAAGCTCTATCTATGCTTCATGTCAACAAAGAGAGATGTCTGCCTTGCTGCCTGGTTCATCACTATTCATCGATGTTGGACTTCATTGTTGAATATGGACTACCCATACTAAAGATGAACTATAAATCCTCGATAAAGACTTAAGATAAAGATTGTATATTATAGTCACAGATGTAAATCAATGTCGAACGTTGACTCGGAAGAAATTGAGCTTCTATCAGAATACTTGAGATAGTGTCCATGCTGGATGCTACCTAAGTAGAGCTGATCACAACCTCATTGACTGGCTGCCTAGAAATCCTGCCAGATCCATAATTGATGAATTGCGTATGTCGATAAATGAATGAACAGAGTATCTGTAGCAGAATCAAGAAATTCAACTTACATCCAGCCGCGATTCGCAATTCCCAAAGCGGCGACTTGCACCAGATTCGAGGAAAATCACCGACAGTTACCTGACTTACTTCACTTGCTCGAATACTGTTACCTTGGACTGTCGGACCAAAGGAAATTGATGCTCGAATATACACGGTAGCAGTCGTCCCAGTTCTACGTGGCCTGAATTCGTTTCGTGTGGCCTCATCGTGGGTAGGGGTGGAGATAGCTGTGATCATCTCAACGCCGTATAGCTCGACTAGCTCAATTGCCAAAGAATTAGTACGGTGAATCTGTGGCGTTTATAAGCTGCCTCCAGCTCTTTTTGTTTTCTCTTCTTGGTCATCTTTCTACCATTCCAGGCTTTCTCTTCCATATCCTTCTTCAACTATCAACTCCCCCAAGTCTCAATCGGTTACGTTCAGTTCTGAATATTATGCCCTCCAACGCCCAAAATGTGGGCATCAAGGCCCTGGAGATTTATTTTCCTAGTCGGGTACGTATGATTTATTGTCCACTCTATAATTGAAGCCATCGATCGGGCAAGTAACATACTTCGTTGTATACAGTACGTGCCACAAAGCGAGCTCGAGACCTATCTGGGGGGCTAGTACTGGGAAATTCACCATTGGCCTGGGTCAGCACAAGATGAGCTTCTGTGATGACCGCGAAGGTATGCAGATGCAGACAAACTCAAAAGCCCATCCTCCATATTCCGCGCTAATATAATGTGGCCACATTCATAGATCTCTATTCGATGGCGCTCACAACCGTCTCCTCGCTGTTGGAGAAGTACAAGATCGACCCAAACACCATTGGCCGCTTGGAAGTGGGGACGGAAACGTTGCTCGACAAATCCAAGTCTTGCAAGTCGGTACTCATGCAACTATTCGGGGAGAACACGGATATCGAGGGAGTCGACACCTACAATGCCTGCTATGGCGGAACGAGTGCTTTGCTAAACGCAGTCAACTGGGTCGAATCATCCACGTGGGACGGTCGCAACGCCATAGTCGTGGCGGGTGACATTGCTCTGTACGACAAGCCCGCTGCACGCCCTACTGGCGGCGCCGGCTGTGTGGCCATGCTAATTGGCGCCGATGCGCCGCTGGTTCTAGAGCCCTTCCGTGGATCGTACATGAAGCACGTCTACGACTTCTATAAGGGCGACTTCAAAACGGAGTACCCTCTTGTCGATGGACACTACTCCAGCACATGCTATCTCGAGGCATTGGACAACTGTTACGAGCAGTATCGAGCTAAATATCTGGCTAAAAGTGCTGGTTTGACGAATGGAGCTGTAATGTCCCGAGATAGTTTCTTGGATTCCTTTGAGTATTTCGTCTTTCACGCGCCTAACTGCAAGCTCGTCTCTAAGGCCTACGGTCGGTTGTTGTTCAATGATCTCCGGACCGAGCCCGATCGCTTTGATGACGTTCCAGCAGCGGTTCGCGATGTTGAGTACACTGCGTCTCTGACGGCCAAAGAGGTTGAGAGGGCTTGCATCGGGTTGACGAAGGAAAAGTTCTCCGAGCGTGTTCAACCATCGATTACAGCACCCACGAATTGCGGGAACATGTACACCGCTAGTCTCTACTCTGGGCTGGTGAGCTTGCTGAGCAATGTTCCTAGTGAGGAACTGCAGAACAAGCGCATCGGCATGTTCAGCTACGGTAGTGGTCTGGCTAGCACTCTGTTTAGTCTTCGCGTTAAGGGTGATACTTCTGGGATCGCGCAGCAGCTTCAGCTGCACGAGCGTTTGGAGGCTCGCATGGCGGTCTCGCCGGAATTTTATAACGAGGTTAGTTTCTTGTTCGTTGGTTGCTTTAACGAGCACACTGTCTAGACAGTTGGTTTCTAACGATGATAGATGTGCAACCTCCGGGAGAAAGCCTACCAGCAAAAGAGCTATACCCCTGCGGGAAGCGTCGGTAGCCTAGCTCCTAATACTTACTACCTTGTCCACGTTGACGAGGTGTTTCGACGAAGTTATGAGAAAACACCGGTTGTCTGAGTGATAAAGTTTCACGACTGACATGGACGGAACTTCGCAAGAAAAGATATAGTCCTTCTTTTAGGGAATAACACTTGTTCTGACATACATATTTTCTTGCTATTTTTTGGGCCGTCTTTGCTCATCTCCTGATTTAAGGCTGTACATCGCAGGTGGGCACAGTGTAAACTCAACACAAAGTCCCGAATAAGAGGAAATAATGAACGTCTCTCAAAAGTCCAACACAACAATATTTATAGCATCCCACGCAGTATTTTAGCAGCACAATATATATATTAAAGCTAAGCTATAAACAAAATCTCAACCCCGTGTTACGATACTCCTCAGTGTATGCAGCGAAATTGACCAAGTGCATAAGTGGATAAGTGGATACTAAGCTTCACTCGACATATAACGTCTACAAATGTGATAAGTATCGTTTCAAGAGTAAAGATTAATTGCTATTATATAAATATAACTCGAAGGTGACTTTATCCCCCGGAACAGAAAGAAATCTTCAGTGACCAATTAGACATATCAAGTCTCTCGTAAAGACAACTCGTATATATCAGTCAACAGTTTCAACAAACCGAACCTATTACTTCTGATCCGCGCATCCGAGAGCAAGGGTCCCACCCTAAAGATCAGTTAGTCATGCACTCTACACAGAAAACTCTGCGTTGAAGATTGTCACTTACCAAGACGTTGGCCTCGGTGCAGCACTGGGGTGCGGTGGTACAACTGGATTTCTCGTACGCGTGGCCTGTGAGCAAAGTTAGAAATCTTCCCATCTTGCCAATATTACACCAGAGTCCAAACATACAGAGAAGACCAATAGACCCAACGATGTTGGCAGCATCGATGCCAAGTGCCAACAGGATGGGGTCGACAAGGGGGTCGAGAGGAGTGGTGAGAGTACCACAGCAGAGAAGAGGGCCGACACAGTCCGAGGTATCACCGCGCTTCACGGAGAGGTTGGACTCCTGGGGAAGGGCGGACACCATGCCGGCGCCAACGAGGGAGAGGACGGAGAGGATTGAGAGTCTCATTTTGATGGATATTTTCGAGTTGGTCTTTGGTAGAAGAGAGAAATGGTTGTTGTTGTGATGGATGATGTCTAAAATTCGTGGAATATCCTCATCCTTATATACCTTTCGACAAGATACCCAAGGCATCAATTGCTTCCGATAACACCCCTCTGCCATCATCGAGGTCGGAATGTGGAAACATCCATTTGTGAGTTGTAGACATAAAATCTTCGAGTAGTGTCCATCTCGGTGAACAGGAAGATCTGCGAAACTCTAGATAGCATTTGGCTCCAATGTTAGAGGCCGGATGAGAGGCTCTCGACCTCCAACCGAGGTACCAGGGTGCTAGAGGCAGTTGCTGCTAGTGGAAGAGTGAACAAGTTCCTTAGATTGAATCTAACATAGTTCATAATGTGGATATCCATGATTCGCATGAGTTCGAAGCGAGCTATCGTTTCTGTCGATCTCTCTTGGTCCATTCTGGATATCATTGAAAGACATGCAGTCACTGGCTTTTCAATGCCAATTCAATGTACAAGTCCAATAGCTAGCGGGGGGCAAACCGCTCGGTTATTTCCTCTCCATCCGGATCGGGGAGTTCCTTATCGGTGGATGCCAGTTTCCGGGATGATCTTCCCTGTGGCATCGAATCAGAATTGCCAAGATGACAATCCGCTGATCCGCTGTAAGGAACTCGTAGAACCCTGTCACCCGATCGATGTATCAACCAGCCCCCAGAACTCAATTGATTGAAAGGAAAAAACCATTCTATACTCCATTGTTTCATCCGCAGTCTCCGCAGTCTGAAATTTTATACCGTTGGTTTGCGATTTGTCATTTCTATCCCCCCTTAGAGCGCATACTGCGGTAGATCAGGATCTAACGAGATAAGTCTCGCGCATAAGAGGTGGACATTGTGATGGTCGCAAGGTCTTGGTAAACTTCGATCTGGTCGCAGTCAATCTGGATGACTATTGCCCTTCATTGGATCACTTGAAATTTTCTGCATGTCAGCTTCCCCTGATTGTCGTGTTTTGTGACGATCTTGATAAGTGTGTGTCTGAATGAGTTACGTGAACGTATCGAATCCAACATTGGGAGTAGATATCGATGTTATGCCTCGGATTAGTCTCTCACCTGGAAATTGAGCTTATCATCTCAAGTCATTTCTTCTTGGCTTTCAGGGGATTCGATAATGTCAATGATTATCAATTTTATCAATTGGATGCTGTGTGAGAAACCAGAAGAGATAAGGCATTCTCAAGGTGAACACTCAAATTGAGACACAATGATTCATTGTTAGCCACATTCCATACCCTTATGGACTTGCAATTACCCTCAAAAATCCCCTGAAATCCAGATAAAATCCCATCGCAGGTCATAAGGAAGATGAAAGACCAGGGCTGATATGGAAACATGTGGCGGTGCACCTGTGGCGGTGTTGGCTACACCGCCACATCCTCGCGACACAAAAAACTTCCCGCCTCAATTAATCCACACCACATTCCCCGGGGTTTATCGATCAACCAACCCCTCTACCTTTTTGATTTTTTGAGCAGTTGCCCAGCGCAAATTGCCCATAGATCATACTCAAAATGCCTTCCACTTCTCTCGCCGACCTGGTGGCCACCCTCCCCTCGGATGACACCTGGGGCCCCTCCACCTCTGCCGATAACATGCTTTCCGGTGTGCCATACGCTCCTTTCTCCAAGGGCGACAAGCTTGGCCGCATGGCCGACTGGACTGCTGAGACCAAGGAGCGTCAGAACCAGCGTCCCCAGTACAACCGTGGTTTCAGAGGTATGTTTTCACCTTTTTTCTTTTGTCTTCACCAACTTTCTCCTTTCAGTCGAATAGCAATGGCTAACGGTTCAAATAGACCAGCAGGTGTACGGTGCCGGTACCTCCAACCTCTTCACTGTCGCAGCCGCCGAGGACGAGTCCTCCTTCTCCGTCGTTGATAACACTCGCGTCCAGAAGCGAGGTTTCGGCCGTGGCGGTGGCACCGTTTTCCGTGGCCGTGGTGGTCAGCGCGGTGCTGCCAACCAGCGTGGTGGACGCGGTGGCTTCCAGCGTGCTGGACCTAATCTTAGCCGCGGCCAGCAGAGCGGTTACCAATTCAGCGACCGTGGTGGCGGCCGTGGCGGCCGTGGTGGCCGTCGTTTCGGCTGGAGAGACTACGACAAGCCCCAGCGTATCCGTGAGGCTTCTGTCAACATCCGTCCCGACTGGAAGATGCTCGAGGAGGTTGACTTCACCCGTCTGTCTAAGCTGAACCTCGATGCTCCCGAGGGCGAGGACCTCGAGACCTACGGTTTCCTCCACTACTACGACAAGTCCTATGACAAGCCCCCCGTCAAGAACGCCGAGCGCAGAATGCAGGCTGTCGACCGTGCTGCCTACAACGTTACCACCTCCCAGGATCCCGTCATCAACGAGCTCTCCGAGAAGAATGCCGCTACCGTCTTCGCCACCTCCGATATCCTGTCCATGCTGATGTGCGCCACCCGCAGTGTCTACTCGTGGGACATCGTCATCGTCCACCAGGGCGACAAGATCTACTTCGACAAGCGCGACGGTGCCTCCTTCGACATGGTCAGCGTCAACGAGAACGCCATCGACGCACCCCTCGAGGCCGCCGAGGCCGCCGGTAAGCAGGAGCAGATTAACACCCCCAACGCCCTCGCCATGGAAGCCACCATCATCAACCACAACTTCGGCCTGCAGACTCTCACCGAGTCCGACAAGTCCAAGGTCACCTTCGCCAAGCCCAACCCCTTCTACGACGAGACCGAGGAGACCGAGCCCCTCGCCTCCAAGGGTTACAAGTACCGCCGCTTCGACATCTCCCTCGAGCGCGACGAGGAGCCCGTCTCCATGGTCGTCCGCACAGAGGTCGACGCCGTCATGAAGGGCGGTCCCACCGGAAGCGAAGACCAGCAGCTCATCATCAAGGCCCTGAACGAGTTCGACCCCAAGGCCCAGGGCTCTGGCGGTGCCCTCGACTGGCGCAGCAAGCTCAACTCCCAGCGTGGTGCCGTCCTCGCCACAGAGATGAAGAACAACTCCGCCAAGCTCGCCCGCTGGACTACCCAGGCTATCCTCGCCAAGGCAGACGGCATGAAGCTCGGCTTCGTGTCCCGTGTCAACCCCCGCTCTGCTGCTTCCCACGTCGTCCTCGGCGTTGCCGGTTACAAGCCCCGCGAGTTCGCTAGCCAGATGAACCTTAACCTCGGTAACGGTTGGGGTATCGTCCGTACTATTGTTGACCGTATCCGTGCTCTGGACTCCGATGAGCCCGCTGAGAAGGTTAAGAAGTACGTTCTCATCAAGGACCCTAACAAGTCTGTTCTGCGTCTGTACAGCGTTCCTGCTACTACTTTCGAGGAGGATGAGGAGGAGCTTGAGGAGGAGAAGGAGGATGAGAAGTCCGATGAGGCTGATGAGTAGATTTTTTTTTTTCTGATGACTTATGTTCCTCATTTCCATGTGCATACGTACTCGACCTAAAATTTGATGCTTTTATACTCTTGACTATAGAGTCTGACCGATAGTCTATTCAATCAAGTTCATTTTGCCAGACAAGCCTCACTCTTTCTCTCTCACACACACCCCTACAGTAACTACGGTAACTACAGAATTATATACGTTCGAGGGGAAATGGCTTTGTTTTAGGGATGTATAAGTCTGTTGTCTGTTACGAGGGTGATTCCAATATACTGATGGTAATTCGTTTTAGTAATGTAGTTTCATATTTGGTTGCCTGATGACCTCGAAAGGTGATTGTGCATAGTGTCGAGTAACCCCCCTAACTTTTGTACAACTTTCTCGGGGAAACACAAGGAACGTCTTGCCTTTTCGGTGCCTTTCTAGTGTTTCACGGTGTATGCCTCGAGGATTTCCGCCATGGTTGAGTCTACAGGTTGTTCATATAGTCTTGTGGATATGCACATATCAAAGACTGTTCTTTGCTGATACGAGTGTATATAAACCCAAGTGACATTAGAGTAGTGATATATATCCAGCTTTTTAGAAGATTGAAGGAGATATAAATAATCGTTCTTAGGGAGCAACAAGAAAGAAAGAATATATTGTCCTGGTGAGATATCATCTGCACCATTAGTTATTTCCATTTATATACAACCCTCTCAACGGGGAGTATCCAAGACAAAGGAAAAAAGAAAGTAGAAAGAAGAAGAAGAAAAAAAAAAAAAAAAAAGAGTAAAGGATAGGAAAAGAAATAGTTCACAGGGCACAATCAAAACCGAAAGGCAGGCAGCAAGCAAAGGCGCCGAGTCACTCCATGGCAGTAGCCAACACAGACAAAAAAGACAGGATTTTCCAGGCATCAAATCATAATCATTTCCATTGCGTTTGGCCAACTGCTCAACCATACATCGTGTCGTCGGCTGTGCCAGACATGCCGAGCTCAACCTTGGTGCCGAGCACGCTGCTTAGACAATCTATCAACTCGAAGTCCTCGACCACAGCGCCGAAGCCGTAGCAGCGGACCTTGGTGTTGAGAGTGTCCATGATGATCTTGATATCGTCGCGTCGCAGCGTCGGGTACAGCTCGTGGTTCTTGAGACATTGCAGCGCCATGATGGGTGTGATTTGTCCTTCTGTCACGAGTTGTCGACTGAGGTTGAGGAGGGTGCTGAGATTTGCATGTGGGAGATCCGGCGCCTTGTGTGGATATGGTTGTTCGTGCGTTGTTTTCGCAATATAGCTCGGCGGTGGGCATGTTGCCATCAAGGCGTGTCCGGAAAACGGCATGTCTTCGTCATCGGCTTCTGTGACTGACCGTCGGCAGAGGTAGTCCGTATGTTCGCGGCAGGGGCCTTCAAGTCTGTAGGAATATATTCGTTAGCTTGTGTATTTGCTCGTAGATTAGAGGAAAGCCTTACGTTAGGATAAAGTCAACCTGCAACTGGGGATCCGTTTCGAAGACACCTCCCCGCGTAATCGGCATGGGCTGCATGGTATCAACGGGGGCGCACGATGAATGATCCATGTTCATGGAATGCTCGCCTGCACCCGCGTGGTACACTTGCTGGTGGGATGTATATCCAATCGCGGGCGAGATCTCCGAGTGATCCATGCCATTTGCGCGAGGGCTCATGCCGGATGAGATCGTGGTTGCAGGGGTTGTGTTGTGGTTGCTGGCAGAGTGGGCGAGAGGCGCACTCTGCGACGCAGTGCTGCTGCCGGCGGCAGTAAGAGGGCTCGATTGGAAGGCCATCATCGGTGGGCGCTCCGCCCGGCGGCGTTCTAGATCCGCTTCGTATTGAATTCCGCTCGCTGTGAGAATTTCCTTCAGGATCTCATTCTCCTCTCGTATCGAATGCATCAGCTCTTTGTGTTGTTGGACTGATGCGTTGGCCTCTGCGATCTCGGTGGTGTAAGCCTCTCGTAGCCGTGAGACCTCGGTCTCTAGTGCTCTCATGTATTGTTCCTTCCGCTCGCGATGTGTCCTGTGTGGATCAGTCCAGCCCGATGGTTATTGTATCCGCGGGTTGTGTACCTCTGGGCCTGACGGTTCAGTTCCTGCCGTCTGGTGAGTGCCGGCTTGCTATCCGGCTTGGGGCCGCGACGTTTGGGTTGTTGACCATCTGGAAAAAGCTTAGTTGCGAACCGATCGAGCGACTGGGATCCGATCACTTACCTCGCGTGGTCTTCTTCGGTGGATTGTTACTGGGAGCGCTGCCACTGCCACCTCCTCCAAAGATCTTGAATATTTCGGCTCCGAAGCCTTTGCTCGATGGGGTCTGTGGTTCTTCTACCATGTTCTGCACCGTGCACTCCGGGGCCGTGGGCCGAGCCGGAGAGACATTGGCGCCACAATGTTAGTTACCATTAGAAATGCGATAAAAACAGTGGATATATGTTTTCTGGTTGGGGAAATCCCAGGGTGGTCGGGGAGGGGTTAACTCTGGATAGCTTCCTGTGTGGCGAAAACCGGGGGAAACCCGCTGTAATTCCCGAACCCCAGGCTTCATCAGATTCATCAGGATGGCCGGGTTCAACAGGTTCAACAGGTTCAATGGGTTTGCCAACTTGCACACTTGCGACCGAGGGGAGCAGAGTTAATTGAACCCGTGCATTCCAAATATATGGTGATTTGTATGTAGAATTGATGCTGGATAATACCCCCGATCGAGAAACACCAGATAGTAAAAAGAAAGAAAAAAAGAAACTCACCAGAATAGGTCATGGCATGGTCCATTGGATAGACCCCACCACTGACAGCCATTTTTTTTAAGTGCGGGAAGAGGCAAGGGAGAAGGTTAAAAAGTGATGAGAATGTGAGTCGAGAAGGTATGGAGTCCACAGTAGACGTGGAGATCGGGGGGAGAGAGGATAGTCCGAGTAGAAGAGTAGCAGTGTAGTAGGAGTAACTAGCAGTGTAGCAGTGTATAATTATATAAGGGAAGAAAGTGGATAGAACCGATTTTTGTACAACTCCTTTTTTTTTTTTTTTTTCTGGTCATTTTATTTTATTTTATTTTATTTTATATTATATATTATATATTGTATGTTCTTATTTCTTATTTCTTATTTCTCACTTCTTATTATTTATTATTTATTAAACCCCAAGTAATAAAAAGAAGGCGTTCGATCTGTCTTAGGGCTCCACATAATCAAACGGCCGTGAAACCTGAGTTGTAAGGTATAACCTGGTATATACATAGCATATACATAGTATACATAGTATAACTAGTTAAATATAATTAATATGAATAGACTAGAATAGACCTACTTAAGTAACTAACTACTAGGAAATATCCAACAGCTTACAGACTCGACGCGTTAATACGGTCATGACAATTAGAGGTACATAACTAGTACTACCTTCAACCCCTATTGTCACACTAAAAGTCAAGTATCCTGAAAGTACCAGGTACGTGCGAGGTTAGTGTGATCAGTCGAGTGGGCTGACCAATCATTTCGTCCAACCGCCCAAGACGAACTCCCAGTCACATCCAATAGTCTCTCCCATATTGAATATCCAGGACATATCCTCAGTGACAAATACTATGATCCCCGACCCTGATCTCACTAGTGCGCATCGAATATCACAATGGGCGTTCCAATAAAAACGGAAACATGATCCAAGCTCCCGACTCCCAGATTCTAGTGCACATCACCGCACCAAGCACCGCCCAAGATGATGCCCGCTATAGGGCCCAAGTCGCCGCCATCCTGGACTTCGAGTGTGCCTCACGCCACCTACTGATCGAAGAAAGCAACACCTCACCTCCCACCAGTGTAGACACCACGCACTTTCTCTCCGCGGGTGCCGCCGTGCAGTCCTCGGCGTCCCCGACGACTCAACACGAGGTTTCGCCAATACTGCGGGAGGCGCCCCGGCCCGCATACACGACCTTATTATCCTCGGATCATCGCTTGCTCCCTGAGAAAGATAGCCCAGCTCCACGCAAGCACATCATCTCAAATCATTCCGACTCCCTAGAATCCCTCATCAGCGTCATCCCAGACTCCCAGCCCGAGATCGCCCAGGAACTAGTTCGCGCCGAGCAATCTCGTGCAGAACTATCGCCTCCATCGCAGCTCGCTCCACCTCCCAAAAGACCTCGCACAGCCCCGGCCTCGCCGGATCCGGCTCAACCGCTTTTAATTGCAGATGCTCTTGCAGCAGACCAGCCCTCTGTATCTCACGGCGTCATCCCCATCGAGAATAAACAGTCCATCCCAACTGACATCCCCACTGGTCTCCCTGAAATCCCCATCCAAATATCCAGCTCAGATAAAGGAAAAGATCCAGATGTCCCCATCCCTCATACTACCATTCCCTCACATCACATTCCCGCAAACACCCCATCCCCATCCCAAACCCAAACCCCGAATCACATCAATCTATCCACCCTCCCTCTCGAAATCCACCCCCCAAGACCACCAATCTCCACAGCCCCTTTCACCACCCACATAACCCCAACCCTGTCAATGCTCACAGAGCGTCTAAACCCAGCACGAACCTACAAGCCAACCACACAAACCCGTCCCCTCGACCCCCTAGAACGGGGCTATTGGCTCGTGCACCTCGCTGTCGAGGAACCCCGAAGCCTAGAGCGGACTGCAGCCGATCTTGCAGATCAAAACCCAAACCCCGAATCTGGAACCACTAATGCCACTCAAAACCCAACTTCAAGACCAAGGTCAAGGTCAAAGTCAAAGTCAAAGCCAAAACCAAAACCAAAAGAGATCATGCGGACATGGCCTTGGCCGCTCTTTCATGCCTTCTGGTCTTTCCTCTCAGACTTCGTTGGTAGGGATGGCCGTGCGGGATGGGGCGTTTGGTGTATTCTTGAGGCTGCGGAGGCCCCTTCAACGCTCTCGTCTGACACGCACGTCTCTCTTAAAGTCTATGCGTGGGGTGAGGTTGCTATGCATGTTTACCTTCTGCTCTTCTTGGCGAGTGAGCGGCGGATTCGTGGGATGGGTGTTCAGTGGCGGGATGCGGGGGAGGAGGTTGTTATCCAGATGCCGTAGGAGCTGGTCGTTGCTTAGGAAGTGTGTTTGGCCAGGGGATTTGGGCCGTGGTTAATATTAGATTGGATTGGAAATTGTAAACTTATAATAACGATACCCCCATACGCATTGCAATGAATGTCGTTTGATATTTTTGAAATCTTCAATTTCATATTTCAATAGAAGGGTTATTGTACATGCTGGAAAATAAAGAAAGAAGGAAATTCCGTTGGGGATGATAAGATGATAATAAACAACAAGGAGATAAAAATAAAAGCCATGTTTTCGCAAGTAAAGATCAAATGAAAATGATTGAATTCAATAAATGAGCAAGTTGGGAGTCAGCGAACCTCCGACGGTCCCTCCGATGCGCCAGGTCGCCAATTGGAGGAAAAGGAGGGGAAAAGAATAAGAGGAAAACACAAGAGCGAAAGATGTGATCAGATCAACTAGTACTGCAATTCGCCACTGCCAGATGCGTCGACTGCATCCAGATCCTCGTAGCTCTTCAGGCTGCGACCCTGGACGGCTTCGCGCGGCGCCATGGGACCTCCGCTGGAAGAGTCTGGGAATGAGTTGGCGGCGGCCATGTTGGCGGCGGGGTGGCCAGCTGGAATGCTGACACCAGGAGGCGGGAGACGACCACCACCATACATACCAGGCATGCCGCGGGGAGGGCTCAGTCGGCCGTTGCCGTTGAATCGGCGACGGTCGTACGGACCGGGTCGGTTGTTGCGATTTTGGCCGCGACGCATAGGTCCGGGCTGGTGCAGACCACCGTCGTGTCCCATTGCGTTTCCATTCCAGCCGCCTGCGTGTGCACCCATCATGCCGGGCATTCCACTCGGGGGAAGGTAGGCATGTTTCCATTGGGGGCATAGGGCAGACCGGCAAGGCTGAATCCACGAGGAGTGCCGGTGTGGCCTTGTCCGGAGCCAAGGGGGAAGTGACCGTTGCTGTTGGCATCGGACCGGGATGGGGCAATGCGTGCTGGGTCCAAGACATATGCGTTCACTAATGCGAGCTGTGACAATTGTTAATAACTGGGAATCCTGTTGGACGGTTGCACACTTACATCGTTCTTGATGCCCTCAAACCACTCTGCATGGCGCTTTTCGATGTGCTTGCGCCAGAAGGCTTCGGCCTTGAAAAGCTTAGTACATTCAGGCGCCTTGCACCGGTACTTGGAGTCGTCCTCCTGCTTCATATACTTCAGAAGTTCATCCTCAAGCGCCTGGTCAACGGGCTTGCCGCCGAGCTTGCTGAGATCGACGCTCTCCGGCTCTAGGATCTGCAGCAACTTGTCTTCAAAGGTCTTCACCCAGTTAAAGGCACGCTGCAGTTGCTGTTCAGACTTGGAACCATGGCGCTGTCCGCGCTTCTCCTGAACAGGCGAAGAGAGGTCTTCTCCTTCCTCACTGGGTTCCTTCTTCTTAGCCGGGAATGGCTGGCCAAGAGCGCTGGCTCGGGCCACTTCCTTAGCCTGGCTGGAAAGTCCGGTGCGTGGACGGCGAAGGTGTCCACCGGGGCACTTGCGGCCAAGCTCGTGAACTGAGTCACTTTCAAAGACACAGAAGAAGCAGAAGTTGTAGACCCGGCGCAGGTATTCAACAATCAAGTCCAGCTTCTTCTTCTTAACTGCAAGTTCCTCATCGTCCACATCCTCTTCCTCGGGAATTTCCATCTCTTCACCTTCTTCAATCTCGCCTTCGTCCCCTTCATCGCTGTATCCGTTTCTCTGCTTCTTCGCGCTGACTGGTCCCGTAGCCGGGGGCTGGAGCTCTCCTTTGCCACGCATGTCATCAACATACTCGTCGATCTTGGTGAAACCATCCACGACGATATTCATCTCGGAGTCCAACTTGGAAGTCAAACGTTTGGCCAGCTCGAGATCACGATCAATTCGCTCAGGCGCGGAGAACAGGTCCCAGAGAGCCTTCTTGCGCGGCTGGGCAGGGGGAACATGGACTCCCACGTGGCAAACAAAGTCCCCATGAACGGGATCATGGATGGTCTTGTCATTAACAGCCTCGAGCGCTTTCTCGGCCGGGCTGGTTGTGACACCACCATTTGCACTTCCGTCATGGTCCATATTTTCGAATTCTTCATCGCGTCCATCTCCGCGCTCCACTGTGCTGGTGTTTGCGGAAGGATGCAACATGATCCATCCCATGCGATGGAACTTCTTGGAGGGATTCGGGTCACTGAGGCTGAGGCCCTTGAAACCTCCATCTTCCTCGCCGAGATGTTCCTTGCAGAACTCCTCGATCTTGCTGCGGCTGACGTTTGGTGCAAGGGTTTTTATAAGGAGCGCGGGTTGCGCAAGAGCCTCGTCGCGAAGGTCTCCGCCACGGACTGGAAGTAGGTCAAGCACTCCCATAGTCTCAGCGGTAGCCGTAGTCTCGCCTTCCTCCTTCTCAACTACACCACCGGCACCATCGCTATCGCTCTTGTATATGCCTTCAAGGGTAAAGTCCTTGAAAAGGTCGTTGTCCATATCATGTTCCCACTGTTCAAACGCTCCTTGTCGAACCGCCATGAGGCGGGTGCGAAGAGGATCTCTGACTTCAGGAACATAGCGTTCTTTGAACCACTCCTCATTCCGGTGCTGCTGGACGAACAGCCTGGCCAGTCGAATTTGCAGATCAACCTTGTATGTATCATAAGCTGCTTGGATTTGAGCACGCTCCTTTTCACGATCTTCGCGCGCCTCGCGTTCGCCCTTGACTCGACGACCGCCGTTCTTGGCGCGCTCTTTCTCCTCATTCACGGATTCCTCCAATCTCCACCACTCTGCAAACCAATTAAATCCGACTTGGAAATCGAGGGTAAGAGGGTTAGGCATAGGGTTGGTCGGAATAGGACGCTTGCCGCCGCCACCTCCACCACCACCACTTCCGTCTTGTCCGGGCACATAGCGGTCGATGTTTGCCACCATTGGGGAGGGGGCACGACGGCGATCCTCGCGCTCTCGGGCAGCATGCTCCCGAGAATTGTTGTAAAAGTCTTCGCGGTGAGAACGACGCTCCGAAGGCTCGTACCGGTCAATCACGGGCGAGCGGGAGCGCGGCCGTACACGTCGTCGATCTTGAGAAGCTGGTCACATGAGTCAATTTCGCCCACCTCGCTCTACGAATATTCAATAATAGACTTACCGGGCGACCGGCGCCTGTATGATTCCCCTGAGGCTCGTCCCGTAAAGGAATCCAACTCACGGCTCCTTCCGGGAGATCCATAACCGTCGTAGGAATCCATTTTTCTAAACCTTCCGGGATAGTATATTCAATCGCCTTCGCTGCAATCGATGTATTGATAGGCCAAGGACTCAGCCCAGGTAGATAAAAGTGCAGCGGAACAGTCTGCGTTGGTGGATCAGGGAGTCGGGAACCGCAGGGTGAGCTAAGATTTGGTATCGTCAACATCTGACCAAGCAACTTCATGGAGCGAAATAGCGATGGTGGCGGCTGGGCAGTTCACGAGGAATAACATAGGCAGGGGTTGAGGGAAAAGAGAGAGAGACAAGAACACACTGCCGCTGGCGACATGTCCGCCCCGGAACTTGGCAGGGGGTTGGAACATGTTTGCAGCAGGTGATTTCGGATAGCAAAGAGAAATTATGAAGAAGGCTGCTGGACAAAGCCCATGCTATTATGCATATAAGGAGTCATAGCCCACAAAGTCCAGCAATGCGCAGCTGGCGCCACGGCTTAGAATGGAAGAAAAGAAGATGAAGCAGGGGAATGGAAAAGCAGGGTCAGAGGAGCGGAGGCTGATAGAAAGAGAAAGGGCAAGGGAGAAAGCCAAAGAATAAACAGAAAGCGAATTGGAGAAAGAAGAGGGCCACCTACAAGAAGCCTCGAGCGAAACACGACAGTTGGCGATAAAAGGAAGAAGCCGAGAAGGCGGACGAAGCTGGAGAGAGCTGGGTGCTTAGCCGAAAAGGGTATAGCGGCACGGGGATGACTGACATCCGCTGATTGGCGGGTTCTCAGGAAAAGGTCCAGATGACAATTGCCCTAACTTGGCAAGTTGAGTTGGGAATTTGGAAGTCGGAAATAAAACGAGAAGAGGAGGGGAAAGAACAGGACAGGTTGCTTCAAGTGGAAAAAGTGTGAGTCGTGTCAGCCAGTCCAATATGAACGAACTATAACATCCCGTAACAGCCAAGATGCCCGGATACTTCAATTGTGTCGATAATTTACTACTACCAATGGATGATTTACTTCATGGAAGGCTACTTCGGTGTTGTGTGACTCAATTCCACTCAATAGCCTATCAATCTTCCCATTTTTCCTTAAGCCCCTCCTCGTTTATGTCGATTGCCAGGTCACTTTTCGCTTGACTACATAGCTAGCGCCGGCAAACGAATTGATACATCCATACATGGATCCCTAGGACACGGAGGAATCAAATATGGCCCTTTCCTTTTTACTTGTTCTTTAGGGATTATGTACATACATCTTATGAATATGTAGAAAAGTCTGTGTAAAATGTCCAATTGCAATGACCACTTGTATAGCAGGTCTGTATAATTCTCAGAACCCTCGGTGTTCTCATTATAGATCGATACGTATTCATTGCAGCGAGACTTAGTATGGCGGGAAACGCCTAGATGGTATTCGATCTTGAAAGAATATTCGTTTTAGACAGTCAGAGCTTATTGGCCTAATCAGTATCAAACAGAGAAGGTCAGTTTCACTGGTGTTAATGTCCACTCGTGGTAAACCTCCTACACGTTTTGATGGAAAACTCAGTACGTAAGGTTATGCCGAAGTACACCGGCCTACAATATACCCAAGACTCAACAAGAACAGGACCTTGGGTATACTTTCCTCCCAATCCTGACAGATGACACGTACAAAAAGATAAACAAGAAAGAAAACCCCGCTGTGAGAGCTCAACTGTTTCCCCACAGGTTTTTCCCAAACACAATATCTGATAGGGCCGATGCTAACCGCTGATTGGTTGATCAGAACCACGACGCCCGCCAAATCACACCAGCATAACACGCCACATTTTTTACCTACGATCGAACGACCATGTCGGGTCTATTCAGCTCTCGCTGGGCACCCGGATCCGGGGGAAACGATACCCAGCGAGTCAAAATACGTCCCAGCACTGGCCCTCGCCCTCTAATAACTCCAATACCGGTAACAGCAGTATCCGCCCGGCGACTATCACATCCCAAGATGGTCGTTTGCTGCCGCCTGCCGAGGAATTGGCACGATTTATGAAAATTGTCGCTAGGCTGAGATGGAAACTTCCATTTTTAGCAGAAGGATACCGTCTTGCAACATTGGAAATCAGTGATGTGGTATCGGCAGACATAATCGCCCACGCGGAAATAATGTTCAAGATTGATTTCCATGAATATTATGCTCTGCTTGAACGTGCTATTGTCCATTTACTGGCGGTTTTCAATATCTCGGTCACATCCTCGCCTCGGGGACCACTAGATAATGGGAATGGTGTCGGTCGGCCTGTTGGTATTCATCGATACCATGCCAATGTGCTAGAGGCTTTGCGGGAGCAGTCAACCCCACTATCCCCAGTTCTTGGCAGTGGTGCTGTTTATCTACAATTACAAAAGGCCAAGGAATTACGGAATAGATGGAAAACTGCCGATCGGACTACGGAAGAGAGAGAAAAACAAGGCGAAAGGAAAGATGTTGTGACGCTTGCAAGTTTTGACTTCGAGGGGATCATCTCTGATATCTTTGGTGGATTAGAAGAATCATATGTTCGGGCAAAGGAGCATGTCGACAAGTGCATCCGTCCAGATGAGGTCACTGGAGAGGGGACAAATACCGAAGCGGACTGGGGATTCATGGTCGATGCCATGGATTGGGAAGCCGTATGAGAACTGGTGAACTGCAGAATTTATGGCCAGCAACTATTCAACGGTGTTATGGATGTATTTGTTGCTGGCATCTGGTGTCAAAGTCGCCATGTTCGATACCCAAGTGCAGACTTTCATGGCTATGCAGATCTCTATTGACACTTCACGCCTGGTCCAATCATGACTTTTGTGTCTCCCAGGTCTTGTTAATGTGCCTTGCGCTTGACATTTGCTGTTTTCCCTTGCTACTTTGGTCGATTGGAAGGTTCCCAGGTTGCACGGTATTCAAGCGATTGAAATTGAAGGAGAGATGTTCCAGCAACATGAAAACTTCTTCAGTTGACCCCAGAGCAACAGGAAGGACTTTACCTCCTCCTTATCCCTTTTCTTGATACGTTCCATGTTCCAATCAAACACCACTCCTAGCTTTTCCAGGTGGAAGCAAGACTCAGTATTTCTGATTCCCATCTGGTCACTACATTTGTGTACTTCTCCTATGAATCCTTTTACCTCCATATGTCTCTTCCATATACCCCTTTTTATCGCACCCTCTATATCTCAACTTCCCTGTTGTGACCCAATACTAGAGCTTGGTGGAACAGAAGAGCACACCCGGACTCAAATATAAAAAGATTCGAACTAGTAAACAAAGTAAGAGTTCAGCATTCTCATGTCTCGATTGTTGCAATTCATCCTGTTAATGCCAGAAGGGGGTGGAATAAGCATCGTCTGGCAACATGGCAAACAACAGAAACCAAACCTGATCAGGTCGCCTCACCGTCGCTAGACCTGTAGACCTATGCAATATCCAACCAATCAAGCATAATCCCCGTATGATCTGTACTTTGTTCCCATCCTAAAGTGTCCTGACCCACATAGTCATGTCCACCTAGGCACTCAGCATCATATGTTGTACATATGCGCCAATGATGGTCAATGGATCTTATTTCTAGTCTCAGGGGTTGAGTTATGATATCACAGAATGATATTAGGTAGGAATCTGCTCTTTCAAGACAGATTACATTACCTAGGTACATATACGCTCATAGCTTACTATCAACCAAAACCATCCTATTTACCACGGAGGAACACGAATCTGGAGAATCCTACAATACATACAAAGATCGATAAAGACAACAAAATAGTGCATGTATAAGTATCAGCACAATATATCCATAAATTCAGAATCTACAATCCAATTTCCATCTTTGTCCTTCATCGCCTTGCCAAATCCAAAACCAAACCACAAAAAGAACCTAAGGGGAAAAGGAGAAAAACAGAACATGAGTACTAAAATTCAAATGATATTCATAACAAACCAGTCTTCCGAAACCCGATATCTGTTTTTCCAGTGATGGAGACCCTCTCTAAAATTTCCAGCCGGAGACCCATAAACCCGCAACACGAGACACCGAAACCGAATGAAAGGAGAAAGAGTAGAAAATGGGGAATGTAGGAGGAGAAAAAGAAGATGAAAGAGATTGCCAGAAGCATATTCATAGTAGAAACACGGAAGTAGATATAAGCATGGGGACAGGAAGATGGAATATTTAGCGAGTTGCTATCTGTCGAAAATTATGAGGTGGCATATCAAGCACAACCATGTAATGCCCTTAAAAAGGCCCTACATATATAATATGAGGGCCGACAGGCAAGACAATTTCAGGCAGAGTAAAGCAAAGCATGCTATCTCTCCAGTCTCACATATCACTTTCAAGGGAGAAAGTGCAGATGCTTGGAACGGTCATTCTTGTACAAAGTATCTCCCACGATTTGAGGGAGTCACCATTGAGGAAGAGGATCGAGGATATAACATAGGCAAGAGGGGGAATGAAGAAGAAATAAATCGTCCCAGCATGGCGAATATCAACAGACATCAGGGGCAAATGGGGGTAAGATAGGTGAAAAACAAAAACACATCAGACAAAAAAACACGTAAGACAAAAGCATATCAGACAAAAGCACATCAAATGGGGCATAGAGCATAGAAAGGGGGGCATCCATACACATCGCTCGCTAGAGAAAAGGTCCAAGACATCCATCCATAAAGCCGTGACGACAAAAGAAAAACAAAGAAAATTCAATACCGCAAGTCACCTCAGCAGGACGTGATATACCGTTCACGGTCTTGTGGGTGAAAATGAGCGCGATTAGCCGTCCTCATCCGAGGCCTCGGCGGAGTCCCCCTCGCTTCCGTCGGCGCTGGCGTTGGCCTTCGTTTTCTTGGAAGAATTCGAGCCGTCGCCGTGGACTTCACTTGACTTGCGCTTCAGACTGCCACCGTTCTCGGTTGGCAACGGCTTGCTAAGATCCTCAAAGGTAACAGGCTGACCCGTTACTTCTTCTCGCTTCTCCATGGCAGCCACTTCATCTGCAGTCAGGAAACGTCCACCGGGTCCACGGGGTCTTCGCATGGCGTGGTTGTGTCGTGACTCGTGCAGATAAGGCTTGCGCCCCTTTGATGTCAAACGTAGCTGCTCCTCGAGCTTTTGTCGGGCGACGCGGCGCTTCAAAATCCGGTGAAACTGCTTGGCGTTCACATATAGTGGCGACTCTTCTTGATTGCCGCCGGGTACCATGTCGGGTGAGGGCTGGTTCTGTTGTACGGGAGCCTGGGGAAGTGGTGCAGCAATGGGGGTCCGGCCGACATGGCTCATGACGGGCTGTGCGCTCTGGACGTTGGGGCTACCGACATGGCTCATGCGACGTTGAAGTTGCTGGTTTGGGGGCATCTGAACCTGCGATCCCATTGGAGGCATCTGGTTTTGCATCTGTGGGGGGGAACGGGGGTCACGGTCCTGCTTCATTTGCATGCTCGCCATGCGCGGTGAGGCTCGGGAGCCCTGAGACATCTGGCCGGCCATGGAGTCCTGGTGAAGAGGATAGAACTGCCCAGACGCAGCTGCAGTAGCCATCGCAGCAGCCTGCGTTGGCGAAATGCCGTAGCCCTGAGCCATGGGCGCGGGGACACCATAGCCCTGGGGAAAGTTCATTTGTTGATGAACAGCTCCGGGTCCATTCTGTGCTTGTTGATAATGAGGTTGCGACGGAACAATGGGAGAGGATTGGTGGGTTGAGTGAGGTTGGATGGGTGCCTGGGCGTTAGTAGGCGAGGCCATCGACCCAACAGGAGGACCGGCGTTTGGTGGCCCGGTTTGATAAGGACCGGGGATATGAGTGGGAGCATGTGGGTGTTGCCCGTGGGCTTGTTGATATTGAGGAGGATATTCCATGCTGGCGGGGTTGCAATAAGTGGATCTTGTCACACTACAGGGTGCGGCGCCGATTCAGTGGATCGATCTGAAAATGGCAGCTTAAATGGAGATCACCAATTAGACCCAAAGGATTGTTTTGGGGTGGTAGGTCAAATATGTCAAAAGTTGACGGCGACGTTTGTTTGGTAGATGTAATAAAGCGATATCGCAGAGCGCGCGCAATGAGGGACAAGAGTCACCACAAGTGCTGGGGTAGGTGACTGATGATTCGACGAATAGTCTGCAGGCTCGGGGCGTCGCGTCAGCAGAGCGCATCGCCGAGCGGTCACTGGATTGGCGGGTGGGGGTATGGGGAACCAAAAGAACACAACTGGGACCAGGCACGTACCTTAAATTGCAGGCGCGTTCTGATATTGCTGTGTGTTTCGTCAATAAACACTCTCGGGTCGACCTCTTGTGTCGAGAGTAATCCCGAACGGCTTGCGGAGGGTTTTGGTTTTGTGCAAAGTTGTTTACACCCACAGTCGGGTGTAACGTGGTTGGGCTGTGATGCAGCGGTGCCGGGGTACCTCAACTAGATGTCGGTTTGATGCGCTGTCAAGTCAGAGCAGACCTGATGATGGCAGATGTGGAGACTACGCAGTGTATTTGAAGCACGGTCGACAGGATACCTCATTCATGCAGTTCTGAGACCTTGCTCTGCCACGTCCAGCGTAGGATTCGGGCGGTGCTAACAGCCTCGACTTGCGACAGATAACGCCTGGGCGTTGATGTCAGAATGCGCCTCACTAAGGCTCCACGCACCCAACACTATGGGCTAGTATTAGCATTTTTAACCTTTCATCCAATCAACGCGATGAAGCAACGACCAATGCGCTGTTCAATACAGAGGGTTCAAGTGGAGGGGGTTTGGGAATCCGGGGCGGGTTAGACCGGTCAGGGTTGAGAGGGGAGAATGTATGCGTTGGCAAGGCGGGAATTGAGCTGCAGCTGGAAACGTACCTTGTCGATCGAATTCTGCAGAGTAGAACAAAGTGAAGATTGGAGTAGTTTAAACAGGCCAAAGCCAAGGAAATCAGGTTGCGCGAATCTATGTCATATGTTAGATGCAACTGGATACCCACGAGGAAGGTATAAATGAGACGCGTGCAGATTGGACGAGAAGAAACATGAAACGCAATCGCGCGCATAGGTAAAATCAGAAGAGCCAATGGGAGAAGGAATAGCAAGGATAGGTCAAAGTGAAAATGAGTGTGTTTTGGTTTAGCACGCGTTGTTTTGCCACGAGATAAGCAAAAGCGCGCGCAACGTGGGATTGGAGCTTAGCGATTACCTTAATAGGCACGGCAGAAATAGATAGGATAATCACCGGGGGGTTATAAGGTGACTTTCCAATCCCAAGCAATCAAGGGATCCCAGGGTAGAAGATGATTTGACCAGAGGGGAGAGAGGGGGGAGATGGGAATCGTGCCAACGAGAGAGAAGGCGGTGGTCCTGTGGGAGCCACTGATGTCAAGCCGGGCACTTCCGCCAAAGTTATACAAGGACCCGGCAGTAAGGCAATATAGACAGTACAGGAGGTATATAGGGATACAATTGTAGTTCAAATCATGTTAAAAAAAAAAAAAACAACAGGAATACAAAAGTGAATTGTGACATATGTTTTTACCCATGGAGAATTGTGATCAAAGATGAAAGGTCAAACAAAGAAAAACACAGGGGCAAAAAAAAGAAAAAGAAGCATACAATTGCCAGTACTAGAGTACAGTAATTGTGCTGTAGTTGAAGCAAATTGTATATCAAACTTACCCCAGTTATAGTATCGAGACCAATAGAGAAGGAATGACCTTATGCAAGGCAGGGTTTCACCAATAATGATGTAAAAAGGGGGGAGATGATACTGTGCGATTGGAGGATGAACTGGAGATGGCGGGCAACCAACGAGAAGAGGCAGAGGGAAGAAAGGCGAGGAAAAAGGGCGGATGGGGCAGTTTTGTAGGCGATTGACTGGCTGCCGACTGAGCGACCGCCTTACTCCCCGCTGCTGAGGTCGCCTTTTCTGCGATATTACACTAGATTACACCTCAATACACATCATTACTGGTTCATCAACCTCCATATCCGCCCAAATGGCCCCCAATGGTATCCCTATTACAATACTGTAATAACAACAAATCCGGCAGTCCCGAGTTCTTGTCATGTGCGACCCGAGACTATGACGCGTGGTCTGGAGGACGAGTATACCATCCTGCCCTTCCTATGTGTTTTTCCTTCTTTCAATCTTTTCTTACTGGACTTGATTTGGTTAAAATATAGCCATCTACTATATCTATGGATAACAAGTTACTCACATTATTCCCTTCTACATCCTACTATACTACCCTCAAAACCCCAAACCTGAGCATTAAATCATACTCCGTACACTTTCAGCTGCATCTGCATATCTGCCCACGCTATCACTCGCCTCATTCTCATTTTAATAATCGCCTCCTTTCTTTTTTTGGCCCTTTTTTTTTCCCGTCAGCTTGCTTTCTGCTCATGATTATCACTTCTAATACCCAAAAAGAATGTTTCGCCATTTCAGTTTGCTTTTTTCTACTCTCGGTGGACACCGCGAAGCTCGGCCGTGTGCCCTAGTTGGGGAAGTCTCCACCTAATGTCCCATTCGATCTGTGGCCCTTGCTTCAAAGCTCGTGCACGATGTACTCCGGGAAAAAAAAAAAGAGCTTCACAGACAGGATTTGTTCTAGTACAGCCTGTCATTCTCGGCACTTATGGTCCTCACGGGAGTGTGATGAGATCTCTTAGGTGGCGGCAATGGAATCATCTCCCCGGGCGGCAACATTGTAATTCAGACGGGAGTGACGACGTTATTTAGTACACAAGCCCGTCCATCTGGCGTGAGTCGGGAGGCCTGAGTATTTCATTATGTCGATTAGACATTCACTGAAAAACACGAGGTCTCCCTCTCTAGATACTCGCTTGGCGCATTCAAGTGTTTGCCTAGCCAAGGTCATGACGCAATCTAATTAACCCAAGTTCGTATCGCCAAGATAGGTACTCCGTACATTTGCAACCGTTAACTATTATCATTATGGTGGGTTGTTACTATTATTGAAAATCCAAACTGGCGGTCGAAACAATTCTGCTCACCGTAGATTTACCTCCGACTCAAATATCCACACCTCCAGAGCTCGCGTTTCGGCTTCGGATATATTTTCCCGTAAATCGCCTCTCGATTTCAATTATCAACCGATTTAGATGACAGAATGTTCTAGTGTCATACATATATATCTTCTATAGTCCCAGTTTAATCTCCACGTGCATTCTAGTCAACTTTAGTAGCTTCTCATGGGCCATTCAACGCAGGCGATAAATCAGGGCGATAATCCCGATTCGCAGAGATGGATGGGTCCGATCTCCGGACCATGAAACATCCCACGTGTGAGAAGCTTGACCGCTTGACTTCGGACCTTCAAGTTTTTATTTGTAGCCCTCGGTTCTACAATATTATACATAGGTAAAGTAGGTTCATATACTCCATATTATTGATAACTAATTCCCGTTTGATCCCTTTTTTTTTTGTGTCTGATTTCGACCGATAGTCGTGGCGTTGGTGCTGTAGCAACCCGCATTCCTCGAAAATATATATAGTAGTTACCTCCAATAACAACCATTGAAACACATAGTTACCTTCTAAATTCACAAATTTTATACAGGAAGGTGTCAGCTACTCTCCATTAAATAGAAGGCTAACCAGAGGAAATTTTAGAGCATCCCTTTTGTAGAGATAGAGAGAGAGTACAAAATATTGTGAGACTTTGGCCATTTCTTAAGTGGTCAGATTATTTTGTACATGCGCCAGTTCCGCGTAAATACTGGACGGGACATGATAACCACTCAATGCCAAAACAAGAGCAGCAGCTGTTCGCTTGCTGGCACGCGATAAATCATAGAGTACCAACGCGCTTACGATGTATACCAGCCATGCCGACCACAGTAATGATATTGAGCTACACTACACCAAAAAGTAAAAACTCGTCCGCCCCAATGTTATCAAAAAGCCAAAGGTCGCCTAAATGTACGTACGCCATACCTGTCTGTCCTTTTATCCAGCAAAATATTCAACTCCTGTGGCTATAGTATCACTTCGGGACCTTAGCCCCATCCTCCATCATATATACCTCCTGAACTATGGGCTTCCTGAGCACCCTGAGGGACTCCAAGATACTGCAGATCTTCTCCACAAAGGAGCCTGCAAGGCTTTTGTCAGCAACAGTGGATGGAAAACAGCTTGGGAGGGTGCTCAATACGTGGACGAGTTGCGCGGTATAGATCGAGCCAGTTTTCAGTATTCTGAGTTCGGCAAGCATCAGGCTGAGGCAGTTTTGGATGTCTAAATAGACAGTTATTGTTAATAACCTCCATGAAAAAGAGCAGTTCAGATACTTACCTGCGACGACCATAAACCACAGCCAATACTATAAACGAGATGGCGAGAGGGATGCCTATCCCAAGAGAAAGGCCAATAGCTAGGCCCTCGTTCACTGCCATTTTTGGGATTTGTGAACAGTTTTGGTAAATTTGGGATGTAGTGTTTCGGATACTTCGATTTGACTCGGTTTAGAGCGATAACTGTGATTAGTTATAGTACGGCCGAGAAGAAAGAATAGTATGTTGGATCAAATTGTGTAGAAGAAAGAAAAATCGATGATATCACATTTAAAAAATGTAGAGAGAGAAAGGCCGCGTCCGAAAAGGGATAGAACCTTGGAAGGGTTTGTCCCTGAACCTAGTTCAAATGGCTAAGGCACAAGCAGGCAAGGTTCTAAGTTATGTGCCTAGTACACAGATTGTGTAATTATTCCCATAGAAAACTAAGAGGCGCAAACGTAAAAGACAGGATATGTTGGGAGTAGAATATGTTTAGGCAAGAAGCAATTGGTTATTAACTCACTGGATCTAATATATCTAGCTAGATACCTAAGTAGAAGCAAAATATCATCCAACCCAAGCTTTATCATGTATCCTCATGTCCTTGCACTTATTGATGTCTTACATGCTGAGCCAAATATCCATCATTTGCGGTTATAGTATCACTTTGTAGGTGTTGCACATGATATACACTTCCGGAACAACCTGTTTCTTTTTTGAACTAAGAGCTTCAAAAATATCGCAGAGTTTCTGATCAAAAGTTCGTTAGTCAGAACATAACCATAGGTAACTTGGAGAACTTACTCTGCTGTGTTGCCTTTTGTGCTGAGCATATAGTGAAACTTGGCAGGTAGGGCTTCAGCCTCTGCTTTCCAGTGACTGGTACCTGCAATATTCTGATAGATATTCGTAGAAAGAGCAGCTATACATTTGCGTAGGTGACCGTTCTCTGCGTTAACATCATCAACCATTTTAGAAAGAGATTAAAAATCCACGAGCGATCTTTTGTTTTGTGTATTATTGCCTTGGTTTGTGTTCGTATTGATAATCGTGGCACGGCCCACCACCACCTGGTAGGTGGTGGTGGGCCGTGCCACGATTACCTGTGATTTCACTGTCCGATCTCTCGCATCATGGCTGCAGCTTGCGAAGTGTCTCGTGCTGGTCTATGATCTTGGTGTAGTTATCCAAGGTCGTCAAGAAGAGAACACACCACCCATCTTGTAGTGAGATAATTGATGTGGGACTTGACAGTTGGCGAATTAACTGACAAGATGTAAGGATATATGGAATGGTGAAATCATCCATGGGATTACATCTATGGATGTCATGGAAGAAAAATTGAAGGTCGCATCTAAATATGGCCAGGCCCTCTTAATGACTCTATTCTCGCCCACAAGAAGCTTGATATATGCATATAGCCACAACGTACGTACACAGTCACCTAAGAAGTAGCGACATAACTATCTATACGCCCCCTCAAGGACATGCTCTGGTTATGCAGAGAAAGTTTCTCTGTGCGGTTTATGTTTTTTACCGCTTTTGTAAAGATTAAAAAGACGTCCAAAAGAACCCAAGAATATGTCGGCGTCTGACATATAACGTCGCTAATATCGTGCTGGGGTAAAGAAATCAGATTATTAAAGTCCCACATCATCGAGGACAGAGAGGCCCCTTGCAGTCCACGGGCGGCGGTGGAGCGCTTACTCAGCATCACCCCCGGACCAAAGTGGCTTTTCCGCATCGTTGTTGACTCGAGACCGCAATCGCATTTTGTTTTGCTTGGTGCCTCGAGAAAACAGATACTGTGGCTGGTTTCACTCGGTGGCTAATTCTCAACGTTGCAAGACCCAGGCTCCCCGCACATTAGCAAACCTCCCCACAAAAAAAAAACATCACAGACGCGCAACATCAACATTGGACAGATACATGACGTCTTTGTTGACACCCACGGTTTCGAATCTCACTACGAACCACCTCCAAACGAGCACAAGCGATTTAGCTGTACTAAACTCCGCGCTCATTCCCCTGGGACAGATCTTCAGGCGGCGCTCCTCGCGGAGTTCGCGCATCGGTGTACCCCTGTCACCACTTACATCCCACCTACGGACTCCGGCTTCCATACACCTTCATTGTTGACCAACATCTCCCGTGCATGGGTTAGAGAGCAAAGATGGCTCCAGGCGGCGGTGGAAATATTAAAGTGGTGGTGCGAGTGCGGCCTTTCAATAGTCGAGGTGAGTAGATGTCGAGGGAGGGGGTCTCCATTGGACCTTAAGCTAACCAAATATGTCTCTATACAGAGATCGAACGAGGCGCAAAATGTATTGTGTCGATGAAAGGCTCGCAGACCGTGCTCACTCCTCCACCCGGCGCAGAGGACAAATCGCGGAAGGGTGGGAAGGGCGCTGTTGAAGGGAACAAGGTCTTCGCCTTTGACCGATCATATTGGTCCTTCGATAAGAAATCATCAAACTTCGCCGATCAAAATGACCTGTTCGACGATTTGGGTTCTCCGCTTCTGGATAATGCCTTCGGGGGTTACAACAATTGTATCTTCGCTTATGGCCAGACCGGTTCGGGAAAATCATACTCCATGATGGGTTATGGCAAAGAATACGGTGTGATTCCACGGATTTGCCAATCGATGTTCGAGCGCATAACCACGATACAGGCGGACAAGTTATTAAATTGCACCGTTGAGGTGTCCTACCTCGAAATTTACAACGAGCGGGTACGTGATTTGCTCAACCCGTCAAATAAAGGCAATCTGAAAGTCCGTGAGCATCCGTCAACGGGTCCTTATGTTGAGGATCTGGCCAAACTTGTCGTCGGCTCTTTCGAAGAAATCGAGAACCTGATGGACGAGGGTAACAAAGCCCGAACGGTTGCCGCGACCAGCATGAATGAAACCTCAAGTCGATCACATGCCGTTTTCACCTTGACTCTGACGCAAAAGAGACACGACAAAGAGACTTCGATGGATACTGAGAAGGTGTCGAAAATCAGTTTGGTTGATTTGGCTGGTTCAGAAAGAGCCAACTCGACTGGAGCCACCGGCGCGCGATTAAAGGAGGGTGCGGAGATCAATCGCTCATTGTCAACACTTGGTCGTGTCATTGCTGCACTCGCTGATGTCTCTGCTGGCAAGACTGCTGCGAGCAAGAAGAAGAATGCATCCATGGTACCATATCGTGATTCAATCCTAACATGGTTGCTAAAGGATTCTCTGGGTGGAAATTCCATGACCTCCATGATTGCAGCAATTTCTCCTGCAGATATTAACTTTGACGAAACTCTTGGTACTCTGCGATACGCCGACTCGGCGAAACGAATCAAGAACCATGCTGTTGTGAACGAAGATCCGAATGCACGCATGATTCGCGAACTCAAGGAAGAACTGGCACAGCTCCGATCAAAACTTGGAGGGGGAGTAGCACCAGGAGGAGCACCTGGCGCCATAGGAGGTGGTCTTCCCCAGGAGTACTATCCCCCAGACACACCGTTGGAGAAACAAATGGTCTCGATCCAACAGCCGGATGGAAGTCTCACTCAGGTCAGCAAGGCAGAGATTGTAGAACAACTCAATCAGAGTGAGAAGCTCTACAAAGATCTTAACCAGACTTGGGAAGAGAAGCTGCAGAATACGGAACTTATCCACAGGGAGCGCGAAGCAGCTTTGGAGGAATTGGGAATCAATATCGAAAAGGGCTTCATTGGAATGAGCACACCAAAGAAAATGCCCCATTTGGTCAACCTCAGCGACGATCCGCTTCTTGCGGAATGTTTAGTCTACAATATCAAACCTGGCACCACCACGGTCGGTCATATGGATCAAGGCCAAACCGTGGAGATCCGGTTGAATGGATCCAAAATCCTCGAGAAGCACTGCACGTTCGAGAATGCGGATAACATTGTGACCATTGTACCTGCCGAAGGTGCCGCTATCATGGTGAACGGCATGCGGGTTGACAAGCCCACACGACTGAAGAGTGGTTTCCGAATCATCCTCGGCGATTTTCATATTTTCCGTTTCAACCATCCTCAAGAGGCTAGAGCCGAACGTGTCGAGCAGAGCTTACTTCGCCATTCAGTCACTACAAGCCAGCTTGGGTCGCCGGCGCCAAACAAAACCCATGATCGAACTCTGAGCAAGGCAGGGTCTGACATGGATGGCGATTCATCCAGGGCGGATTCACCCATGCCATCACAGCGTAGCCGTGAGTCAGACTGGTTCTTAGCACGTAGAGAAGCTGTCAGTGCTATGGTTGGACCTGACCAGATCTCTAATTTGCCTAATGATGAACTGGACACACTATTGGAGGATGTACAGAAGGTTCGAGCTGGACGGCGTGGACTTCCAGAAGAGGAAGATTCCGACTCCATCAGCTCCTTCCCGATTAGGGACAAGTACATGTCCAACGGCACCCTCGACAACTTCTCCCTAGACACCGCTATAACCATGCCTAGCACGCCCCGACAGAATGACGACGATGAAGTCAATGGCGTTGCATCATTCAACCAGGCACGTCAAGATATGCAGCGCCAGCTGGATCGCCGCAAGGAAGAGTTCCAAGAAAAACTCAAGTCTGTGGGGGCTTCGTCTGATCCAGACTCACCGGAGCTACGCACAGAGAAGGAGCGTATGGAGTACGCTCTACGGACAGCTAAGGATGAATTCGAAGAGCAACTGCGCAAACAAAAGGAGACTTTTGAAACCCACATCCGAGATATGGGTAAGCCAGTTCCTCAAATTTTCGAAAATGGCTTTGCCAAGTTGGACGAACGCGAACTCGAAATCGCACGCTCAGTGTACAGGCACTGGTCTCAGCGAAATTACGTCCGAATGGCCGAGAAGATTTTGCAACATGCCTCCCTTTTGAAAGAGGCACAGATCATGAGCCATATTATGGACAAGCATGTGGTCTTCCAGTTCGCCATTGTCGACCATGGTCATAACATGGAATCGTCTTATGATCTCGTGTTGAACGGAATTTCCGGCGATGAAGACATCCTGCTTGATGAGGCCAAGAAGCCTTGTGTGGGCGTCCGAGTCATTGACTTCAAGCAGTGCGTGATTCACTTGTGGTCAATTGAAAAGCTCCAGCGCCGCGTCCAAGCCATGCGACAATTGCACCAATACATCGACCGTCCCGACTACATCCAACACTTCAAACTCGACAATCCATTCTCTGAACCTTGCTCACCCCAGTATTCTCTTATCGGTGATGCCGATATCCCGTTAACGGCTGTTTTTGAGACCCGTGTGCAAGACTTTTCCGTTGAGATGACCTCGCCCTATACCCAGAGTGTCATCGGAATCATTCGTCTCTCGCTCGAACCTTCCTCCGCGCAGGCGCCCTCTTCGACCCTGAAATTTAACGTTGTCATGCGGGACATGATCGGGTTCGCGGAGTGGGAAGGGTCTGATGTACATGCGCAGTTATTTGTTCCAGGTATCTCAGAGGAAGGAGGCGCAACTACAACTCAAATGATCAAAGGATTTGAGGACGGTCCGGTTCGCTTTGAAAGTGTGCACAGCATGAGCTTGCCGCTGTCAAGTCCACGGACAGCCGCATTGAAGGTCTGTGTTTATGCTTGTGTGACATCGGTTCATCTCGACAAGCTTCTTAGTTGGGATGATATGCGTGACTCAGCGGAGCCGTCACCGCAGAAACGAACTTCCCCTCGAATCGCAGAATCGGAATATTACTCAGAAGGACGTCATGACGTCTTTGCGAGAATTCAAATACTCGAAATGGCAGAATCCGGTGAATACCTCCCCGTGGAGGTTGTCCAGAGTAGCAGCCTCGATGCTGGGACATCCCAGCTTCATCAAGGATTGCAGCGCCGCATCTCAGTCAACATCACGTACAGCTCGACGGAAACTCTTCCGTGGGATGATATTAACAACATCCGCGTCGGTTCTGTTCGCCTCCTTGATCCTTGGGGCAAGATCCCAGATCAGGACTTCCAGACTCCGGACGTCCCCTTGAAGTTTGTTCAAGAACCAACGGTTAGGGAGAATGCCGACGGGACCTCTCATGTCACAATTGTCGGCCAGTGGGACTCAAGTTTACATGGATCTTTGTTGCTTGACCGAGTGACGGCCGAGAAGTACCGGGTTCAAGTGACTGTCCGTTGGGATCTTGTGTCCAGTCGCTTGCAGAACCCGGTTGTTTTCGAGGCAGACCAGACAATCCAGATTCAAGGCCGTACCTATGTCCGCCAACAGTCGATGTTCAAGCAATTCTGGAACTCGATTCGTGTTGTACACTCAACGACTCGCATGTACTCGTTGGTTATTCGGCCCATTTCAGCTAAGCGTGCTGCTGATCTGTGGCGTATGAACACACAAAATGACTATGTGAAAGGCGAGGAACTACTAAATACTTGGGCTCCTCGTAAGGTTTCTCTCGTGCGAGACTACATTGCCAACCGCAAGCGTCGGCAGCGTGTGGCAGAGCTTCATGCTGCCCGAGGCGCTCTAAGCGCGGGCTGTCTCATTCCATCGCTGGCTCGTAGTGGAAGGTCAACTCCAATGCGGGGCGCAGATCTCAATGAGCGCAAATCCAAACTTCTACGCAAGTACCTTGATCTATGGTCGCTCAAGCAGGACCCAACAGAGGCAATCCTCATCCGGAGTCATACCGAACCCCCTTCGGACGGAACGGCGCACATTAGAAATTCGGATGCGAACGGCCTCTCCGACAAACTATCCCTCAAACCTCGCTTCACAGCCACCATCCAAACTCTTCCCAAAGCCCCCGACGCCTTAAAAACGGGGTACGTGCTTACGCCCGATGATACCAACAACGTGTGGGTACGTCGTTTCCTGGAGCTCCGCCGGCCGTACCTCCACATCTACTCGGTCCCAGAGGGAGACGAGATCAATGCCATCAATCTCCGCAATGCGCGTGTCGATCATGCGCCGGACTTCGCAAGACTGCTAGAGGGTTCAGGAGCTGGAGCCGACCGTTCGCTGTCCGCCAAGGGACGACCGAATGTGTTTGCAGTCTATGGAACCCAGAACACTTTCCTCTTTGCTACCCGTACAGAGGCACAAAAGGTGGAATGGATCTTGAAGATAGATGAGAGCTACTTCAACAGCAACAGCCCCAGACCCCCCACCAATGGCGACTAATAATTCTTATTGGAATCTCTCACTAGTTGTGAGCGGACATGTCTGTGGACAAGCTTCAGCTTTGGGGCTTCCTCTGCTTCATTTCTTATGATATTACGGGTCTAAGTCTACATTTACTTTCTACTTTATTCTTTCGTTTTCCCATTTGCTTTCATGACCCGTTGAGATACCCCTTGAATATATCGACTCGCTGTGGCAATTTCCCTTTTATGTACATAATAATCCGATATAGTTGGGAATATAGATTCGACTGTGCACAGTTTCTTTCGCTTTGGTAGCTTTGATGCCTACATTTGTACCTGATAGACCAATATTCTGTAGTTAAACGACATAGATAAATAGCACATCCAGCTGTAGAGCCAACTGGTCTCTCTGTTTTTCTTTGACCTGATCAATTGCCGACTATAATTAGAATCCATATCCAAGTACTCCATACCATCAGCATCTTTGCTCGCATCTGCGTTGCCATGGAAACAATCAGAGCTCACACCAGTGACATCAACCCACGAAATTATCAGGTCTTCCTCTCTTCTAGACTGAGACCTCGGATAGAAATTTAAATCGAGCCTTAAGCACAGAAGAGGGCAAATCTGGAATTGTTCCAGAAAGAATGATCACTCAACGCCCTTCATTCCGCTACCTGGTCACTGGCGCCGTGGTATCTCTGTTTATCCTTACATTCCTCGTCCTCGGCACCGGTTCACCCTCACTCTCATCACAATTTAATATAAAGACACAATCACGACAGCCATATTGTGCCCCGCCCGTGAACTCTTCCGCTGGTTGGGAATTTGTCGTTGAGCGCGATGGAAACAACCACGGTCTCTCTGAGGACCAATGTCGCATTGCTTTCCCGAAGCTATTTGTTGAGATTGACAAGTCCTCTATATCGAGAGAAAACAAGCTAGTTTCCTACAAGGAGCTCGATTCCAGGACAGTGGATGATGGCCTGGTGCGGGGGATTATTGATCGAGGACAGGTAAGTGAAAACATCCAACATTCATTCGTCCTTGTGGACTCAACACCAACCTCATTCTAACATATTCTAACTATTTTAGTTGTATATTGTCGATTACGCCCCAATGCCCGTAACAGCATCCCGAGCACGCGCAACCCTAAACTCCCTCCACCGCGCCCTAACAGCATTCCCAGACCGCCACCTCCTCCCCAGCATCGAGTTCATCTTCACCACAGAAGACTTCGCTGAAGATACAAATGCCCCGAGTCCCATCTGGGCCTACTCAAAACGCGACTCGGACACTTCAGTCTGGCTAATGCCCGACTTCGGATACTGGGCCTGGCCAGAAGTGCAGATCGGTCCGTATCATGAAGTCAGGCGTCGCATTGCCGCAATCGACGACGGCGAAACTGCCGCAGACGGTACATACGTGTCGGGTCTGAAATTCCAGGAGAAGAAAAAGCAGCTCGTCTGGCGCGGTAGTCTGGCCACGAACCCGCCTGTCCGCAGTAAGCTACTCAAGTCTGCGTCGGGTAGTAGCTGGGCTAGCGTGCGCGTCATTGATTGGGATGATCCAAATGATATCAGATTCAATCTTCTGCCTATCGAAGATCATTGTCGGTATATGTTCCTCGCGCATACTGAGGGCAGGAGCTTCTCTGGTCGTGGGAAGTATCTTCTTAACTGTCGTTCGGTTGTTATCTCCCATGCGCTTGAATGGCGTGAGGCTCATCATGCCGCGCTTATCTCGACTGGGCCTGATGCGAACTATATTGAGGTTGATCGGAATTGGTCCGATCTATCGCGTAAGATCGATTATCTGATTGATAACCCTGACATTGCGGAGCGTATTGCCAATAATGCTGTGCGCACTTTCCGGGATCGCTATCTTACTCCGGCGGCTGAGTCGTGTTATTGGCGTCAGTTGATTCGGCAGTACTCTGCTGCTTGTGATTTCGAGCCTGTCTTGTTCTCGACGGGTCGAGATGGGAAAGACACAGTCGAGGGGTGTTCCCTATGATACTTGGTTGCTTATGCATTGATGAGGTCTGAATCAGGTGTCTTGTTATGATTGTGATTTTATTGCATATTGGTGTTTCTTTTTGCGATATTCCCCGTTGGCGTTAAGAGTGATGACCTTGATATTTCACCCCCATGTACATGAAATATGGATTGACTGTTTATGATTGTCCACAATGCACATTTTATTCTGATGAAACAACTGAAGTTTCTTTATATTCATATAGTCTATTTTAAACAGAAGGATTCAGGGCTAAATATACATCCACACTTCGCAACGCAGTCGTCAAATCAGAATGGAAAAACGGCCGTCCCGCATTGTCCGGCGTGGACGATACAGACATTTCCATACCCTTCTCAGTATCCGAGGAAGATCCCTCAGAACCTGGCTCTCCAACGCCCTTTTCATTCGCACCCCCTCCCGAGGCAACGGCCAAGATCCAAAGCCGGCCACATTTAGCGCACGCTTCGTCCATCGATTCTTAATACAGGCAAAATGCCACTGCACAACAACAGGTGTCGACCGACGATCCAGCTGCGTGCGTATATCCACCAAACTCTGGATACAGGTCACGTCGACATTATTGACAGCCGAGAAATCAAGAATGACAGCTTGCAGAATCGGCAGATGGGAATCATCCGCGCTGGAAGAGACCGGCTCGTTCCAGGGGCGATCGCCCTTTTTCGTGTATATCTCCGCGTTCGTCCCGCGGGTATGCTTGTAAATTGTTTGGACGAGGTCGTCGAAGTAGTGGCTTGCGTTGGGGTAGTTGAAGCCTTCGGAGAAACGGTAGACGAAGACGCCTGGACGGGGTCTTTGGATTTTGATGTTTGGGTCGGCTTTTGGTTCGTCCACTGGTAGGTAGAGAGGGATTTGGTTATTTTCGTCGTTTATCCAGGCTTGGCCCAGGAATTGGCCTGGGGCTTTTGCGTGACGGAATAATAGGACGGCGACGGAGATGCAGACCGTTGCGTAGATGCTGTTTGGGACTGTGCTGAATAATGCGACGATTAGGCCCACTGCGAAGATGACGGCGTCGAGGGGGGAGATGAGCCAGAATTGGTAGATGGTGTTGGGTGGGACGATCAGATCTCCGACTGCGTGGATGATCACGGCTGATAGCGTTGCTTTGGGGATGTAGTAGAGGCCGGAGGTCAATGTGTACATGGCGATCAGGACGACGATGGCGGTGATGATGCCGGTGAAGGGGGAGCGTGCCCCGGACTTGGATTGAATGGCCGAGCGGGAGAAAGCACCTGTCGCTGGGAAGGCACCGAGGAAGGGACCGAGGAGGTTGGTGATGCCAATGGCGATAAGCTCTTGCGAGGGGTCAATCGTGTAGTTGTTAACACGGCCAAATGTTTTTGAGACTGCAATGTGCTCGATGAGGAGACAGATCACGCTGGCAGGTAATTGGGAGACGATGAGCTTGATTACATTGGCTCTGAGTACAGGGACACCCGCTTTGTCGAAACCCTTTGGCACGTTTCCAACCAAAGCAAAGGCGGGATTGTCGCGGCGATGCTGGTTCACGCCAAGACTGATAAGAGCGTAAAGAGCGATGATGAAGACTGTGCGCAAGGCGCCAAGGAAGAAGAAGAGCTTGGCAAAGCGTGGCTTCTTGGCTGCACCATAGTTGAAGCCTGATCGGAGGCCGTATAGAGCGAACAGCGCGGTAAGACCCATGGCCGCATCGTATCCTTGTGCGGTGGGAAGATACCTCAGCGTGTCGATGATTATTCGGTATGATGGAGTGCTCGTTTCAAAGTCGCCTGTCTGGCCCAGCAGTCCCTTGACTTGACCCGAGCAGATACTTATAGCAGAACCGACCATGAAGGCTGTAATTGCAGGAACCGGAATGAAGTCGATGATGAAACCTAGCCGTGCGAAGCCCATGAATGCAATTATGCCTCCGCAAAGTATGGCGACTGATAGGGCGATTTCCGGGCCTCCAATCTCGGGGTGGTCTTTTTGAACATCGGTGACAATGCCGCCGAGAACTGTTGACATGGTAGCTACGGGCTGCCCAGTTGATTAGCCCATGCAAGCACCGGATATGAGACACTACGGGGGTAGCTTACCCCAATCGTGATATCTTTGGATGTCGCAAAGAACCAGTAGATAACAACACCAATGAAAGAAGTATAGAGTCCATATTGCACAGGAAGATTTGCCAGTTTGGCGTATCCCATACTCTGGGGAACCACGACAGCTCCAACCGTTATTCCTAAAGACAGTTAGCAGGAGCTGGGACTCAAAGTTAACAAAGGCAGTTACCTGCAACCAAATCCCCCAGAAACCATTGAACGTTATAGTGTTGGATCCATTTTAAGAAGGGCAACAACCTCACGAAGTATTGTCCGGTCTGTTGTCTGGAGGGAATGCCATCGCTTAACCATTCCCGAACAGTCGGATCTGTCTCGTGAGGCAGTGCTGTTTTATTGTGTTGGTTGGGAGGATCTTGCAAGCCAAGCACCTTCTTGACAAGGGCCGACTTCATGTTGATATAGAACGCAAAAATATCAAGCAAAATGACAAAAAAGATCAAACCGTCTTGGTACGGCAGAAATCACTATCGGCACAGTGGTCTAATCCCCTTAGGGTTAACATTCCTGAGCATCCACTTTTCAATACAAGTGCCCATTATTTCAATGTTCAGTATATTAAAATGAATTAAAATGAATTAAAATGACGTAGAATATTTCCAGCTGTAGCCACATGGTTCTTTTCTGAGAATTATGTTAATGCTTTTATAGTCAATAGTGAACCAACCTGTATAGAGTCAAATCATGAGGATTGACCGAACCCTGTGTCATTTACTGTGGTGGACTGATAAATGGCACTTGTATTGAAAAGTCAGACCAACGAATACTATCTCTAAAGGGGTTAGTCCGCCGTGCCAATAGTGAATTTCTGGCGTGCTAACAATATCAGTCGATGGGTGGTTAACAGCCACGGCATTGGTTAAACTTGTTTGTATTATAAAAAGAAACTTATATTTGATTTATTTTCAGTCGATCTAACCAGACAAATCAGCTGTAAGGTTACACCAATTCAATGTCGCGCAGCTTGACATGCAGACAGAGTGGAATGTGGCTAGATCGTCTTTTGGGGGGGGTACCGAGGACTGCTCGCGTGACCATTAGTATGTTTTGGGAAACGGAAGCCCACAGATGATGCCAAGCACTCGCTAGTCCAGGGGAGGGATTGGCACGGTGGAGCTGTATCAGGGAGACAAAAGTGCCGACAGGGGCACATTGCAGTATGGCCCCTTGCACTGGGCTCAAGTATGGAGTATACCGGAGCACCCGTGGTAAATGTCACGGTTCTGAACGGAGCACGGAGTAATGGTTCCTTGATTCAATCTTTGAAGCTCATCATTACAACATAAGTTGTGCATATAACCTTTTCTCGCGAGAATGTGGGTCACACTCGGAGACATACCGGAAGTTTTGAGTTTTTATGAATGCTTCGTTTATAGTCAAATGAACACTTTAGCTCTATCTGTTTTTCTTTTTTTTCATGTCGACACCTGCTCAGATGAGGTCTGAAACATTATGTGATAATCAAAATAACTTGGAAGTGCAACCATGAACTGGGGTGAGGAACGTTCGAGAAATATACCTCGTCTTCTGCGAAAGTCGCGTTGAAGCTACTTGAGTGCCAATGGGAATCATGCTCACACTTCCTCAAACACTACAAAATCCCTTGAAATTTCCGAGACTTGTGATCCCAAGTATTTTAGAAGATGAGACAAGTTTTAAGCCTCAAGCACGCCGAATGGGTGACTTATTTGTGGGGAGTCGCACGGATTAAAATCAGATCTGGTCGAGATGCAAGACATACGATAATGCTACATAGGGGCAAATCAGAGGTTGATGGAAATATTTCTGGCTACTTTGCCAGGCTCACGGGATCTTGTACTTGCAACATAATGAGACATTGAAAAGTCGGGAGACCTGTATCTGCGATAAATGTGCATTGGCATAACATTCCGACCTCGGGTGCTTTGCTAAGCATCAATACCGAGCATCACGTGACAGCTATGTTCTCCGAATATTCTTGGCACGTGTTCTTCTGGCTTCGAGGGATTATGGGCCATCTTGAGCCTTGTCACTAAAAAGAGGATTAGAACAGATCACTGTCAAAAGAAAGGCCAATAAATTAATCAATTACAAACAGGTCGAAAATGACAGACAGAAAAACAGACAATCTTCAACGCCGCTAGGGGATTACTGTTAGAGACGACAGTGGGCTATTTTATCGAAGCACCCTCGATCAGGAAATACGTTGCTGTATAAATGCAGTTCAAATATCAGGTCCTAGCCTACCTCCCTACCTACTACCTACTACCTACTACCTACTACCTATCTACATACTACACCATCTACTCGGGAAGATACCCACTTGCCAAGGTTCGGTAGAGATAAACATCTGCTGATCCTTGGAGGGATCGGCCATCTTGATACGATTCGCTGACTCTATGTCAACCTCTTTGATGACCGAGAGGGTCCGGAAACATGGTCATATAGCCTTTTTTTTGCCGGTCTTTAAACTGCCTGATCTTGGGTTTAGCCTAGGCCCTGGGCTGAGCCAAGCTACATCCATTACTCCGTACAGCCGTGATGAATTTCCCCGCATTTGCTTCTGTGTCTATGACCGGGTTCTTCAACATTCTTGTTTTTACTTGGCGACGAAGTTTAGCCGTTTCAGAAGCCCAGCCGTAAGCCTCCTTAACTTAAATCACTGATAAATTGGCTTTTAGGCTGGTTGAATAATTGAGGGATTTAGTTGAGGGTATGGTCGTTGAGGCTTGGTCGGAAACGGACCACTATCCGTTTACGGACTACGATTAGTGCAATTGGGAGTAGTGAGGATAAATGGGTCGCTGGCTAAATTGAAATCTAAGACATTCGGGAAATGAAACTGTTCAGAAACACCCTATTGACGCCCCACATCCTCCTGTCTATATAAAAGGAAGGCCTTCTCCCGAAGAAAACCCCTGTCACAAAACAACCCACTACAATCCATTGATCTTCCTCAATTACCAACGGCATCTGACCCTTCATCATGGTCTCTTTCTCAAGCCTCTTCGTGGCAGCCTGTGCCGCTGTAACTGCCTTTGCGCTTCCCAGCGAGGTGGAAAAGCGAGCGATCACCACGAACCAGCAAGGAACCAACAATGGCTACTTCTATTCCTTCTGGACCAACGGAGGTGGCAGTGTTTCCTACAACAACGGTGCTGCGGGTCAATACAGCGTCGACTGGACCAACTGCGGATCTTTCACCTCTGGCAAAGGCTGGGCTACTGGAAGCTCCCGGTAAGTCAAGCCTACCTATTTTTCTCTTGATGATATAGTTACTTATAAGTACACCGTATTAGCAACATCAACTTCTCCGGGTCCTTCAACCCCTCCGGAAATGCTTACCTCGCTGTCTACGGCTGGACCACTAGCCCCCTCGTCGAATACTACATCATGGAAAGCTATGGCGAGTACAACCCCGGCAGCAGCATGACCTTCAAGGGAACCGTGAACACCGATGGATCCGTCTACGATATCTATACCCACCAGCAGGTGAACCAGCCTTCCATCTCGGGAACTGCCACCTTCAACCAGTACTGGTCCATCCGTCGCTCCAAGCGCTCCAGCGGGACAGTCACCACTGCTAACCACTTCAACGCTTGGGCTTCCCTTGGAATGAGTCTTGGCTCGCACAACTACCAGATTGTTAGCACTGAGGGGTACCAGAGCAGTGGATCCTCCTCCATCACTGTTTCATAAGCATTTGATAGCCCTGCAGTGGCTTCATGCTAAATGTCTACTTGATTTTTGGCAATTTTTGTTGGAAGGGCTATTGTTATGGGCCTGTTGAATGTCCACAGAGCAAAGATGTGTACCGATAATTTGCTTGGGATCTTGGTCATAGCTCGTTAGCTTTCTCTTGGATAGTTGCATTTTCGGGAATCAATTCATTATTATACGTCAAATCTAGACTTCTTCAGACCCAGTAAAATTGGAACAGGGAAGCACAGAGTGAGAGAAATGATTTGTTAGAAGAAATACAGCAATCTGCTACTAGGCCATAGCAAAGTCCAAGGTAGCTGTTTTGTTTATGGCCGAGGGAGACTATAATCTTGTCTCTATACCTAGTCAGAATGTAAGCCTTGGATAATCTATCCTTAACGAACTTACCGAGTTCGGCCGTTCTTGTTATCATGGCGGATCCAGGCCACCATCTCTGCTGTTTCCCACCAGAAAGGCCAAAACTGTTACCACGGGATCCCCGTCGGCCCGTTGGCTTAACCTCCGTGATGGCAAACATCTCGGAGAATGCATCCGTCTCGAGACATCCATCAGTAAGTGCAGTCGTCACCTTGTCACCAAAGGTTGCTTATTGAACGGCGAGCGAAAGGGAGACCATGCGGAGTGCAAGTTCGGGAGATGGACGGTAAGAGAGTTACAGTCAGATTTATTAGTCTCTTTCTTACCTTCTGTAGCTTAACTTTCTCAACTCTTCAATCAACCTCACATTGCACCATGCACTTCGACATCCACCACGTAGACCTCTCCTAACAGTTTTATCACTTATTTCCCAGGAGCCCCAGGTACCCCAGAATACCGAGACCGTACAGAGGAGCGTCGCCAGGCATTCGGAGATAATGATGCCAATACCCGCCAGAGGGCCCCCGAGCAAGAAGAGGAGGACGAGACTCCCGTGCAGACTACCTCGATCGGTGCCTCCCTTCTCAACAGGATGGGCTGGACTGAAGGATCTGGCCTTGGTGCTCAAGGGACCGGCGTGACCGAGCCGGTTCCCACTGAAGTCTATGCCCAGGGTGTGGGAGTAGTGAGACGAGCCTGAAAGCTGTGGAAAACACGAGTGGTCAAAGATGAAAGTCAGGTGAAGGTGAGGTGAAGGTGAGGTGAAGGTGAGGTGAAGGTGAGGTGAAGGTGAGGTGAAGGTGAGGTGAAGGTGAGGTGAAGGTGTGGTGAAGGTGAAGTGTGGTCAGGATGAGAGCACTAAGCTAAGATGAAAGACATGAATGACTAGGATGGGCGAAATGACCATGCGGACGGATCACAGATTTTACGCTTCCTCCTCAACCAAGTTATTCGACAGCACACCACAGTTCGAGCTCAATTTGTTCCCTTGCTCTGACACATTAGCAAAGGATAGGAAACGATCTCTAAGGTTTTACCGAAGATATCAATAGTCGAATCTGTTGGCAAACCTTCTAGACGTAAAATATGCAAACACAGTCTCATCTAAATATTTCCGCCATCACGTTTGCGATTCCCTTAAGGGAATACTTTGATACTGAAGCAATCGGAATTCCATGATTGTACAGGTTGCAATCTTTAAATGATTTGATTGAAATATCAATATGAATCTCCCCACCGCCCCCACGCCAAGGCCAGCCCACGCTTTTGCTGGAACCCTCACTCGATCCGAGCGGGCCAAACTGGTCCCACAATTCGAGTTTGACCTGCGCTCGGCGTATGTTGACTCGTCAACTATACGCCTTTATGACAAGGTATCAGTGCTAGCTTTCCACTGGGCAAACGACGATATTGGAGTCGTTCCTCGGGGGACTGAGCTTCTCTCAGTCTTCCGAGACGACTACAAGTTTCAAACCTCAAGTTTCACTATTCCAGTCGGTCCAGGCGCCCAGCCACAACAGACCCTCGCTAAGCATCTTATGGATCATGCGAATGACTCCGCTGGTCCTAACAAACTGCGGATATATGTCTACAACGGGCACTCTCGTGATCCTGGAATGCATGGGCGATATTTTGACTTGAGCGGAACACTCGATCGCAATGCCCCCGTTGTGGACTGGTGGGCGGTAACGCCGTACCTCGAGAGATACCCTGGGTCTATCTGCTACATCTTTGACACCTGTTCTGCCGTATCGGCAGTGTTCGAATCATACAATTGGGGGGGGTTTGTAGGTGCATCTAGGTGGGACACTACTACCTGTGAGAGTTCCTTCACAAGAGCCCTTATTAACACCCTCAAGAATATGAGAAATGAAAACAGTACACTTGCGAATATTGCAAGGTTAGTCCCTGTCCATCGTACACTGCTTGGATGATTCTTGCTTTCCTATAGCCTAGGTAAGAGAGCACCAAGGTCTAGAAAGTAGAACATCTGTTAGATATAATTCCTGTATGAGCTGTGAGCTGTCCTATAGTATAAAACTACTCACTAGATGAATTTGGCAATCACGGAATGGCCGGTGAAGCGTCCGAATGACCATGAAATTCACGATAGCTCTCAATTCGTGCGTGGTCAGGCCCTGGTTGGTATCGGATGTACAAACATGTGCGAGACAAGATACAATCGTATGTGGCTTAGGCGGACGATAACCACTATACCGATACTTTTCGATCAATCGCCACTTTTTTGTTCCAAAGCTAAGGCTGTTTGGCTCTCCCTTTCTCCACTTTGGTCTAGAACAAATTAGTATTCGATACGGATTGATATGTGATCCTGTCTACCTACGACCAAAAACTCTGACCTACGAGATCACGGAGGTAGAAAGTTCCCGTTGGTCCTTTTCGACATGCATGAACTTGCTGGTCGACATGGCCGTGGACTTCATCAGCATGTGTGTACCATTCGTCCTTGAACTCGTCTCTGGTTCTCAGTGCCCATTTTAACCGAACCTTTGCATCTTCCAGTTTAGGCTCTGGATCTGGGGATGGGTCTCTGTCTTCGTCTTTCCAAACGTCCTTAAAGGTAAATACAACCCCTCGGTCTGGGGATGGGTCTCTGTCCTCGTCCTTCAAAAAGTCTTCAAGGGTCGGGGTAGGGTCCCTCAATGTGCGCGGTCTGCTGAGACTGGTACCACTGGAGTCATCGAGTGGATATTTCTGGAGAAGTCTCTCTGGGTGCGGAAGGAAGAAGCATGGGTCAAATTGAATGGTTTCGTCATTTGCTGTGGCCACCTGGAACGCTTGAATTCCAAGCATCTGGAGATCACTCGGGGAAGGGAGGTTGGGTTCAAAGGCATGGACTCGATTGCACAGGGCATAGAGAAATTCGTGAGGCGCAGAGTGTGTCTCAATATTCATTTTGGAAAGTGGGATAGAGAAAGAATAGTCAGGGTTAATCGTTAGAGATGTCAACATTAGAAGGTTTGGATTTATCCGGCACGTGTTACTCCAACGTCATATATATACACTCAATCACCTCATTCCCTTACCCTCAACTTCCTGAGTTCTCTCTATTATGTCCTGTACAACTCAACCATCTCTTCTACATCCAAACAAACCAATTTTAAGCGCCTTGGAAAACTTTGCAACTTGCAATCCAAAGGTAACAATTCTCAAGACCTTTTACGCAGATTCAAAGAGGCTCTCTTTAAAACTCGCCAACGAGGTTCTACTCTGGACTCCAACGTCATATTCAACTTCTCCATTCGAGCGATCCAGAACAGTCCGTGCTGCCAGGTTTTCATGCTTTGAAACCTGACATTAAAGATCCTAATTCCACCCACGAAGTGTATCGTGAATTCGTTCTCACGGAGGGATCCGCTAAGATTGCAACTGACACAAGCAGCTTTACTCCATCGGCCTATACGACATCCACCAATAAGGACAACGAGAAGTCCAAGAAGAAGCAGCAATACAAGCATGGAGAAGAGAAAGAGGATTTCTGTATAGCCATCAATTATGTAGCTACGATAAATTGGCATGTTTGTATTGTTTGGTTTATATTGGGGGTCCATTATGGGCCCAAAGGATGGGCCCAATCCATTAGTGGGTTGGGTTGGGTTGGGCTATGGGCTTTGTGGGCTAAGCCGAGGTCTAGTCGTGTGGCTTCCACGACAACATTATTTCCCCTCTCGCCACCATCCACACTTGTCCCAAACGATGCCCAGGATCGGGAACCTACCAACAGAGCTGATCCTCCTAATCGCCTCATACTTGCGATCTGAATCGTCTCTCGCTGCCTTGGTCTTGTCAAGCCATCGCCTCTACAGAATCTGCAACTCTCGCCTTTACCAGTACAATGTGCTCTATGGCAACAGCTTTGCTTTAGACTGGGCGGCGGAAAATGGGGAGATGGATACACTACAAAAGGCGCTAGACGCTGGCGCCCCTCTACTGAAGGAACAGGCGAAGGGTAAATTGAGACGGCAAAGTCGACGCTCCCCCCAATTCGGCCTTCAAGCTCGGCGTACCTTTCGAGAATTCCAGGCGCACCCAATCTCGCTGGCCGCAAGTGCTGGTCATGAAAATATTGTCCGATACATGATCGATCGCGGGGTGAGTGTTAATGTAAGTAACCCGGAGGGACACACACTACTAGCGCTGGCTGCTATTCACGGCGATGATTCCCTAGCAAAGTATTTACTGGACGTCGGAGCCCGGCAAGGCATCAGGAGCTTTGTGGGCCATCGGCCTGTGTGGATAGCTGCGTTTGAAGGGCATGTGGATGTGGTTGATGTGCTTCTGTCGGCTCCGAGGCAAAATGCGAACGAGCCCGACAAAGAAGAGCTGATGACGGACGCGTTATTTGCGGCGGTTTTTGCCGCCCAGCTCCCGGTACTCCAGTTATTATTCACGCATGGAGTGCAAATCGACGTCCTCGCTCGTTTTGAAAATACTCCTTATTTAATGCCTACGGACGACGGAGATAGCGATTTTGTCCCACTACAAATTGTTGCGCCCGGTGAAGAGCCGGACTTGATTTTGGATCAGCATCGGCCACAGCCACATGCGCCCTTGATGATGGCAACGAGGCAGGGCAATGGAGAACTTGTCCGGATGTTGGCCCCCGGAACTGCGAGTCTCAACCGCACCAAAGCGTTGGCCTACGCAGTTTTATGTGGGAATAGAGGAATTATCGAGATATTACTTCAAGGTGGCGCATCCCCTCAGTTCTGCTTATCCGATATACCGAACTCATCGGAGTACCGCGAGGAATGGACGCAACCTCTTCTCTCAGCCGTGCAGAGGAATGATCAAAATTCCGTGGGATTGCTTCTGGATTATGGGGCGGATGTAAATGTCCGGCAAGAAATTCACAGAACTGGCAGACCTTTTGAGTACGCCCTGCTCTGGGCTGTGGATGAAGTCAACGAATCGATGGTCAACTTGCTACTGGAACGTGGCGCAGATCCGGATATCACTGATATTCTAGGGCGGCCTGCGCTTACGTATTCCATTTTCCGCCAAAATGAGGCCATAGTTCGCTCCCTGCTAGATCATGGGGCGAATCCTTACGAGGCAAAGGATGATTGCGGGAGGAAACTAACCGGGTTTTGGCCAATGAGCGAATCTACCTGGAGGCTGCTCCAAGAGGCAGAAATAAAATGGACTAAGGAGCATCCGTGCTGATTCTTGGTGATCACCCGATGTTCCTTCGGATCCATTTTCTTTTAGGCCGGTCATCTATACGAGGTCGGACGCATTAAGAGGCCGAAGGATCACATGGATCACACTAAGGTAGTAGAAAGATGACGGCCTCAGACAATCTATCAAGCCTGGTATTGAAGAGTTGCGTTACATGGTCTGAAAGACGTGATGTATGTATATCTATCCCGAAATACATAACTCATAAAACTAAAATCAATCATATAAACTTTCAATGCTGCCAAAGAAAATCATGGTGACACCCATTTGCTGTACCAATTCCCATCCCTATCACAATATCTGATGTGAATTTTGGTGCTGAATTTCGAAAGGTTGGGATATTCCGCGATATACGCATGGGGGACACGAGCGGACTCGGGTATATTCTCTCCCGGTGGAATCCCCGCAGACTCAAAATCGTAGACAGTCTGTAATAGATGAATAGCTTCAACGGTAGAAAACATTCCCTCTCGTCGATTGTACTTTTTGCAGATAGCCAAAACCTTCTGCCGAACTGTCCAGTCCCGACATTTGAGCCCACAAAGCGCGAGGCTCCCTAAGAATGCTTCCTTGACAGAAAACAATGGGTCGAGCAAGTGATTGAAGCTATTCAACAACAATTCTGCTTTATCGACAACGCGCTGGAAATAGGGAAAGAGAGGGTCCCATTCTGTTTCAGAGCCTGAAAATTTTGTTGAGGCGAGGATAACTTCCATCATCTCAATCTGTATCTGGAGGACCATGAAGGCACGGAGGTTTGCGGCAGAGTCCGAGTTTCTGTGAAGAGCACTACATTCCTCGACTTGTGTTTTGAATCGATGGACCTTGTTCGCGGGAGTGTCCCATGTAAATCCCCGTGACAAATTGGCGTGCTGTGGGTCAAACGACACTGGGTCACTGAGCATTAACGCCCAACATTGGACAGACACCAGGAGAGTCGCTTTTGACGGTTCATGGGCATGTGCAGAAATATCCACAATGTTATCATGCATAAGTTCTTGAAGATAGGGATAGCCTCCATCTAGATAATCCTGGAGTCTTGTAGCGCTTGCCCAATGAATATGGAGCTGTACAAATGTATGTAATAAAACTGAAGCAACCGGGCTTTTGGGATTTCCCTTCCTCCACTCCCAGAGGAGTTTAGTGCCGGCTTGCAGATGACAGCGAACGGCATCAACATCGCCTTGGAACACAGCGAATGTAACTAAAACAACACATGTTATCAGGATCTTCTCCGTTGCCATGGGATCCGATTGGTGGGCCTTCATCATCGCCTTGCGAAGACAAGCAATGGCCTTTGCGGACTGTCGGATTGGGAAAATGTCATTCCGGTTGGGACCAGGGTTCGAAAATCTACGATGCAAGGCACCGATACCAATAGCTGCATGGCGGACCTCGGGGCAAGATTCACTGACTTGATGAACAAGAACCTGCCAGAATGGGTCGTAGTGATATCCGGCACACTGGCCGGCAGTATACAAACGAAATGAATACAAATAATCACGTTCCATCCGCGACAACCCAACTTGACTCCCATCACGCACATAGACCAAACCAGCGGATTGGGCTTGTTGCTGACAGACATGTACAATGTTTAGAGCACCACCATTTTTGTTTGCGGTGCGCGCATCTCGCACTTCACGCGTTCTCTTATCGGGTGGCGCCGTATATCCTTGACACACACGTCCACCACGAGTACACATTTGACAAGCGGGTCGCGTTTCGTCACATTTCTTATGACGGGATCTTTAAACAGGTGTTAGCTCCGGCCTTAATTACCTAAAGTGAGATCGTAAGGCCGGGTAGATCGTTGCGTTGCGTTTACGCGGTGCGGATCTCCTCGTCCACTCAGAGTTCACCTCGCACGAGATTTTGGGCATTGTACTTACTTGCAGGTCACACACCCCGTCCGAACCTTCGAGGTACTAGTCCTCTTTTTCTTCTGCCGATCGCGTATCACCAAGGTTGATTGGTCCCAAGGCGAAACGGGAGGTGGATCTGACATAATTGGTGTGGGATTTCGTATGGATTGTTAAATGCTGTGGAAAAGGAGGAATTATGGACGTCAGGGGCGTCGCGTAAAAGCCCCCCGCCTTGCAGGATTCCAGCTGCATCACAAGGATCCTCCGTTGGCTGACCTGCTATCTTCGTGTTTGTCCAATCGTGGGTCGACGATGTTGTTGGGTGGGGTCAATGAATGTGGGGCCTCAGGCAGCAATATCAACTTTATCTCACGACAGGACGCAGTTGACTTTTCATCTCGGCTATGGTCAAAGACCGCTTCCTCGCCAAGTGTCCTGTTTTTACTTTGAATCTGATTAGGATTTACATAAGCCGAAGGCCACGGGATGGATGATAGACCTTTCAGGGAGCCGTGATTGTTTACTTGTTTTTGGCCCCAACTGCGGGTGTGGCCGGACATATGGGTAGAGGTGGGGGGTGGGGGGTTCTCTCGTCTGTGTCCCAATACATTTTCAATATCATACCAAGCTTTCTCCCTCGCATTATCGACACCGTGGAGTTCGTGATCCACGAAGGCGCGGTCCGCTCTTTCCCCAGTCTGTCTATGCCTGGCCGGGCACACCTCAAAATTCCAAGCGAAGACTACTATTGATTTATATCCATGGCTTCAATGGCTCAGCAAATGGTATGCAAATAAGGTAGATAGAACGCTGATTGCACTTCCTCTAAATCAATTAGAGGAACCATGAGAGCTAATGTATACCGGTATTTGTAGCCTGTCCCCACAAAGTAACCCCTTTCTGGACGTGTTTTTAAGTTCAACAGCATAAACTCCCTGTTTCATTTTACTCCCAAACTCGTGGACTATCCAGAGAATGTAGGATGAAGACGTATATTATAGATTACGTTAGCTTCTAGATAACACCCACGCTTTTATAACTAACTAGCTACTTTATTGTTAGCATACTGCCGGATTTAGCGGCATTAGTAGTCAAACTCCGCCCCGTTTACCTCCGAAATGGCAGGGATAACCTGTTTACAATTAGCCTTAAATTTCGAGCAACCCTCTTTGCATTTGATGTGAATTACCCAAACGTTTGGTGCGGTACCGAATTCCCCTACACTGCATTTCCGCAACACCACTCCGATAAAGTCCACTAGACTTAAGATGGCATCCAAAACCTGGCTTGTTACTGGTGCATCTTCTGGTCTCGGAGCCGCAATCGCCGAGATAGCCCTCTAGGCTGGTCATACAGTGATCGCCACCGCCCGCGACCCTACCAAGGCAGCTGAAGCCAACCCTCAGATCTCAAATCTCGGTGGGATCTGGATTGAGCTGGATGTGACAAGCTCTAGCACTGCCAAAGCCGTGGAAGATGCGGTTAATCAGTCTGGTGGTGTTATTGATGTGGTTGTTAATAATGCTGGGTATTCGTTGCTAGGTAGTATCGAAGATATGAGCGAGGCCGAAATTGAGGCTCAGTTTAACACGAATGTTTATGGTCCCGTTCGCGTGTTGAAGGGTGTTCTTCCATTTATGCGGGCGAGGAAGTCTGGCACTATTGTCAATATCAGTAGTAGTGCCGGGATTAATGGACTGCCCACATGCGCGATGTACGCTGGGACTAAGTTTGCCCTTGAAGGTGAGTTTACATTGCCTTACAAAAACTTCTTATCTGCATCTATTTAGTCGATTGGCTTGCTTACACAAAATGAGCAGGTATGTCTGAAAGCCTTGCGAAAGAGTTAGCACCATTCAATATTCGAGTGCTGGTCGTCGAGCCAGGTTCACTCCGAACCAACTTTTGGTCAGCCTATGTCGAGCCTATCGCTGGCATGAACAAAGACTATACTGGGACTCCCTTGGAACATGTTCTCCAGGCGTTCAAGTCAAACACAGGCACCTAGCTAGGCGATGCTGTTAAATGTGCCAAGAGGGTCCTGGAAGTCGTAGACGATACCGGTATGGGTGCTGGGAAGGGAGACCTATTTCGCTTGCCGCTTGGCTCGGATTGCTATGCACGCTTTCAAACTAAGATTGAGAACCTGCAGGACAACTTGCTGCAAGCGAAGGATATTGCCCATTCAACTAGTTATTGATGGTCCACTTGCGTGCTGGATTTACTCACATTCCGGATAAACTAAATTGGAATCAAGGATAATTTTGTTTTCGATAATTTTAACAGCAAAGAGACTGCTAGGCAGATGTGCGGTCAACAGTTCGGTGGGTATGGCCCGGGTGAGGAATGGGTGAGTATGTTATCCACTTAGAAGAAACCTATGTATTCATTGACAAGGGCCAAGTTTGAGAGAAGGTGAGGTAAGATAAGCTGTGCCGGACTTACAAACGAGACGCCTTAAGTGTGTTGGGGTGTGTCGGGCTTGTAGTTGGTGCGTGGGCAACTCGCCACCACGGCCGTGATAAGAAACCCATAGGTGACGCTATTTTTGGGCGTCATTTGACGTCGATTCTGGCAGTTTCGTGCCAAATCGAAATTTATATATGGCGATCATATCGCAATACTATATTAATCAAGCGTTAACGCCATACTAAATTTTGTTTACATGTATGTAATTTATGGTATGTAATTTGAATACCATTAATAATCACCGATAAACGCCCGTAAAATCACATGGTTTAAGTGGGTCATCAAGCTTCAGACTTTCGTATCTCCAACAGCAACTATTGAGTAAGCCATCTAAAACCCACAGCAATCCATATGAGCTCAGCCCCCAGAGATGCACTGGAGTTTCCAGAATCAGACAGGGGCTTCTTAGAGCCTCATCTACCGCCCAAGGATGGCTCGGCACCTCAATCTGATCTCCCCTTCACAACACTCACATTCGCGACCTCACTTGATTCTTCTCTGGCTCTGTCACCTGGTGCACGTACGGTGCTTTCAGGCCCACAGTCTAAGGCAATGACTCACTATTTACGATCCCGCCATGACGGGATTGTCATTGGCGTCGGTACGGCAGTGGCAGACGATCCCGGTCTCAACTGTCGGATCACAGGGGTTGGGGGTTATGGCCAGGAGGGCTTAGCTGGCCAGCCTAGACCAGTTGTGATAGATCCCACCGCCAGATGGGAGTTTTCAGATGACAGCAAGCTATTCCAACTTTGCAGAGAGGGGCGTGGCCTTGCCCCATGGATTATCACCGCAGTTGACAACCCAAATTCCCAGAAGCAAGCCTTGCTGGAAAGGTACGGCGGAAGATTTATCTCGGTCAAAATGATTAGAACGCATACCGGCCGACATCAGGTTGACTGGCCTGATCTCCTCGTCACCCTGAAATCTAACGGTCTCGGGAGCGTCATGATAGAAGGTGGCGGTCAGGTCATCAAGTCCCTTTTGAGTCCCCCTTACATGTCCTTGCTGGATAGTGTGATTGTTACTATTGCTCCCACGTGGCTGGGTGAAGGTGGTGTTGTCGTCTCCCCTGCTAGGCGCTTTGATGAGGGCGGAAATGCGATTTCCGCAGCGGGATTGAAGAATGTCAAATGGTACCCATTTGGGGAAGATGTCGTCCTCTGTGGGCAGATCAAGCTCTCTGACTGAGAGAACAGCCTGTATTTGTCTACATCACCATAACAAATTAAATATTCCGAAATCAATACAATTTCCACTTCACACAACTTTATATCTAGGGACCTATCATGGTTGCTCTGGGTCAATTCAAATACTACTTCTGGTAACCAAAGCCAGTTTCTAAGGCTCCCGTGCTGAACAACACGTCCTCTAGCCAACAGATCCAATCCCATGTTTTAATTATCTTGTTGACCGGCGTCTTTTCTTCATTTCATTCAAACTCAAGCAGTCTTTGTCGGCTGGCTTTGTTTCATGCAGGAAGAATTAGACGTTTCTCGCATGGCCGAACCCGCCAACAATGGTATTGTGTAATTGTGTCCTTTATCTATCTCTAACAATGGCCTTTGTTTCCGGACGATGAACCAGGAAACAATAAATAGCCCCTATCCCCACACCATCAGGGCTTCATCAGCAGCGATAACCCCGTCTCTGATCAACTTTCGCATCTGGAAGTCATCTGCCATTCCCCTAGGTGAGTACTGCCTAGCCACTACATATGCTGACATCCTTTAGGACACCATCCATGAAAAATGCCACTACTCAATGACGCCGAGCAACATGAGCGTATGCTCACAACGCTTAGGCGCCGAATTCGCGACCTCCGATCCAACCCAGAGAACAGCAAACTGGTCATTGCAAGACTGAACGCAATTCGCCATCTGGCACGCATCTGTGCACAGTTCGGGAAGGATGCTCGTTTTACGCATTTTTGTGATACACTTCAGAAGGCTTTGCCCGGGCAAATCGGACTGCTCAAGAGTGACATAAACAGTAACGTTATAGTTGCAGATGCTCTCGAGCGAATGATTCTTGAATCTTCCTTGATTTCCCGTCCAGTCGTTGTTGTCAATAGACAGGGTGAGACGGTCGACCAGGATGCTGATGCTGATGCAGGATGTAGTAACGATGAAGGCGAGATGGATCCCAGCGATGATAACTATATCGCTCGGTTGCTCCTTGGTTCAAAATGGGCTAGAGAGATAGTTGATTTTGCCGAGGAGCCATATAAGGAGATTGATGCTAGTGACAAGGAAAGTGAAATGGACCCAAGCGACGATGCCTATATCGCACGCCTGCTCCTTGGGCCGAGCTGGGCTACTCCGATAGCTGATTTTGCCGAGGAATAGTACGGGGGAGAGGCGTTGGGTAAGTGATTATATTATACAGTTCTCGAGCGAATCGTCCTCTATAGAAGTGGCTAGTTGGATCAATCTTCCTTGGAGTATCTTATTGAATTCTGATTACTGGAAATGTAAAGAATATCATATACAAAATTTTGATAAATTACATAGTTTCTAGATACCTTGAATATGCTGGGACCGCCTTTTACCATCCGGAGTAAGTCCGAAGGTCGTTCAATATTTGTAGGCCAAGGCAAAAGACGGCCCGGTGCTATCTCGGCTTGTATCTGGTCTGTCGGCCTTCGACCGTGACATCTCGCGGCTCATGATGTTGACCAAATCCGCTCGGTCTGCTGTCGTTCCCGTGTCTCGTCTTTGCATACCCCTTGCCTCATCCTCGCTGTCCGATGTCCCACTTCCTTCGACATCATTCGTTTCCCGTCTGACCAGTTGAGCCTCTTGCTGCTCGCGGAGTATGGTGGTCACTCGCTCTTCAGAGGCTTTTTCGTCCAGTTCTTGTTTGATGCATGCATAATGGGCCCTTCTATATACACCGATGGAACTCAAGACGATACCAAGAACCTCGTAGACGAAGAGAACAGGCAGCGAGAAATAGAGTTGGGGGTTGCAGCCAGAAGACCAGATGTCGAGGAGTATCTGGAAGATAGCATGTGCTGGTAAGGCGAAGCCGACTTTGAAGAAAGCAGGCGACAGCTCGAATGGGAGAATAATAGAGGTGATATTCAAGATGACCCACGATATCAGTGCCATCGGTATGTAGGGGGGTAGAATCCAGATGGTGAAAACGTCTAGCACGAGGAAGTTCAAATGCGCAAAGAGCCATAATGCCAACCAACTGAGGGCGAACTGGTTTCCGTTAACATCCCAGCCACTTCGGAATGCCCAGATTGCACCTGCTGTACACATGGCTCCGATGAGTGTGTAGGCCAAAGAGATAATTTGGCGCGCGATGACAATACGATGAGGTGATACCGATGTGTAGAGTTTGAATTGACCGTATAACCCATTGACAGTGCCCAGAAAGAAGAATTCCTGGATGAGGATTAAAATGATAACTAGCGTGTTGTAAATTGCCCTTGACCCTTGTGTCGTGACTAGAATATTGTGGTCGGCCAATGTCCAAGGGTCATAAAATGCTGCAAGCGCAGCGGGATCAGAGCTGTTGATACTCTGTAGAGCATCTTTCGCGTTAGCCTGTGAGTACGCAACACGCGCCGTTTCCGAGAGTAATTTGATGCTTTGTGCAATGGCTGAGTCAACGACTGTCGGGTAGCGCACTTCGTTCCACACCATGGTGAGAACATTGGTCTTGTCGTACGAAGAGGCTGCTGATCCACCCAAAAACGCGGCGCTTAATGCGTTCGACGCATTTGCTGTGGTGTACAGCGCTCCCCAATATTCAATGTCGCACACTGCACCTTCAATAGAGCCAGGCTGAGGGTACACGGAGGCAGGTCGCTCAACGAAGGTTGGAAAACTGGGTCCTTTGAGCTTTTGATAGGCGACACGGGCCGCATCGCCTATCGCGCCGCCATCGTAATCAACGAACAAAATATTGAGGCTGTGGGTGTGTCCAGACTGTTGGAAGAGGGCGCCAAATATGTAACAGAATAGACCCAAAAATAGAAATTGGAGGAGCAAAAGATTGATTGTAGCTGCCTTTAGAAGACCCAATCGAAGCGGCCTAACATCTGGGTGGTGGATGCTAGGCCGCTGTTGTCGCGCTTTGGGGTAGAACTGCATGTAACCTGCTGGAGCAATAGGTCTGTGACAGGTCGAGAACGATAATTGAATTTCGCACAATATATAGAAGAAATCTCCGATGAACCTTTTGATCTTTCATTGATAAATCAGCATAAAAAAACGAAGGCCAATGAGAATATTCGAAGCTGTCCGGATATACTCCGTACGGCTACGCCCCATGAGAGACGAGGTTGGTCATCGATGACAAAATGTCGACCCCGTCATTACTGGACTTCTGATTTTGTAAGCGGGACCCACTTCTTGGTGTCTCTTTGTAAGCATTCAGGGGTACGGAGTATATAGAGAGAAGTTTCTGCACTTCTCAACAATTGCACTCATTTTACCACTTGCTCTGCATAGTAAGAATTTGGTATCAAGTTACATTGCCTTTCCTTCGTTCGACACAAAATTCTTTTGGGCTGGATTGATGCCTGAATAATCAGGCATTATTTCCCTCCTGAATCTTAAGGCGAAAAGCTACAATGATTCAATCAGGCCAGATAAGCGGCTGCTAGCAAAAAGCATATGATGGTGATTTAGCTTCTCTGCAGATCGCTTGTTATATCTGACTTTCAACCTGATGCTGTAATCTGCACCTTCTAAGCCTGCCTTGTATTTGTCTCCAGTAGTGCCCGGTGCGAATGAGAAAGATGTTGATTCACCTTTTTCTCTGCAGATAGTAAGAAAGGTATGTCTAGGTTAGAGGCTCCGTTGGTGGAATGGAACAAGTAACAAGTTTATGTGTTTATATGCATCGCAAAGGTGAGTCCGAAATATATATCACTCATACGCTGGGTTGGGCGCTGCCACATATTTCCAACATTAATTTCTATTCAACCACAATAAATGACTCAACGAGCCAAATATATGTCTCACCAAACCAGTGACCATTTCACCCAATCTCAGGTTACAGATCTGAAAAATGCATAGGCAGGTTGGAGATTGCAGGTTGAATGATACCTAGGTAGGCAATCCAATGTTGAATAATCAGAAAGTCCCTCATCGACCAATCAGATGGTTGTGTGCTCGGAATCCCCGCTTTACCCATCCCAAAAGGCCTTCTGGGGGTTTGCCTTTGGACAATGAACAACGGTGTGGCAGATACTAGAAACTATATAACCTCGGCTTCGAAATATGTAGAAAGGTTAACGAGCAGTAATCTCTGGTCTTGCAATACTCCCAAATTCCCGATTACCCTATCGTTATATTCCATCATTCTTTATAAGAGAGCGTTGTCACGATGCGTACCTCTCTGAACTTTTCTACTCGCATTGCCAGGGTATTTCCAACATGGTACAAGTAGAGGACGACCCCGAGGCCAATATACAAGACACCGTGGAGGTGTTACAATCATCATCCGAAGATACATTTGAAGATGGATTCGGCATAACTGCAGAGAAATCCGATCGCAGTGAAACATGGAATTGGGATGATGATCCGAGCAATCCTTACAACTGGCCCACAAGTCAAAAGGTATTGCAAGTAGCGATGATTGGTTGGTCGGCATTTACAACGTTGGTTATTCCTTCCGCAGTTCCACTGTGAAGATGACTTGAAGTCTGACATCTAATCTAGGACCGTTGGGGTGTCTATACTATCACCTGCCCACTCGCAGTTCATGAAAGAATTTGGTGTTAGCAGCACTGTCGCTATACTACCCTTGTCACTCTACGTTTTCGCCCTAGCCCTTGGTCCTGTCGTCGGAGGACCTCTTTCTGAAACTGTGGGGAGATACCCAGTCTATATAGGGGCAATAGCCCTTGGCACTTTATTTACTCTAGGTGCTGGATTTTGTTCCACCTTTGCTGGGCTTTGCGTTTTACGGTTCTTGGCTGGTTTCTGTTACGCACCAACACTGGCCATTGCAGCCGGAACTCTCAATGAGACCTTCAAACCAGTTCAACGCGCTCTTCCCTCGGCTATCTTTATCTTGACGCCTTTTTTGGGTCCTGGCTTAGGGTGATTACTCCTTGAATCAACGTGATTGCCAAGTTCTCCGTCGTGCTGACTATTTCCTAGGCCTGTCATTGGAAGTTTCATAGTCAATCGGAAAGGCTGGCGTTGGACACAGTGGACAACGATCTTCTTCGCCATCTTCACTGGTATCACAGTTATGATTGCAAAAGAGACCTTCCACCCTATCATCAAGCGTCGTCGCGCGAAGGAACTCGGATTAGAACTTCCCCCTTCACCCCCTCTTTCATCGAAGCTACGCCTATTTATAACCATTTCTCTCCTCCGCCCTATTCACATGCTCCTAACTGAACCCATCGTTGGATTCATTTGCCTTTATATTGCTTGCGAATTCGCGACACTATTCTCGTTCTTCGCAGCCTTCCCATTGATCTTCCAAGGTATCTATCATTTCAACATCGAGGACTCCGGTCTTGTCTTCTTGGCTATCGTCGTCGGAAGCATACTAGGAACGGCAACAGTCATATTTTGCAACGTCTTCCTTTACCTACCAAAAGTCTCAAAGCATCCAGACGGACAAGTACCACCCGAGTATCGCCTCTACCCAGCACTAGTAGGTAGTTTTGGACTGCCGATCGCATTGTTCTGGTTTGCATGGACCACTAGAGCTGATGTCTCCTGGGCAAGTCCGGTTGTTGCAATCGTCGTTTTTGCATGGGGAAATTTATGTGTCTTTGTGAGCACGACGCAGTACATCGTGGATACCTATCATGGTCTCACTGTCGCAAGTGCCATGAGCGCCAATGGGTTGGCACGTTATGGACTTGCAGCTGCTTTCCCTCTGTTTACCGTCCAAAGTGAGTTTCTGCCTCAGGGGATGACATTGAAAAATATATCCTTACGTTCTTATAGTGTACACCAGGCTCGGCGCAGGGTGGGCCTCTAGCTTGCTTGGGTTTATTGCAGTGGCACTTTTGCCTGTTCCGTGGGTCCTTTTCAAGAGTGGAAAGAGATTGAGAGATCTGAGTAAATATGAAACCGCGGAGAATAGTTCTAAGTGACGGTACATTCTGAGTACATGATATGCTTCATGATCCCGAGCGAGTAAATAGTTATCTTCACTGGTATAATGCATGCTCAGCCAATAAATCTAATGAGACACAATCAACAAGGCGGTTTGTCTCTTGTATTGCTGTAATACGTATCCGCGAGACATGGTTTAATTGATTGTTATGCAGAGAACGATCTGCAGATATCTAGCTGCGGAGGGTTCATGTCTGAGGCACTAATTTGGGGCCTAAGGCCACCACCACAACACATCTTATTAGCCCTCGCTTTTTTCTGAGTAAAATTAGGCGATACTCCGGCATCTTAAAAATGATTAGTAAATTATATTATGCTGTATATGCAAACAATGTGTCTAGCAGAGGGGCAAAAGCCAGTATTTTATCCAAGTGGTGACGCGATCCCGCATCGAATGGCAACACGTTGTTTTGCCCTCCCCATGCAGACCGAGCACACACTAGGTATAGAATTCATCATCACAGGCCGAAATGTCACCTTTTAAGCATAAAGTTGCATTAGATTTTCTCCGCGGCACGACTGCACAGCGCAAGCCAGCATTGGATTGATATGCGCTACGAACATTGCGCAATCCTCGGCGTAGGGCACGAGTTGCAATGTCTATCCTGTATAAAGAGACCCAAATCCAAATCATGGGAGTTATAAACCCCACTTAATCAACAATGTCGGGCAAAAGTTCTGTGTCGTCGCTTGACTCGAAGCAGCCGGCTGTCACAATTGTTCAACAGACGTCAATCCCCACCCAAAATTACGATGGAACAAGTGGGGTGTTGGCTGGGGGTGGCTCACTGGAGTTCTATGAGCCTATACCGGAGTATGAAGGGAGACATCGATATGACCCACTTGCCGAATGGACAGAAAAGGAAGAGAAGCAACTAGTGCGAAGGGTAACCTTCCCCGGATTCTCATACTCTGGATCAACCGACTAACATTTGAGGAAAATATAGCTCGACTACAGAATCTGTTCTTGGGTTTGTCTGATGTTCTTTGCCCTTCAGCTGGATCGCGGAAATATCGGACAAGCATTATCCGACGGAATGCTTGATGACCTTGGGTTATCAACTAACCAGTATAACTATGGAATGACAATATTCTATCTTTGCTTCCTGTGCGCAGAAGTGCCATCTCAAATGATCTCGAAAAAGCTTGGCCCCGACGTATGGATTCCCATTCAGATGGTTCTTTGGAGTGTAGTCGGGATCTGCCAGGGCCTAGTCAGCGGTGAGCACAGCTTCTATGCTACTCGCGCACTGCTTGGTCTGATTGAAGGTGGATTCATCCCCGATGCACTCCTTTACCTTTCCTACTTCTATACGAATAAGGAGCTCCCTATGCGGGTCGCCTTTTTCTACTGTTGCTCCAACGGTACTGCTATCGTCGCAGCGTTCTTGGCATTTGGAATTCTGCGCATGCGATCCGTAGGCGACTGGGAAGGTTGGAGGTGGCTGTTCGTGCTCGAGGGCGTTTTGACTCTGATTATTGGTGTCATCTCGTGGTTTTATCTACCTCCGGGTCCAACTCAGACTGCAAGCTGGTTCCGAGGAAAGGATGGTTGGTTCTCGGAAAGGGAAGAAGTGATCATGGTTAATCGAGTCCTGCGGGATGATCCAGGAAAGGTACGTATAAAGGGTTTATATTCGAAATTTATTCGCACAAACTAACTCTCGACCATAGGGTGGCATGCATAATCGTCAAGGTCTCACACCAAAACTTCTGTGGGACGCTCTAATGGACTACGACCTTTGGCCAATGTATCTGATCAGTCTTACTCTACTGGTTCCTACCAATCCCGAATCAGCATACCTGACCCTCTTTTTAAAGTCACTTGGCTTCGATACATTCGAAGTCAATCTTCTCACCATTCCTGCAACCGTGTTGTTCTTGATCCAACTGATCTTTTGGTCTTGGGTCTCCGAGAAAATCAACAACCGTATGGCTATTGTGCTGTTTTATTCTTTCTGGGTTTTCCCTCTTTTGATGGCACTCGAGCTGATGCCGGCAACTGCAAGTCCTTGGAGCTGGTACGCAGTTACAGTGTTGGTTATTGGTTTCCCCTATGTCCATTCTATCAACGGTTAGTACTGATATCTTCCAACAATATCTGGGGTTCTCTGACACGGTTCTTCTTATAGTCAGCTTGATCTCGCGGAACGCTGGTTCTGTACGCACGCGCACTGTGGGAAGTGCAGTGTACAATATGATTTGCCAAGCAGGTGCTATAATTTCATCCAACGTGCGTTCTCTGATACCCTAGAATGTCTCTTTTCATGTGGTTGGTTGGGTTTGTGACTAACATATCTTCTTTTTCAGATCTACCGGACGGATGATAAACCCTATTACCGCAAGGGAAACAAGATTCTTCTTGCAATTGTGGCATGGAACGTTGTGGTCACCATCTTCATTAAGGTCTACTATACACGGAGAAATAAGACACGGGAGCAGGCTTGGAATGCTATGAGCCCCGAGCAGAAACACTATTACCTGAGCACAACGAAGGACGAGGGTAACAAACGATTGGACTTCCGATTTGCCCACTAGTTCTAGGTGAATAATCATTATGGCTGTATCTTGCATATTTGTCTTCGCAGTCGACGACTCACGAAGTCTTCGGAGATCAGCACATACATATATATATATTTGCGGGTGGTTGTCAAGTGGATATATGACGCGAACGAAAAGGAGTTTTCCATGTGCATAGAGTTTCTAAGACCAGAAGAACACATAATTATTTCTACTCATTTCTACTGATATTCCAGGGTTGAATCTATTAGTCTATCAGATACTCTATTAGACTCGGGACACGAGTATAGGTCAACGCTTGGTAACACATGTAACTGGTACGTCCCAAAGACTGTAGAGGTCCAAAGGAAACCATATCCCTTTATTCCAGACACACTGTCCTCCCTTTCATATCTCATATCTCCTCACACCCCCATCTCAAAAGTCAGGCGACATTTCCCTCGCCCGACACATTCAGTGCGACATCGTGAAAACCCGGGTTCTCGGTGTTGTCACACTCATCCCTGCCATGTTTCCGATGCCGATCATAAGAACTAATCGACACATGGCCCCCAGTGACGTGACATCATAAGATGAGTGCAAAATGCTCACCGACTGGTTGGGCCCTTGGCCATCTCAGCTGCTGTAATGCGGGGTAAAGAGGGACAACAGAACAAGCTTGATGTTGTGTGCCTTGTGCCAATGAGAGGGGACTTTTTTCGATTTGAGTTGATGGCCGCGGTCCTGAAATGGTAAACGATCGGTCGATCGAACTTGCTTTTCTGAGACTTTAGGTCTTTATATCAAAATCCATGGTTTCTTCTGTTTTCTTTGAGTCCACGGCACGTTCTCAATATGAAATGTTGTTTTCTTCGAAATTCCTTTTTCTCTAAGTTCTGGCATTTGAACATTATAAGTTCAGATCAAACAAATAAGCCATGTTCTATAATCATGGAGCCATGTGTCTCCCCGATGAGCATGAGTGCCAGCACATAATAGCCATGCGCCTCGTGTGACCCAACTTGGCCCTCTGGGGTGGCTTATTATGTATTCTCCCAGCCTATCATCTTGGCAAAACATATATCGGCTAGGGGTAAATTGTTCGAGTCATTTCTGGGCTGCATATTTCCGGGTTATTTTCTGTTCTTGGGGTCGGGCTTTCCACTACTTCTTTTCGCCCTTGCATATTGCCCTTCCTAATTTACTCTTTTCCCAAGGCGAAATTGTGCGAAAACCTGAAAATCCTAGATTCAATGCACACTAGGTCATGTTACTAGACTTTCATAGCTTTGACCTTTGATCAACAACCCTAAGCCCCTAGTCTGAAGTGCCTTGCCGCATCTGGCCCACCTTGGCGATTTTATCTACATATTCTACAATATAGTCCCCGCCATGGAAGATCTTTCGGCTTAGTATCTATCTACGCTGTGGATTTACAGCACTGCCAAACTCAGGGTGACTGGAACGATAGACCTGTTACATATTACATGCAGCCATACTTGGGACTTTTAATAACCTCAAACTACACTCAACAACGTGGATACACTGGGATTCACCCAGTTATCGCGCAGTTATCTAGGGATACCTAGTCCTTTTGAGAATTAGAAGTCTAGACTCAAATAAAACGATGTGCCGAGGCTGACCAAACCCAATATCCTTTGAGCCCTCGGGACATATTCAGGGTCCGCAATGGTGGGGATATTTGACAGAAAAAAAAATATTTCCGTGGTTCTAGTTACAGTGTGAGGTTGTTTACTCTTGACTTCTTTTGTTTCTTTTGTTCCCTTCGTTTTTGTAGTTCCCTGGTAGTCTAGGTCTAGGTGATGTAGCCCTTCATTCACCTACAAGCCATCAAACGCCTTCCAGGTCCCTCCCGAGCTCCTTACCTTTTAGCTTTCAAGTACCCTATAACGCAGCCCTATAATTGGGCTCCACTGAAAAGAATACATAAAATACAAAAAAAAAAAAAAAAAAAGAAAAGAAAAAAAGAAAAAAGAAAACACGAAGTTTGCCAGCACAAACTCCCACATGAGTGGATGGCCCAAATTACTCTTCGCCGAGTCCTGATGCCACCTGATGGATCCCCACATCAGGCGTTGCGGCTGATGCTTTTCTTTCAATAACTCGCTTCTCTACTCCTCAGGGCAATGATACCCCTCGGAGCCAAGCAGACGCCGAGCATGTGGTCTTACTTTAGTTCTCTTGGTACCCTAACTCCAACGCGGACCCTGTTCCCCTACCTTCAGACAATGGCGGTCAAGTCTACATATAAGAAGCACTTGCCTCCCCTGCCCTGGTTAATTTAGATCTGCATGATCAGCGAGTTTATTCTTTCAGACTTCCACCCCCGGATCATTCGACCAATATGCGGTCTTCTTTCATCAAATCTACTTCCACATGGGCTCTACTAACCCTATCCCTCCTCCCCGGTGCTCTGAGCTCACCTCTGTTCGAAAAGCGAGCAAAGAATGCACGGCTAGCCCTCAATACCAATTTCCCGGATCCTAGCTTCATAAAAGCGGCCGACAACAGATGGTACGCATTCGGCACCAACGGTAACGGAAAGCGAGTCCAAGTTGCCGTTTCGGATGACTTCAATACATGGACACTTCTCGATGTGGAAGCCCTCCCCACATTATCAACATGGGAAACCGAGAATGACCACTGGGCGCCAGACGTTGTGATGAGAGTGAGTTTCTTCGGTTTCCGAAAAAAAAAAGAAAAACTAAACAAAACAAATATCTAATTACCTCACAGGACGACGGAAAATACATTATGTACTACTCCGGCGAGGCAAAATCAAACCTCAGACACCACTGCGTCGGCACAGCTATCGCAGACCACCCAGCAGGACCCTACGTCCCAAGCAACACACCCCTATCATGCCGCCTCGATCGAGGCGGGTCAATCGACCCAGCAGGCTTCAAAGACAAAGACGGCAGCCGGTACGTCGTCTTCAAAGTCGACGGTAACAGCGTCGGCAACGGCGGCGACTGCAACAACGGCGTCGAGCCGCTTGTTTCCACGCCCATCTTGCTGCAAAAGGTTGGCGCCGACGGTGTCACGCCTATAGGGGATGCGGTGCAAATCCTCGATCGCAATACCGCCGATGGGGATGGCCCGCTTGTCGAAGCGCCCAATCTTATTCTCCATGGTAATACGTACTTTTTGTTTTATTCTACTCATTGCTTTACCGACCCGGCTTATGATGTGCGCTATGCTACCGCGGAGAGTATTACCGGCCCTTATACTAAGACCAATGTTCCTATGGTTAATGCGCAGAATACGGGGCTTATTTCGCCTGGTGGGGGAATGTTTGTGGTTGTGGGGATCGCATGTTGTTTCATGGGTTCTGTACTCAGGAGAAGACTAGTAGATGTATGTATGTGGCTGATGTGATTATTGATGGGAAGACGGCATCGATTGCTTGAGGGTTTGGTTGTTGCTTTTCTTTTTGAATTGGTCTTTTGGGTTGTGCTGCAGCTTTGGCTTTGCGTCGGACTTCCATGAAGTCTGGTCGCTTTGGATGATATATACCCCGGATTTTGAGGGATTGCATGTGATAGCAATGACATACACGTTTTGCGATTTCAAGAACATTGATACTTTTAGAATTGTCTAGAGCATAGTATTACGTTGCCCTTGAATGAACTTTTGAGCAAAAGAACTGTATCAAAGAGTGACATTTTGTTGGGTGCGTGCCTGGGTGCCTGAGGCCCCGAACCCACATGAGACAGATGCACATAGTTATGTAGATAGTTTCTCTTCCTCTCACCGGCGCAGTAGTCGTCAGGTTGTCAGGTTGTCAGGTTGTCAGGTCGTAATTTACTAGTTGCTCCTAGTAGGTCATAGTAGGGGGGTAGTAGTAGGGTGTAATTACTAATAGAAGGTAATAAAGATAAATTACGACTGAGCGAGCTGTCAGGTTGTCAGGTGTGGCTAACTAGTAACGCACTTGGAGTTACTAGTAAACTTGGAGCTACTAGTAAAACGTCCCTAACAAACTATCGCTCGTATTTTATCGGATACCTAATAGCCCGCCGGTTTGATACATAAATTACCTTACAGCTCTATTTAGCTTATAGGTATTACTAGCTATTACTAGTAGAGTACCCGTATTAGGATTACACCCTCTAGGTTATAATACTAGTTATTACTAGTAATAACTAATTAACTAAAGCTGTCAGGTATATTTCGTGTATTATAAGTGAAATATAATAATGTTTATTATAGATTTATACCTACTACTAGTTATTACTAGGTAGGTCGAGGTATTATAGAATACGGCGTAATTAAAATTCTACTAGTAGCTATTAGTAAGAAGAAAAATCATAAAAAATAAAGTTAGTACTAGACTATTAGTATAGTTATTACTACCTATAACTAGTAGTATCTATAATACTAATATCTTTTTAATATATCTTATAATTACTAGTTATACTAGAAGTTACTAGTATTACTAGTATTACTAGTAATTATTCTCTTTTTATTAATATAAAATAGTATATATACTCGGAATATATATATATATATATATATATATACCTTCTTTATATTATAGAACTATAATTTATCTATAAATATCTAGTAATTACTAGTAATTATATAGAATTTATTATTATTACCTCTTTATTTTAAATTATTTTCGACTTCTAACTAACTAGCTAGATTATTTAGATTAATATTTTATTTAACTAGTAATTACTAGTTATATTAAGGAGCTAGTAGTAATATAGATATTATAAGTTAGCTAGTTATTATACTACTATTATTACTAGTAGCTACTATAACTACTACTACCTAGGTAGATATATACTTATATATTACTAATTTTAATTTTATATAACTAACTAGTTAACTAGTAATAGTTAGTAGTTACTAGTTATATTAAAGGGCTCGTAGTATTAGATACTACTAGTTATAGGTAGTAATAACTATACTAATAGTCTAGTACTAACTTTATTTTTTATGATTTTTCTTCTTACTAATAGCTACTAGTAGAATTTTAATTACGCCGTATTCTATAATACCTCGACCTACCTAGTAATAACTAGTAGTAGGTATAAATCTATAATAAACATTATTATATTTCACTTATAATACACGAAATATACCTGACAGCTTTAGTTAATTAGTTATTACTAGTAATAACTAGTATTATAACCTAGAGGGTGTAATCCTAATACGGGTACTCTACTAGTAATAGCTAGTAATACCTATAAGCTAAATAGAGCTGTAAGGTAATTTATGTATCAAACCGGCGGGTTGTTAGGTATCCGATAAAATACGAGCGATAGTTTGTTAGGGACGTTTTACTAGTAGCTCCAAGTTTACTAGTAACTCCAAGTGCGTTACTAGTTAGCCACACCTGACAACCTGACAGCTCGCTCAGTCGTAATTTATCTTTATTACCTTCTATTAGTAATTACACCCTACTACTACCCCCTACTATGACCTACTAGGAGCAACTAGTAAATTACGACCTGACAACCTGACAACCTGACAACCTGACGACCCCCTATTCTCCTCTCACCTTCCCTCTTCACTTTCTCTCCTCGTCCATTTACAACATTACGAATCTGAATGCTAGGTTTTCTCCACAAGCCTTCTTAATAGATTCTCCATTACATTTGAAAAAAGCAAGTGAATACAAACTAAGTGTAGAAAGTCTTGACCAATCTCTACGACGTAATATCTGATCTGCACATAAATGTACTCCAATTAGATTATCTAGAGGTAAAGTCCTGTATCTCGTATCATCGTGTCGTTCTAGGCATGCCTGCATGGACCTAAGCTTAATCCTTTCCCTCTCCCTTTCCCTCCTCCTCAGTCTCTCCCTCCGCCTCTCGCTCAGTAGCACGCTTCTTCTCCTGCGCCGTTTGCACCCACTCGGCTGCACCCTTAATGGCTAACTCGGGTGTCTCCTTATGATTAAGAAGATAGCCCTGTATCTCCGCAGCTGTAAACTCGCCACTCGGAACAACAGCACCAAACTCAGACGCCAAGTGGGAGATGCGGGATACAAGACGCTGCAGGTGTTCCTCCTTACCCTTTTCCACTTTTCCATTAGTCTCCTCAGACTTTTGGTCGATGGCGCCGTTTTCCATGGCGTTACCAGCAATGGTAGTTGTGAGCGGCTTGACTGAACCATTGGTACCATTTCTGTGGATTGCTGGGCCACCACGACGCGTAATATCGTTATCCTTCGCCCCGTAGATCGAGGTAAAAAGCTCCTTGATATCTGCTTCGCTGGTGTACCCGAAACTGATCTTCATATCCACGCGACCCGGACGGAGGAGAGCCGGATCCAGTTTCTCCACGTGGTTGGTAGTCATAATGAGGATGCGGCCCTCACTGGCGGCAACACCATCAATCACATTGAGAAGTCCTGAAAGCGTGATTCCACCCTTCTTCGTATTTTCTTTTCCACTTGGACTATCCACTGCGGCGGTGCTATCCTTGGGGGTGGCATCACTCACGGGGTTATCCGGAGTAGACGTAGATGCAGTCGCGGCGTTCCGAGTCTTCGTAATACCAGCCGAGTCGATATCTTCAAGTAGGATAATGCATCGGCGTGGTAGTTCCGAGAACAGTGACAGCAGAGCCTCCTCATCCAAGGCTGTAGAATTCAAATCAAGCAGGTAGAGCTTCAATCCAAGGATTCCGGCCGCTGCAAAACACAGACTTGTCTTTCCGGTGCCTGGGGGACCGTGTAGAAGATATCCACGCCGATATGGGATTCCACGGTTGGTGTACCAGCGGCGCGTGCGAGGGTGTAGATACTCCTTGATATCATCAAGGAAGTCTTGCTTCTGTTCTTGATCGAGGATAACCGTAGAAAGAGGACGCGGTAAGCGTGCCATACACCGGTACCAGTTGAAAGATTGGCCAGCGGCAATCCGTGAGCCGCGGTAGATCACCGTGCGGTTCCTGTCGCGCTCGACATACGCCTGCTGTGCCTCAGCAAGCAGTGTTTTCAAAATCGCGGGATTCCGACCGAGACACGAGAGGAAGATCCGCTCGTTGTTCATTACATACCACATCCCCCCGTCCCGGTGTTCGCGCTCGAGCATGAGCGGACGGTTCTTGTACCAGAAGTAATGGCTGCCTTCCGAGGGAGTATATTGCATCTTCTTGTACTTGTCCCGGGTAGTAACCTTGGCCCAGTAAGAATCGAAAGAGGTGTCTTTTTTATCGTTAAAGGTATCTTCGTCGTCGTCCTCGTCTTGTTCGAGCTCCTCCTCGTCTGATTCACTCCAGTAACTGTTGGTTTTAAGACCTGCGACAAATCGATTTGTATTTTTCATATGCGGCTGACGGGATATCCAGAACATTAGATAATGGAATATCTCGTCGTCCAGGCGAATCTCAGCTCTTGACACGAATAACTCATTGAAGTGCGCCCAAAGGACAAATAAAGTGTATCGAGCAGTGGCGCCAAAGACAGCGATGCTCACTAGAATTTGCAGGTAGGCGCTGATATCAAAATCAAGGTAAGACATCAATATGCGTGAGATGAAGCCATAGCCGGGGACTAGAACCTCCAACATGGCCGTATCCGTCGTGGACAACGGCCCCGTTGTGGTGGGGATGGTGTGGTTGACATCCATGATCGATAGACCGCAAGGTCTCAGAAGGATTTCGATCGGACTTTCAGCTATTAAGATGAGAGGGACAAGGAGGACCCTAAAAAACCAAATCAAAGCACACTCCACTCTTTTATAGGCCCCCGCCAACCTAGCTGAAGAGCCTCATGTGTTGGCGTATCCCGCTCGGGCACCGCACTGAGCTGAGCCTGAGTTGCACCTGACCCACCTCCTGCGAACTTCGCCTCGCAGGATTCATTGGGGTTGATTGGATTGGATTGGATGGGATTTAGTTGGGCTGCCTTGATGCGTCTGCCTGGACCTTGACTCATTATTGCTGCAGGTCGCTGCAGTGCCGTTCCCCCCACGTTATGGACCAGAATTGGCACAAAAAGAGCGATCCTAACGTTAGGCGCTACATGCGGATTGAATTATCAATAATTTAAGAACATACAACAAGAGATGTTATTTTAAATAAAAAGCAAAAAGAAATCTCTCCCTCGGGGAATCGAACCCCGGTCTCCCGCGCTTATCGGTTTTAATGACAAGCGGAAATCATCACCACTAGACCAAGGAAGATGCGATGGTCAAGTTACTGCTCGACCACTTGGCTGGTTGATAAGAATACTTGCCATTTGAGCTACATAAGGCAGCAACCTTTCCAAGTGTTCACCTACGCTGGCTACGGTACTATATATGTCTCAATCTAAAGTCAGTCTACAACACATGGGTATCTCTCTTACAGCTTTAAAGCCCCTTTCCCTGGCCATCAGGCTATGCATGTATTGCCCAAGGGCATGTTAGAGGAATGTAAATGAGATTGGCACCATTATATCACCGACACTCGCCTCTATTCTACCCAGAGTAGGCTCCTCTTCAGTTTGATAATTTTCAACTAAAACTTGATCTTGATATAAGGTCATCTCTAAAGTTAGTAATGTGTGCTATTTGATATGATCGTGATGTTTGATTGTGTTTGTTTGGCGCACCCAAAGAGAGAGTAGCTATATGGTATAATAACATAACGCTAAGAGATTGAGGCTATAGACTATGTAGACAATATAGTAGAGCCAATGAAAACATCTGATCTAGCAGTCACTCAACCTTCACTTCATCCCTGACTTTATTCTTTATCTCTACAGTACTTCCCGAAACTGGTGTCACCACTTACACTTCGATTCTTTCTTAACCCCTAATTGCCAAGATAGACTAGTCTATATTGGGAATTATTCCGAAGTATCCCTGTCAGTGGGCCCTGTATTGTTTCTTACGTAGAGTAATCTAGATATGTAGCGGAGTGTATTAACTTGTAATTTGATACAAGTGACACCTCAATACCCCACTTTAGAAGCCTTCGTCCCTTGGTACGGACAGATCTTAATGTTGAACCCTCAGGCATGCATGCTTGATTGTTTGATACAGACTGAGCCTTCTTTTGTTTGCTATTTGTTGTTTATGTTCAGATGGTTTGCAGGGTATATAAACCCCTGCATAATTAGTTTTAGCAATTAAGAATCTTTCTTCTACTTTTTCCCCCTCAGTAGTAATCTTACATAGATTGCTCATCAGGTTATGAAGCCCTTTTTCTACCTCTGAATCATTATTTCATCAATATCCATCAAGGATAGTGCTATAATAGTACTAGGTCTTGCTTTAGAGCTTTGTTTTTGAAGGGTAGTAGAAGATACTATACCTTAATTTGTGGTTATTCTGTCAAAATGGCAACCCACCCACCTGACAACAACAACTGGCATGATGAAGAAGACGTCTTGGTTATTGACCAAGCTGTCGGTCTGCCAGATGTTGGAACATTCAATCTTTACAAGATTACTCCTCCTCTCAAAGAAAGAGAGGATCTTGACAAATGGATCGACAAGGTTGAGAAGATCTTAGAGAGCCATAATTTACACAATTTGGTCAAACGATCGATCCCCTAGCCGAGTCGAAGAGACCCGAATAGCCAGAAGTAGAAGACTCTTTCTAAGCAAGTTCGCACTTAGATGTCTAGCAGTTTAGACAGCGACTTGATAGAGGAAATCAATGGTCGGGGAAACCCGATTACATTCGCAGATGAGTTTTTGGAGGAGATTCGGAAGCATCTAAAAGGTGAAGGTCATAGTGCTTTAAAGGCAGCGATGACAGCCTTCCGGTCTATCTCACGAAAGAAGTTTTCATCAAGTGATGAGTTCATTGTTACATTGAAAGCAACATACAAAACATTGATGGATTTGAAATCTAGAATTTCGCCCTACTTTGCTCTACAGACGATGCTAATAGAGCTAATAGAGGTGCCAGAGTTAAATAGCTTTATTGTTGTAAAGGACAATAAACTAAACGCCATTGAGAACCCAGTTACTACGATTACTATGATCGATTTCCATCGATATAATACGGCAATTCAGGACTATATCAAGTCCACTTCCGCCGATTCCTTTGGCATCATGTCAGCGGTTAACAACGATCAACAACGACGTCAATCTAACAATCCTCCGAATCCTTCGAACCCTCCGAAACCTCAGAATCCTCAGAATGCTCGTTTAACGAATTCACCTCCGAAAGGCACGTCTCCCTAGGAACATGTCAATAAATAGAGAGCATATAGACCTAAGAGAAGCAACAATGGCAATTGTTCTTACTGTGGGGCAATGGGCCATAGCATATCGTTATGCTAGAATTTGTATCCTGAGAAACGTCCGGAAGGATAGGTTCTAAGACCTAGGATCTGGTTTTTCAAGAATGACAACAACCGTAGAGGCAATTCGACAAACCCCACGGAATTTAAACAGGACAAAGCTCAACAGGTCCAGGGGCCACCGACAGATAGGACCAAGCAGGCAAACCTTTCTACACCCAAGAGCACTAGCTTTATCATGACATCGATAGCTAGTTTGCCAACTAGTTTCAATCCTTCTTACATGCTTGCCAATCAACTTACGGCAGAACAAGATCTAGATGACATTGATGATGTCGAGGGGTTTCCAATTCAACAACCAGATCAATCAATAATAGCCATTCAATTTGTGGCTGCAACACCTAGATACCCATAGATTTTGGACACGGGTGCTTCAGAGCATATCTGTAGTGATCAATCTACCTTTCTAACAACTGAGAGATATCCGAAGGGACAAGAATATGAATAGTTAACCTCCGGCAATAAAAAGGTCAAAGCTGAATACCATAGCTTGGTTCAACTAAGTTTTTATATTGATCATACCATAACAACATGCTATCAGATTAGCATCCATTGCGTTCACCGAGCAGGTCAATACAACCTCTTCTCTCTTAGCACTACAGAGAAGGAATTAGGAATTTAGTAGAACAGCAAGTCGAAAACCCTTCATGATAACGAAGATAGGGTGATCGGTTTCACCAAAGACTTTCATAGGGTACCGTTTATTCAATTGGCCTCTCCCTCTCTAGGTGCTACAGTGATTTCCGCGGAACTAGCCCATAGACGTTTAGGCCATGCCGGTTCTTACAAAACCAAGCTTAATCAGGCAGATCTAGGTTGTGACATTCAAGAAAATGAATCTTTTGATTGCGAGGCATATAGCCTTGGCAAGTCCAAGCAGATTATATCAAGAGCCAATCAAGCAAGAGCTACAAAGGCTGCCTACATATTTCATATCGATCTACAGCCGGTCAATCCGCCAGGATATAACCCAGAGAACGGTAAGAATGATAGGCAACATACAATAGTGATCACTGATAATGCAACACGTTATCGGTTTGCATTATATCTTGCAACAAAGGGTGAGGCATCACCGGTTCTACAACGCTTCGCAGAAGACATTTACCAAAAGACAACAACTTGGACTTTTGAATGGAGAATTGACGGAGGGAGAGAGTTCTTTACCTTTGTCAATTGGGCAAGAAACAAGACAATAATTGTGTCTATTTCTGCTCCCTACGCCCATAAACAGAATGGCGTCTCCGAATTCACAGGCCATTACCTTCTCCAAATCACAAGGACAATAGGAATTGATACTAGTTCGCCGAAGGAATTGTGGACCGAGGCTTTAAATACCGCTTGCTATATCATAAATCGTCTTCGAAGGAAGGGAAATGATGCACCAGTGATCGCTTAGAGGAAGCAATTGAATATACAAACTCCCGACAATACAACTCTTTCTTTTCTACGGACCTGGTATACTAAGGCATATATTCACATTCCGAAGGAGAGGAGAATCCAGAGCCAAAAGATAGAGCCAAGGGCCTAGATAGGCCACCTTGTCGGATACGAAGGAGACAATGGTCATATCTACCGAATTTACAATCCTAAAACTAGGAAGGTAACAAGGCATAGAGACGTTGTTTTCTGGGAACAGAAACAGGGAATTCCTCACTTTAATAATCGGGATATTGTCGTTAAAGGGGAGGTGATCGATGGCCCTTTAGATTCTAAGCAAGGAACTGGATCACCTGTCATTATAGCACAACGTTCTCGACAAATTCAACAGGTTGATCAACTACCAAAGCTTGATGATCAACAACGGGTAATTGAGATAGATAAAGAAGAGGATGATGATAATCAAAGCATGCATTTTGCTACGCCAAAGGCGGGTACAAAGTTGATTTCTGGAAATTTGATGCCTACACCATCACCGTCGGCACCATCTCCGGCATCATCATCACCGGACCCATTATCTGCGCCTATACTGACTCCGCCATAACCGGCAAGAACTAGGTTTAGACGTCAATTGAACCCACCAAGACGTTTCGAAGATAAAGAATGGGATAAACATGGCAAGGCTTTGTCAGCAATTGATTCAATTAAGACAATGATAGGTACGGTGGCAATTAATATTCCCCAAGGTTTAAAGACCTGGCAAATCAAGATTCCACGCAACCGGACAGAAGCATTAGATTCACCGCAGAACGAGCTATAGCAGCAAGCGATAGACCTACAGGTTGAAAAGCTTGATCGTGCTAAGGCCTATCAAACCATTAATAATCCACCAAAGGGAAGCACTGTGCTACCTAGCAAATAGGTTTTTGATATCAAATGTGACAAAGAAGACTACATTACTGAGTTCAGAGCTCGATGGGTCATCTATAGTAACAGACAGAGACCAGGTTTCGACTTTGACGACACCTACGCTCCTATAGCACGGCCAGAGAGCACAAGACTATTCCTCTCTATGGTGATGATTCGGAATTTGTTTTGGGAACAGATTAACTACACGACTGCCTATCTTAATACCCTGATTGACGAGAGGTACGTCTTTATGAGATCACCTACGGGGTATAAGACACCGGGCAAAGTTTGTATGATCAACCAGGCAATATATGGTTTACGTCAATCAGCTTGCCTATAGTATGAAACGATCAAACAGCAATTGGAGAGTCTTGGATTTCAACAACTGTCTGATGAAAGATGCATTTTTTGGCATAAGGGGAAGAGCATGTGGCTTCTGCTATATATTAATGACACCCTCTGTGCCGCAGTATCGAAGGAAGACATTGAATGGTTAAAGCAATCGATTACTTTTAAGATCAAGGTGATCGGGGAGCCTACTAGGTTTCTAGGTTACAGTCTTACTAGATCGGATCATGGCATCTAGATAGACCAAGCTGCTTATCTTGAAGACCTCTTGCAAACGGCAAGTATAGGTAGGGTTAGCTCGACGTACTTACCAATGAAGGCGTCCTATCAACCACCTTTTTCAACAAAGGAATCAATAACAAGTGGTTCAAGATCAACGACAAACGGTTCGATAACAAGATCAATCATTAAGACAGATATTGATAATAATCAACAAATCACGGTGCAAGAGAAATCTGCATATGGAGAGGACGTTGGCAAGGTTGGCTGGTTGACCATGAGAACCAGGCCAGATATAGCCTTTGCCGTGAATCGATTACAAAGAAGAACTGCCAACCCAAGGAAGCAAGATTTAGAAGCTTTATCTCAGCTTTTACGCTATCTGAAAGGCGCTCCGGATTATGGAGTTAAATTAGCAGTTAAGGAAGATGGTTTGATTGGCTACGTTGATTCTTCGTATAACGACTGCGAAGATGGCAAATCAACTGAGGCCTACATTTTCTACTATGCCGGAGCACCGGTTTCATAGAGCTCTCGGAAGCAAGACATTGTTGCTACCGGAAGCACTGTTGCAGAGTACATTGCTTTAGATAGTGCGGTGCGGGAAGCATTGTATCTAGTCAAAATCCTTCAACAGCTGAATCTTGAAGTCAAAGATAAAGTTCAAGTCCCGATCTGCACTGACAGCGACAATGCAGTTGCAATCTTGAAGAATGATGCTTTTAAAAAGAGCACCAAGTGGTTGGATGTGAAATACCACTTCGTAAAGCATGCCTGGAAGGCCAAATGGATTGATATTAGAGTCATTGATTCAAAGTCAAATCCAGCTGATGCATTGACAAAGGCCTTACCGAAGGTTGATTTTGAAAGATTGAGAGAGCAACTGGTTACGAAGAAAATTGAGAAGGAAATGACGACAAATTGATGGAATTTGATACTTGGAAATTGTTGATTTTATGCATGATTTTACTATGCAAACCAGATTGATTTTTATGATTTATTTTTGATACTCAGTCTGGGGGGGGTGTGTTGAACCCTCAGGCATGCATGCTTGATTGTTTGATACAGACTGAGCCTTCTTTTGTTTGCTATTTGTTGTTTATGTTCAGATGGTTTGCAGGGTATATAAACCCCTGCATAATTAGTTTTAGCAATTAAGAATCTTTCTTCTACTTTTTCCCCCTCAGTAGTAATCTTACATAGATTGCTCATCACTTAACAATCAATCACGAGTGGTCATACCAAGATGGCACCCAACCTAGCCCCTTCGAAGCATGAGCTTATATACGACATGCTCCGCAGTGGGAAACTATCTATGTCGTAGATGGCAAAGGCTGCTGGCTGTAACAAGCGTACCATCCTAAGAATCTCTTCCAATATTCGGACATTTGGTAGCGTCAAAGCACCCCCTAATAAAGGTAGTAGGCCACGAAGTATCAGTCCGGTTATACTAGAAGCCCTTTATGACCACCTACTCGAAAAGCCTAACCTATATCTTGATAAGATAGCACTTTTTCTGTGGGATAAGTTTGATATCTAAACTACGAAGTCTAGCATCAGTCATATCAAAACGCTAGTCGAAAAAGACTGCCTAGGTTAAGGCTAGAGAGCGTAATCACGACCTCCGTGATAAATACTCCTACTTTATCTCGGATTTTAGATCGTACTACCTTATATATATAGATGAATCTAGGTATAATAAAAGGTTTAGCTTTAGGCGAACTAGGTAGTCTCTACTAGGGGTAACACTAGTTTAAGTGTCCAAATTCCATCGTAATCAGCGATATCAGATACTACCTATATATGCTTAAGATAGCATTGTTTTCTCTCGAGTGTTCTAAGGCTCGACTAATGCGTCTGTCTTTGAGGATTTCATTAAGCAACTGCTCCGGTATTATAGGAAATAGCCCGAGCCAAAGTCCGTGCTAGTTATAGACAACGCATCATTTCATCACTCTGACCGAATAGAGTAGGTGTATTCAGAAGCCGGTGTTAAGCTAGTATACCTGCCTCCATATTCTCCAGATCTAAATCCCATTGAGGAGTTCTTTGCTAAGCTAAAGGCCTTCATTCGGCGGCATTGGCAGTCATACGAAGATAACCCGGACCAAGGATTCGATACCTTCCTTGAATGGTGTGTTGACACGGTCGGTGCCAGGGAAGGAAGCGCAGAGGGGCACTTTCGGCATGCAGGTCTGACCGTAGAGGAGATGTAGCGCAGCTACTGCAGCAGGTTCGAAGCCAATCTCACTACTTGTCTGAAGCGGGCTCTTTTGGATTTTCTGAATATTCTTGCCTGTGATGAAAGGCAGCTGGCAATTACATTGAGGGATACGCTTGAAGTCACTATTGTACTGCCGACGGGCTTAGGCTTATGTTTGTAAAAAATGATCAGCTGGTATTTGAGGGAGTTCTTTTATAGACAACGAATAGGCCTATCGACATGTATCATTATTCCACGTCCAACCTGAACGAAGAACAATTTCGCAACATGCAATCAACAAGCCCAACGAAAATCAAATAAATAGGACACAATCTATGGATAGATACAGTACTTCCGGAAACCGGTGTCACCGCTTTGACTCTTCCATTCGTTTTCGAACCCTAATGCCAAGACTACTAACTGTATCTGCTCAATGGTCCCGGAAGAATGATACTCCCTGAACATAACCTATACAGTATTGCAATGTAAAGATACACCCATGTCACTTACAGACTACAGTTGTCTGAATTGCTTTTTTGAACTGCGCACTGGATGGATGGCTCCTCGATCCAGCAGCGTCTTAACTACATCTTCATGACCGTTGTATGATGCGGCTTGAAGTGCATTGCCAAACTCTCCACCTGGCGTGTTAACATCGGCACCATAATCTAGGAGCTTCTTGACCACCTCTTGATAGCCGTTGTATGATGCGACTTGAAGAGCATTGCCAAATATTTCACCTTGGACGTTGATATCAGCACCTCGATCTAAGAGCATCTGCACTATCTCTGTATAGCCTCTAAACGACGCGGCCCGAAGTGCAGTGCGATACCGTCCACCCTGGGCGTTGATATCGGCACCTCGATCCAGCAGCACTTGCACTATGCTTTTATAGCCTCCGGATGATGCGGCTTGAAGTGCATTGCCATACCGTCCACCCTGGGCGTTGGCTGTATCTGATAGGGTTGCAGTCTTGGTGTCAATCACTAGCACACTCTTTAAGATGGATTCCAGACCCAACAAGGCTGCATAGTACACAGGCGATGCTATATCATCCACACGGCGTCCAAAATCTACTTTGGTGTTCCATGGACGGTCAATGTCATATAGCTTAACCCAGGTCACGAAGGAATTTGTCGCATTCTGGAACATCCTGAACAATAGGTTTCCAGCTTTCGATTTCCCTTCATGAGACCTTATGTAATAGTCGTACCAATGAGTGGCGGCAAAGTGAGCAAGTGGAAACTTTTGAAGCTTTACTTTGTCCAATATTCCACTTGATAGTGTCGGTTCTAAGAGGTAGGCAAGACAAATCTGCGCCATTTCCGTGTTCGCATGCTGACTTTGAATTGCGAATCTGTCCGCTTTCTGTTGTCGGATGCGGTCAGATTGAAGATACTCTTGGACAGAGAAATGCGCTATACGAGCGGTTGAGATGGGTTGCCCACCATCATCATCCTCGGTCTCCACGATCTCTACGAGTCCAAGACATATATCGACAAGGTCATCTTGCTCATAGGAACGGCCCTCGTGATCAAGACACGGTGATTGACCAAGCTCAACAGCATGAGCGTCGATTAGTTCATTGATTGTCAGCGGTCGGACAGAGAGACAGAGCACAGTCAATATACGTCGCACATCCTCAACATAGGTTTCGTCGATGCTACATAGCATTCGCTCATATGTTCTGTCTAGATCGCGTGGCAAAGTGCGTAGGGATTCGTCAAGTTGGTTTCGGTTCCGCGCTCGTCGAAAAGCGTTAAGCTGACATTCCACATATCGGAATCTATACGTATAACCGTTAGACAATTCATATAAGTTTTTGACGTATAATACTTACACTCCTTGCGCACTTTTTATAAGTTTGTCTTGGATCTCGCTGTGGCGCCCTTTCCACCTTTGAAGTTTTGCATCATTGTTGAGCTGATAAGAGACAAAGGCAGAGATATCTTTGTCGATTCCCGAATTCTTCATCGAAAGGTCACAGTCATAAGAAGGGGCTAAAGATCCTCGGATGTCCAGCTGGTCACGACTTGTTACTAAGAGATGGACACTAGGCATACTCCAGTCTCGTATCGCCTGTATCACTCTTAGAACACCTTCTCTACCGCAGTCTCGGGGACACTCATCTAAGGCGTCTAGTAGAATATAGCTATCCTTAAATCGGCCAAAGAACCCCTGAAGGGTTTGGAGTAGTATTTCCACGGAAGGAGTGCTTGACTTGAATAGCTTGCGGAGTTGCTCAAGTTCCTTTTCGCCATCTTGGAACTGGACCGATAATTGCAATAGCAGTGCGCGTAACATGCCACGATCGTCTTGCTTTGACTCATCATTGAAGGAAAAGTAGAAAAACGCGATTCCTACTCTATTCCTGTTCTTCATCAGACGGAAGGTATGTTGTATTGCAATTGAACAGAGGACTGACTTGCCACTTCCTGCAAATCCGTTGAGCCAGAGAAAAGAACTGCGTTCCACAAGCCAATTTGTAAAATGATGACTGTTGATTAACCATAGGCCAGTGCTTGGATGGTGTTTAGCGTATATAGCGTTATGGTTCACGGATGCATCAGGGGCCATGACCCAGGCACGAATCGTGATAGAGACCTGACTCGTGTTTATCCGCTCTAGAAGAGACTTGGCTTCTGATATTTCATCTTCAATCCGATTGTGGCTTTTGAACTTTAAGACATTCAGTAAGAATGACATGTTTCCACGTATCTCGCCAATGTCCTCTTCAATCTTCTGTATAGTGCTTTTTCGGAACGGATAGGCAGCGCGACGTCCAGCAACTTGGACACGACTTTTTAAATTAGTGACCGGTTCTGCCTGAAATCTGCGGCACTCAATCTGTAGCTCTTCGATGACTTCCTGGCACTTGTGTGTGATCTTGTCGACTTCTAGGAGTAGCTCTTCTGTGTCGGTCTGAGATTGCCGTTGCTGGATTGCAATCTCCAGGGACCAAAAAGTACTCCGAAGATTGTCGATGTTTTGCGTGACCTTTGCGATATCGGTGTCCTGGTTTTTGTAGACGGAATAAAAATCAACTAATGCTTGCGTAACTTGAACACTAAGAGAGAGGAATCCGGCGATGCCAGCTGCGATCGAGAGGGGATCACTCATGGTAATAGTGAGTTGCCACTTAGATGGGGCCGCCTAAGTAAGAAAACAGGTTATGTTCAGTGGTGGGTGGAAGAGGAAGTTTGAACTATTTAGCGAGATGGAGAAAGGGCGATGGCGCTAAATCAACCTCACTGCGGGGAGCTGACCAGATAGATACCTAATGCGGACCCTCCCAGAAGACCACGTGAGGAACCTGAGTATGAACACATTCGTAATGCTGGTTTTTCAAATAATACAATACTTTGTGTAATGACAGGGGTTATTCCGTGGGCTCTTAGAACAGACTAGTGTGTCTTGGCACTAAGGTTCGAGAATCCATCGAGGAGTGTAGGTGGTGACACCAGTTTCGGGAAGTACTGTATTGTTTCTTCTATCAATCTTCACTTTGACCCAGTGATCACTCCGCCTGATCATTATCGCCCCATCCATATGTATCTATCCCCCAATGTCCTTTTTCATTATATCCCACCACTGTGAGTCAGCTACAACAAGCGTCACGTATCTTCGATCGTCAAAAATTATATAGAGCAAAATAGTGCTGACTATGATAATCACACATCCTAGAACCTCCGTAGGTCCTTACAAGACCTTCCACGGGCCATGCTGAATACCACAGCTCGGAAGCGCAGCTTCCAGGAAATCCCCATGCCTTGCACCAGCATTGTGTGCTGCACTTTTGCTCCTGTTCATGTATCGGGCGTGCTTCCTTGGGCACTGACGATCTGTTCGGCGTCTTCAGAGCCCTTTTCGGCTGCCTTGGCTTCCTCTTTCTTCCGATCCCTCCGTCGCCTTCCTTTGTTCCCCTAGACCCAAAGTTGGGGATTCTACTTGGCCCAGGGGTCGGTCAACTGATGAGCAACCCACTAATCACCCCCAGAAACAAATTACGGTTCATGATTTACATATTACTTAAAGAGAATCGCAGTGGATAGCAGAAGCTAGAGCTATAGAAAAGAAGTTGCGTACCAGATAAGTTCTCTATGGCATCACTACGGCCTGCTTTCGGATGCAAAAGAGTGTGGATGAAGGCTGCGCGCGACAAATAGCCCAAGCAAGAAACGAGAGAATGAACGAAGATCTTGCCAGATTGTTAGGATTCTCTTTTGTTTGGTCTGTTTGCACGATGGATTAGCCCTCCAGCGGGGTCATCAGCAACAATCCCACCTGTAGTCTCTTCCTACCCTTCCTTTCACGCTTCTCCCCTGTTTGCTACCAACACACATCTATCTCTTGTCATATTCACGACCTGAATGTGGGGCATTCGCTCTACGACAATATGGACGGCCTTTCTAATGCAGCCAGCATTATAGCTGCCATCCAAGTTGCCGGGAGTGTTATGAAGATTTGTGTGACTTACTTGAATGAAGTGAAGGATGCCAAGAATGATGTTCATCGCCTACGACTGGAGGTTGCGAGTCTTACTGTCCTACTGGAAAAGGTATCGAAACTCCTGCACAATCCAGATGGCATGGAACTTTCGGCTTCTAAGATGTTGGTTGACGGTATGAACGATTGTCTTTCAACGCTCACTTGCTTGGATAAAAGGATAGACCCAGGAAACAGATCCAAGATAATGACCAAATGGGGAATTCGAGCTCTCAAGTGGCCCCTAAAAAAGGAAGAGTTGAGAAAGGTTGTTCAAGATATCGAGAGATGCAAGACGGCTCTGAATTTAGCCTTGCAGGTTGATCAAATGTACGTACGCATATTCAGAAGTTTATATGAGGATGAGAAGGACTAAGAAGCAACCAGAAAACTCATAAATGGCATGGACCAAAAGATCGACCTCTCCAAGCTGCCAACTGCCTTAGGCGCCGAGTTCGATTCATATTCAGACCAACACGAAGACCAATGTCTACCAGGAACCAGAAGTGAGATCCTTGGAGAGATCAATAAATGGGTGGAGTTTCCACAAGGGAGATGCATCTTCTGGTTGAATGGAATGGCTGGAACGGGAAAATCAACGATTTCCCGAACTGTGGCCAGAACATTACAGGAGAGAAGGCTACTTGGCGCTAGCTATTTCTTCAAGAGAGGCGAAGGTGACCGGGGGAACGCGACAAGATTTTTTAGTACCCTCGCGACTCAATTGATGCACCATATGCCTCAGTTAATACCAGCCGTGAGAAGGTCACTTGAGGCTGATCCTGGTATTTCAGGAAAGTCACTCAGGGACCAATTTCAAAAGCTCATTTACCAGCCGCTCCTGGGACTGAGGCTCAGCCAAAATAGTTCCAAAATTGTCATAGTGATCGATGCCTTAGATGAATGCAATCGGGAAGAGGATGTGCAAGTTCTCCTCCAGTTGCTACCACGAATGCGGGAATCGGGCGCGCCGGTCTGTATATTTTTAACAAGCAGACCTGAATTAGCGATACGCCTGGGATTCAAGCAAATTGCCAATGAGCATCAGGACTTGATACTCCATGAGGTACCCGAGCTAGTGATAAAGGACGATCTATCTTTGTTTCTCAACAACAGATTCGCAAAGATTAGATACGAGCGTGCTCTAGCCCCAGACTGGCCGGGAGATGAGAGCATCGAAGCTCTGGTTGCCCTTTCCGCACCGTTATTCATTTTTGCTGTCACCGTATGCCTCTTCATCGGAGATAGGAACTGGAGCCCAGAGAAGCGCCTTGCATCAATCATCCAAGACAAGGCGCTAAACCGTACATCGCGACTGGACAGGACGTACCTTCCAATCTTGAATCAGCTTCTCACCGGCGAGGATGAAGATGAGTCGAAGCAGCTATTGCAAGAGTTCCAAGATATTGTTGGGATCATCGTCCTTCTTGCTTCCCCGCTCTCTATTAATGGCCTCTCCCGCTTGCTGGATATTCCCAAAGGTGACATATACAGCAGACTGGACTTATTCCATTCGGTCCTCAGTGTTCCGACGGATCCAGAAGCTCCCGTGCGGATTCTGCACCTGTCATTCAGGGACTTTCTTGTGAACCCGGGCAGGAAAGCCAAAAGTCCATTCTGGATAGACGAGAAAGAAACGCACCGAAAGATGGCCAATAGATGTCTTGCCGTTATGCAAAGGGATCTAAAGAAGAATATTTGCAATTTACCAAGCCATGGGACGAGTCGCGCGAAACTCGATTCTCAGGCAATCGGCTGCTACCTGTCGACCGATTCACAATACTCTTGCCGTTATTGGGTACACCATATCGAGCAGGGCGGATTCTGCATGACTAACGGGCTTGATTTGTTCCTTCGACAACATTTCCTGCACTGGCTTGAAGCAATGAGCCTTCTAGGGCTTATACATGATTGTGTTGGGATGATCCACACTCTACAATCCGTCACCCAAGTAAGCAGATCGGCAAAGTCATCACTAGTGATCATTCATTTACTAAGCTCCTTAGGCTCAAGCGGAACCTGAAACATCAAGGTTCCTCCAAGATGCAAAACGATTCATTCTGAAAAACATACAGATAGCTGACAACGCACCGTTGCAGCTATACTGCTTGTGCCTCGCTTACGCACCACGGACGTGCTGCATCAGAAAGACATTTGAGAAACAGATTCCTGGTTTGATTACAAAGTTGCCTGCGGGAGATGATGCATGGGACGCGCAAGTCCAGACTTTGGAAGGTCATTCACAAAGAGTCGTGTCTGTCACATTCTCACCAGATGGCAGGCTATTGGCATCGGCATCCTGGGATGGCACGATCAAACTTTGGGAAACTGCTACTGGGGCATTGCAACAAACACTGGAGGGACATTCAGGCTCAATTGAATCGGTGATATTCTCCCCAGATAGCAGGCTGCTAGCAGCAGGTTCCGGGAGAATGGTCCAATTCTGGGATATAGCCACTGGAAATCTACAAATGACTCTGGAAGGCCACTTGGATAGGGTCAGAACTGTCGCATATTCGTCAGATGGGCAGATCGTTGCATCTGGTTCTCAGGATAACACTGTAAAGATTTGGGACCCTGCTGGATCGCTGCAATACACACTAGATGGACACTCAGGTTTAATTCGATCGGTGACATTCTCACCGGATAACAAACTGGTGGCATCAGGATCTTCGGATCATACCGTCAAGCTATGGGAAGCGGGCTCTGGAGTATTGCAGCGGACATTGGAGTGTCAATTCTGTGTTTCCTCTATCGCATTTTCGCCGAATGGCGAGGGGCTGGCTGTCGGCGCTGAGGAAACGATCCAATTCTGGGACACCGCTACTGGAACTCTTCAACATACTATATACGAAAACTTGTCCGACGTTAATTCTGTCGTATTCTCACCGGACGGAAAGCAATTAGCATCAGGTTTCTCCCTAAGTACAGCCAAAATTTGGGATGTCACTACTGGAACCGAGCAGCAAGCCCTGACAGGCCACGAGAGTAACGTCTGCTCGGTGGCATTCTCACCAGATGGAAAGGTGGTGGCTTCAGGCTCCTTAGATCGCACAATCAAGCTGTGGGAGACTACCGCGCGAAACTTCCCGGCAGCTGCCCAAATAGACAGCCACTCACAGTTAGTTGTTTCTGTCGTTCTCTCCCCAAATGGAAAGCTGGTAGCGTCTTGCTCTTCCGATGGGACAATCAAACTATGGGACACTGGCAGTGGGAGTATCATACACACCCTACAAGGTCATTCAGACTGCGTCTGGGATGCCGTATTCTCATCAGATGGCAAGGTGGTGGCTACGGGCTCTCTTGATTCAACAATCAAGCTCTGGGACACTGCCACTGGAGCATTGCAACAAACACTGGAGGGACATTCAGGCCCAATTGAATCTGTGACCTTCTCCCCAGATAGCAGGCTGCTAGCAGCAGGTTCCGCCGATGGAACAATAAGCATTTGTGCTATTCCAGAAGGAGCTCTCCAACGGACATTAGAAGGCCATCTCGGTCGGATCAGGTGTGTAGCATTCTCACCAGATAGAAAGCTACTAGCATCGAGATTTGATTATGAGCGAATCAAGGTCTGGGACGTCACCACCGGCACCTTGAAACAGAGTATCGAATCCACACCATATAGTTTGTCACGCTCCTGTGCCGTGATAAATGGGCCCACAATCCATTGGCAAGTGGATGGTGAATCACACTCAGTCTGGTCCGTGGCGTTTTCGCCAGGTGGCAATTTTCTAGCATCGAGCTCCTGCAGTTCGACAATCAAAATTTGGGATACTGCCACTGGCATACTGAACCAAATTGTGGAGCGCCATCCGGGTTTTATTAGATCCCTCGCGTGGTCTGATAATGGCCAAGGTCTTGAGACCAACATCGGGTCGTTCGATATTCAGCCGCAGCATGAGAATAACGCCTCCCCATCGAAGCAGCCCACTTTCAAAGTCTCTCTTCACAATCAATGGATAGCTCTTCAGGGCGATAAAGCGTTTTGGATGCCTCCTGAGTACCGGCCCACTTGTTCGTTCATTCGAGAAGGTATTTTGGTTCTTGGGCATATGTCAGGTAGGGTGTCTTTCATGGAATTTGGTATCTAGCGAAGGTCCATAAGACTTACAAGAATAAAATATATGGCGCGGTTGATCATAATAGGTATCCCCTATATTAGATTTCAATCCTCCCTCAGAGATCCCCCTTGGAGTCATAGTCGGCCTCGACGATTTCCCCTCTTTTCCCTCACTTCTAATCATCCATCATCTCTTCATCCTCATCAAGATGCACTCCTGCTCGGATCATAACTGCTGTGGGTCGACGTTGAATCTCTCGGGCAACGGCCTCTCTCAGGTAATCATTGTATGCACCTGATCCTTGCATAATGTACTCCGAATGAATCTGCAACCATCGACTGGACATCAGTTCAACCAATTGATCCGTTTCCCGTCTTTTTTGATCGTCGGGGGTTGGCTCCGAGCGGGCGTACCCGAATCCTTCCATAGTTTCTTTGGCGGCGAGCATGTTCTTTGGTTGGTGCGTGCTTCTCGGAGTCATCCGGGCACGTTGTTTCTTCTCGATATTTGCAGTTTGTAGTGTAGGGTAGGTCGTAGTGATCTAAGCGACATGCAAGGAACCGTGCTCGTTTCATACTAGAAGGTAGTGGCATGCTCAATTGGTTGGCGATCAAGACGAGACTGCTTGGTCAACGAAGAAGTACACGATAACTGCGGACTCTACCACCGTTGCAGAGTGGTGTGTTTGGGTTAAAAGTATGCCACTGGCACATAACTCCGTCATTGGTTATTACCTATAACAGTATACCTATTAATCTTGTGACATCGCTGTCGATGATGTTCTCAATGCGTAAAGGTCTCAGGGCGTATTCCACAACGACCTTCCAAGCGCGTGGGTTGTTGATATTATGTTCAAGAAGTCCGATTTTAGACATCTTCATCGACATGATCTCAGGCATAGTGTCGGCCTGAGTGATTTCGACGGTGACGTGATCGTCAACGTCGGCGTCGGCGGGTGCGGGATTTGGCGCACCGCGGCTCTGCGAGCCATCGTTGCTACCACGGATCGGTAGCGAGTATGGCATTTCTGTGGGGTTGCCGTCCCCGTTCTCCGAATCGGACATTATTGTCGGTCTGAAAGTTGATTCGTCAGAAGATTTACCCTGTCTGGATCACTGTGGGTCCAGGTCGAAACTTTAGAGAAAGGAGTTGCTAGTGGTCCAGCTAGCAGATTTAGGTGCTCATAACCTAATGTGAAATCTTACTGGTGATGGGTTTATGAAGAAACCAAGCAGTTGGATTCGTAATAATGATGTTGGACGAGGAGAGAGGAAAGAAGAAGAGAGAGGAAAACTATCTACATGATGCCCATGTGGGTCCATTGATGCCTGAGGCACCCAGGCACCCAACACCTATGAATATTCACCTACCCTTAAACTAGTGGCCAAGAGATCTGCTAATTTTCTTCAAATTCAATTCAAATTCAATTCAGATTCAGTTCAGATTCCGCTCAGACTTACTTAAAAAAGTCCCTATGCCCATTTGATGGAGGTTGCTACGAAGTGATGCTTACGGAGAAACAATACACTTGGAATCGTAGGTAGCGAATTGGACAGAGAGGATAAGAGAGAAGGAGAGAGAGAGAAGCTATCTACGGAGTACTACTAGAGAGTACTACGGATCTGTGGCCATATGCCTCAGGCACCCAACACCATTTCCTATTTTGGGTTCGGCCAATGCACTTTCCCTCTATACTATGTAGAAGACATTTTCGACTTCTCTTCTACTTGAACCAACTGCCTTTTTTTTCTCGTATTACAAAACATAATCTCCTACTTTATATCAAAATTCCATCGCTGTGAATTAATAAAGAACCTCGGCAATCAGATCTCTACGTTTGCCGCAGCGGACATGACCCCGCCAGACGTGAATGAATTCTTTGGTCTCAGTCAACCTAGTGGTTGGGAAGCATGGCAATTTGCTCGTCCTCTCGTTACCATCACGCCAGAGTTTGGTAACTACATGCCATCCCTCGACCTTGGTTATACTTTATAATACTAATGTGTAGTCACAGAAACATGGCTGAACACAACCCCCTCAAAACCAACTGAGGCTCGTACGAGGTGCAAAATAGATGCCCTCCTCATGAATTCGAGACCGCGCTTAAATGGGGGCCGGTTACCTATCAGAACAAACTACACAAGTGTGTCGGCAAAGCCGACTACAGTATGTTTTCCGGCGAGCAAAACCACATGTCCTGTCATTTGGTCGTATTTGAGGCGCAGCAGTTCTGGGACCATGGAGCCTCCACAAGCAACCATGGCCAAATTCTAACGTATATGGCGATTGTGCAGGCTAGCCGAAAGGCTAGGGGACTTTCGACTAGGGGACAGACAGATAGTACTATGTGGGGTGCCCTGATAGATGGGCAATGGTTCTACTTCTTCCGGTTGAATAACGGAGGCCAATGGTCTTGTGTCGCCTACCAAGTACTTCGCGAATACTAGGCAGCCATCGCCCATATCATTGCTTCCATGATAATGCGGGGAGATCAGACCGCGGCGTCTCCTCTTCGTTCAAGTCTCTCCTCTACCTCTTGTTGGGGACCAAGAATCCCCTCCCTCAACATCCCGCCGTCCTGGACGAGCAAATGTTTGCTACTAGTCGCTGAGCTTGGAAGTTTTGGTCCATTGCTTTGTAATCCTAGAAATAAATATTACATGATCGCAGTCAATGGATCCATAACTGTCACCGTCATCTGACCCGGCTAGACTGTAGTAGGACCGTGCTGGCCAGATGAATATATCATCCTTATCTTCCCCTAAGCTCCCAGCCTTACAACATGATCTCAAAAGGATATTCTGAATACGATTAGGCTTCCCGATTAATTGAGGACATAAGTTCTATACATCTAATGTGACGGCTATAGAAAATAATATGCCTAGAGACGGTAATATTGTCTAATAGTCGTTGGATATTTAGATCTTGATTTAAAATCTAGCATTCAAGAGCCTGTCAGTCTGGTCCATAGACCCAGATACCACCAATCTACCGTCAAGTGAGAATGCCACGGAAGTCACACACCCAGAATTGCCCTAGAGTGTTTTGCGTAGAGCCCCCGTCATAGTATTCCAGAGTTTGAGTGTGTTGTCATTAGATCCAGATGCCACCGATTTACCATTGGGCGAGAATGCCACGGAAGTCACCCCTCCGGAATGACCTTCGAATGTTTTATGTATAGCACCCGTCATGGTATTCCATAATTTGACTGTGTTGTCCGCAGATCCAGAACGAATGTACCATCAGGTGAAAATGCCACAGAGTTAACAGCACCAGACTGGCCATCAAGAGTTTTATGTATATGGCCCGTGATAGTATTCCAAAGTTTAACTGTGTTGTCATGACCTCCAGATGCCAAAAACAACCCACTGGGTGAGAACGTCACGGAGTTGAACATATTAAGATAGCCCTCAATCGTTCGGTGTATCTCGCCAGTGGTAGTATTCCACAGTGTGATATCATTAGCCGCAGATGCTAGAAATATACCATCGGGTGAGAAGTCACCCCTCCCCATTGCTCTTACGCATCTCGCCGTCAAGCTTTCTATGGATCTCGCCTGTCGAAATGTCCCAGACATTGACTATAGTGTCACGGGATCTGGATGCCACCAATCTACTCAGGTGAGAATGTCACAGAGGTCAATCAAAATAATCGTCAATCATCTTAACAACCATCCTTCGAATGATATTACCTCTTTTGCGTGACTGGAGAGAGGATGTTGGCGATTCCCATCTCAGAATAGAATTCTCGAATACCTCTGGAGACCGCGGCCACGGCGCTCCCAACAATGAGCCTGGCAATAAGTTGGGTGCTGATGTAGTAGGTGACTCTGGAGCTGATGTAGTAGGTGACTCTGGAGGTTTGCTAGTGTTCCATGATGCAAATTGTTCTGTCACCCACTCGAGCGATGACGTAGAATGTGCCTCTTTGTGCGCAAGTGAAGCTGATTTACGTTTATAGGGCAATGGTTGATCAATCCAGCTGTGCTGTAAAGCATCTTTTGCAGATCTTCTGCCCGCAGGGGTAGGGTGCATAAGAGACAAGACGAATTCAACTCCAGGTTGACTGACCTCGTTGGCCAAAAGTTGATTGGAAGGAAATATGTTAGGCGTTTGGACGTAGTTGAAGACCAACCCGGGATGCTTGAATGTGGGTTGCTTGGTTAAAACTTGGAACATAATCTCTCCAGCCGCCCAAATGTCAACGGCATATGGAGTGCCCTTTGGCGTGAATCCAAATAGTTCAGGAGCAATATATCCGAATGTACCCTTTATAGTCGTTGATTTTCCTAGGCTATCCTCGACACGTTTGCTAATCCCAAAGTCTGCGATTTTTACCCACCAATCATTTGGTGGACATGATCTCAAAAGGATATTCTATATACGATCAGACTTAGTAGTTGGTTTTCATTTTGCAACTCACATTGGGTTTCAAATCGCGATGTGCATAGCCATTCTCGTGCATTAAATCAAGGCCTTCCAGAATCTGGGACATGATGCACTGCGCCTCAAATTCCGGCAGCGGCTGGCTCTGGTCGAGCAAATAATCTTGTAGATCCCCAAGCTCAAGATATTCCATTGCAATAAATAATCTGGCTTCGGTCTCGTACCACCCAAAAGACTTGACAAAACATCGCTCGTACTGCTGATCTGTTAGAAGTGTTCATTGCGTGGAATAGTTAGAGGACAAGCCTTTGTGTGCGAGAATTTCGCAATAGCCTCAAGCTCACGACCATAGTCTACCTGGCGACGCACTTCCATCTGCTTTATTGCACGGACGTCATGGCCATGACTGTTTCCTTTTGTGCATCTCTCCAGCCACACCTCTCCAAACCCGCCGTCGCCAATCTTCTTCTCGCGCTGCCAGTGTTCTGATTTTTTGACTGGCCGATGGGAAAGGGATTCCTGTTCATAGTAGGTATGCACTGTCTCGTATTGGCTGCCAGGTAGGAAATGTGTCTCAAGCTTAGAATCGAGAACCCAATCTGGAATTGTCGGCATTTGGAAATGAGGAAGGAGCGAGAAAAGAAGCGAAGATAATTTGAGAGAATGATGTAGTTGGGATTTTGTATTGGATGTATGTATAAAATAGTAGAAGGATCAAATAAGTGAGTGTGTAAATCCCTCGAATCTCAGTGGAGGTTGGGAATGGAGATGAGGGGTTTCTTTCTGCGGTAATCGTGTCAAGCGCCTAACACCAACTGGGCACCATAGCATCAACTTTCCCAGTGCTGACATACATGGGATGTCTTTATGTCTGTTGTCATGGCCTTAGGCCTGATATGTATGCCTTAGGCATCAACACTCCGAACTGTATCGTAGCCCTCAACAGCTAGTCACTAAGATTAGGGCGTGAATTTGCAGTTCGATACCAAGAGCCACGCGTAAGACATCTAGCGCCATGGAAAGGTGAAAAAGCTGTATATGATGGGGCTGGAGTTGACAGGATTGTATAATATATCGCGGTTATGATATGTTAACCGAGCCAACACCGCAGAGAGTAAAAAGCATTTAAACATTAAATACGTGAATATGGGTATCTATTGAAATGCAAGGCCAAATGGACAAAATTGAGCAAAATTATCAACTCTCAGACTCCGGGTGCTTGCCCTGAACAGCATCAGCAACGCCGCCAGCCCAGTTCTTCAGGTCATCGAATTTGTGCCAAAATGTGCCCCACCACGTTGAGCCATGTTCGTCGCCACTTTGATGGTCTGCGGCGGGTGGTGCCTCAGCTGCTGGAGTGGGTTTTGGTGCTGGCTGTGCTGGTTTTGGCTGTGCTGGTTTTGGCTGTGCTGGTTTTGGCTGTGCTGGTTTTGGCTGTGGGGGCGATGGTTGTGGAGGCGATGGTTGTGGAGGTGATGGCTGTGGGGGTACCGGTTCCGGTGGTCCTGCTGTTGCTGATGTTTGAGATGGAGGATCCGGAGGTGTCTCCAAGACCGGTGTGTTCTCATCCGAGTGCAAGCCAACTGACTTCAGCGGGAGTCGTAATGTGCCATTGCTTGGAAGGGGTTCGACACCCAAAGAGTCACAGACAATGTTATATACCTCGATGTTTTCTATACAAACTCGTTAGGTCAAATTTCGATCAACAGTTGGGAGTAGGCACTTACGGAAAACTTCCACCCGGCTGTTTGGCTTATGCGGGAAGGCTGGGCCGCGCGCAATAAAGATTGCACGCATCAATGGATGCTCATGGTCATATCCGTGGATGCCATTAGGACTGTATCGCTTCCCGGTCTTCAAAGCCTCTTTGACATCGAACTCTCCCCGATTGACGATAGCCCACCCCGTCTTAGGGATCACCCACAACGGCGCAATGCGTTCATTGTTCGAGAAGTGATACCGTTCGGGCATTGTCTCCCGTGTGTAGAATTCGAAAGCATGCGCGTAATCGGGAGCTACCTTCTCTAATTGTTTCCGGAGGGTCGCCAGATCCTCAGGGCGCTTAGGGCGTAGACCAGCAGAAGGCCAGCCATCAATATGGTCAATTAGATCATAATCAATCAAATCGTCCAACTGGATTAGCCGTTCTGTAGAGGTAGTAGCCATGCCGTGGTCTGAGACAACCACGATGTTAACGACTTCTGTGAGATTGCGTCGCTCAAGACCAGTCATAATGCTGGCGATCATGTTATCCGCTTCGGAAATCGTATTTCGAATCTCAGTGCTGTTAGGACCAAATTTATGCCCGTCCTGGTCCACGTTAGGAACGTAAGCCACGATAAACTGCGGCCTCTCAGGTGCTATCTGCGATTCATCCTCGAGACCGGGGAGATCCAAAAACTCAAGGATCCGATCCACCTTGCGAGACAAGACCTCCGTCCCGTTGTATTTGTCCAAAAAGGTTGGCTCCTTGTCACCAATGTGCGCCTCAGACCCCGGCCACATATGGATGGCGGTCCTCACACGCTGCTTTTCTGCTGTAACCCAGAGGGGTTCTGCCATCCACCACTTGGGTTGCATGCTCACAGTGGGATGGGTGTAGTAGAATTCCTCCTTCATATTCGGGTCCCAAAATGTGTTTCCTACAATCCCATGACTTTCGGGGTAGAGTCCGGTCATAAGTGTGAAGTGATTTGGGAATGTGACGCTCGGGAAGCTAGGGTTCATGTATTGCGGGGAAACGCCATTGGCGACGAGGGAGTTCAGCGCAGGAGTCAGGCCACGATCGAGAAAGTCAGCCCTGAAACCGTCGAGCGAGATAAATATAGTGGTTGGCGCAAAGAGAGCTGTGCCGTTCGAGAGCAAGGCCGGAGGTGCCCATGAAAGCCGGGAACCGCCCGAGGCTTTATACGCCCCAAGAAGGAGGATGACGAAGAGAATGGCGAGCAGAGCAATTATAAACAATATTTTTCGCCACGAAGGCCGTGGAGGCTAATTAGAGGACGTGTTAGCAGAGGACGTAGAAACCAACCACAGGTACGTCTTACCGGCTCATATGTGTATTCACCTTTGCTGTCCAAATCCAACGATGATCCGCTCAAAAGGGATGCATTATCATCACCAATCCCCTCTTCCATCTCATACATTAGCTCCCCATCCTCACTAACTCTCTCACGACGTGACCCCTCCGCTGTCGCCGCTGACTTTTTGTCTTCCCGATCTTGACACTGCTACCATTTGGGCTGAAAATCCTCCGCAGACCTTGCCCAGTGCCACGGCGTATTAAAAGCTTCTCCAGCTCCTCCTCATCTTCTAGCACTGCCCGGTCGTGCTCTGCGATTTCCAAGGTGCTGCGGTTCTGATCGAGAAGGGCGTCATCGTCGGGATCAGAGTCCTGTTCGGAGGGCGACCGCAACGAAGATGCATCGTTGTCGTAAATTGCAGGAGAAAGAAGGGAATGACTAGTGTCTGGGCGGCGCATTGCTAGCTTGATGAAGACATGGAAAAAGAGCCGGAGATGGAGAAAGGGAGATGGGAGGAATGCCAAGACCCGGCAATCATTTGTGATAAGCCCGATCTATGAGAATTGTTTGTTGTTATTACTTGTTTGGCTTCTATTATTAGTATGGACATGTTGATTTTGGGTGTTTTGTTCATTATGAAAATTTATAATAATGATATTATTTTTTTAGAGTATCAAATTTGCTAAATTAGAGCTACAATCCTTTGTTCGTGGGTTTGTGTATATCTTGCCTATTCCGGCTCAACGCCTACATAATCGCCTAGGTTCGCTCTAATAGTTGAGAATCCTACAGCTATTCCGACGCTTCCATTTTGCCATGGTCAGTCCGATTGTGATTTTTCAGTGGGCTAATCATGGGCTAATAGCGCATTCTACCCAGGTAGTATCAATATAGGAATAACTCGGCACGAAGGTAGACGGCGAGTAAGCATCTTGACTATACGCATAACGTCCACGATGTTATTCCAGCAAGTCTGGTATTCGGCCTTGTCTGGCTGAAATTCAACTCAAATGTCTCTATATCCCAAAGGGGGATGTAAGCAAAGTCAGGTCAGGTGAATAGTGACTGGGGTCCGGGGCTGTTATTTAAGGGCCCCCTGCTCTTTTCCCTTCCCACGTTTATTCCCTCGAAACAATTAATTGTGTTCGCTCTTGGCGCATTCATCTTTATCATGTCCAAGGCTCTTGGACTTACTGGAATTACTTCATCAATTAATTCAAAAATTACCGCGAACAATCGTGGCCCATTAGCCCGCCCTAATGTTCCTAACACCACCGTTGATAATGCCAATGCCGCTCCCACGCGCGCACCCTCTAGGTCCGGCGAGCAGGCTGTAGAGTCGTCTCGTCTGACGAACTCCAACATCGCCTGGACCATGATGTCGCTCTGTCTCTCCGTGTTCCTCTCTGCCCTCGATTTAACAATCGTGACTCCCGCAATTCCCGCCATCGTCGGCTCGCTCAAGTCTGCCGCCGGTTATACGTGGGTGGGGAGCGCCTATACTCTAGCCTACGCAGCCATAACCCCGGTGTGGGGGTCTGTCTCCGACATATGGGGCCGGAAGCCGATCATGCTGATCGCTGTAGCCATTTTTTTGGTCGGAAGTCTTGTCTGTGCACTCGCACCGAAAATGGACGTTTTGATCGTGGGTCGTGCTATTCAGGGACTGGGGGGCTCGGGTATGGGGATAATGGTCAATATTGTTGTCAGTGATATGTTCTCGCTGCGGGACCGAGGGCTATATCTCGCCATCACCTCACTGGTTTGGGCGGTCGGAAGTGCCATAGGACCGGTGTTGGGCGGTGTTTTTACAGAGAAGCTGACGTAGGTGCCGCTTCATTTGAAATAATAACAAGGCTGACTGTTGTTTAGCTGGCGATGGTGTTTTTGGATCAATTGTGAGCCATTTCACTCCATGTGATGGCCCTATGCTAACTCAACCTATAGTACCGGTCGGGGCCGTCTCCTTTCTCATCTTACTATTCTTCTTGAGAGTCCAAAGCCCCCGAACCCCAATCGCCGCCGGTCTAAAAGTCATCGACTGGACAGGAAGCGTTCTAATTGTGGGGGGCGCTCTGATGGTCCTCCTAGCCCTCGAGTTTGGCGACGTCGTCTACTCCTGGTCTTCCACGACAGTGCTCTGTCTATTAATTTTTGGAGCAGCGGTGATGGCGCTGTTTGTAGTCAATGAGTGGAAGATAGCCAAGAATCCTATTGTCCCTCTTTGGCTATTTTCCTCGCCGACCAACGCAGCGCCGTACATTGTCTTCGCGTGCAACTCCTACGTCTTCATTGGGCAAGCATTTTACCTACCACTATACGCGCAGTCTGTCCTAGGCGCGACAGCCTTGATGTCAGGATTGTACCTCCTTCCGCTAATCGTCTCATGTGCCCTGGCTGCAGCCGCAGCGGGGATTTTCATGCAGCGAACAGGGAAATATCTGCCCGTGATGTATATTGCGCAGGTCTTTTTAGTCCTTGGCTCGGGACTACTAATCTGTCTCAAATTTGAATCCGACATAACCAAACTAATAATCTTCCAGATTCTGGTCGGGGTCGGTGTGGGTATGAACATCGAAGCTCCTATCCTGGCCGCTCAAGCTGCTACAAGTGTTCGCGATACGGCTGTCGTGACAGCAACAATGGGGTTTGTCCGGTCGCTTTTCACCGCTATCTCAGTTGTCGTCGGTGGCGTGGTCTTTCAGAATGAGATGAATGCGAAGAACGGAGAGTTGGCAAGCCAGCTCGGGTCGAATTCATCTCTAGCCAGCATGTTCAATGGCGATAGTGCTGCTTCGAGTGTGACGGAGATTCGCACCGTTGGACTGAATGCAGATCAACAAGTCTTAGTTAGGAAGACGTACTTTGAGGCGTTGAGGATGGTGTGGGTCATGGTAGGTCTCCTCAACATCACAACATGTTACATTGCGATCTCATAACCCTGTGGCTATACTAATTGTCCTGACTGCTATTAGTATGTTGCCTTTGCTGGATTAGCCACCGTTCTTAATCTGTTTGTGCGGGGCCGTAAGCTCCGGAGTGAAAATGAGGGTGCCGTGCTGGGAGTTGACCGGTCACGGCTAGAAGGGGGCCCTAGTAATGGGGCCACAGAAATGGAGTTACAGAGTCACCAACATGATTAATGTTGTGTATGTGACTCGAAAACGCTCCCTTTTTGTTATTCTCTGAGGATGCCACATTGAAGATCTGTATAGAATTCCTACAGCCACATTCCTATATCATTTAGCAAAAGTCGGATACACATCAATATGTACAACTGACTCTAAACTTCAATTTATTCAATCCATCTTGTTACAGCCCTTATATAGGGAAACTGATGATAATATTAGGGAAAGAGGTTAAGAGGAGGTTTGCAGTCCTATACGATGTTGTTAGTTTGGATGCATGTTATGCTGTTGTCTCCGGCATCTGCGAGAAATTACACCCTATGTTACTTAAAAGCTGGTATCAACTTTCTTGCTTTCGCATTCATTCCTACAGATACATTGACCTCCATGACAGCGTGTGAACAAAGCTTGTCAGGGTACCATCGGGTTTGCAGAAACATACATTCCGCAGCTAGTGCATGGCAGCCACATTCCTCAGGTTGCTCGCAAATGAGAGATCAGAGATTATGGACTTGACGTGAACGCCGAGGTTTCCTAAGGACAGAGAATTGTGGAATTGTAACAGATAGGTATTTGAACGTACTCAAGTAAAATCTCGGATGCTAGGTGAGCTTTGTTGATGCAAACTCTTTGGATGCCGGATGCAGTTGCTGGAAGAAGATCGACAAGTCGATCAGCCCTACATAGGTCCCTCTGGGTGGGGCTTTCCTATCTTGGCTGCCGCCGCTTTTATAAGGGCGCTCAGAGTCCGACTCTAGCTCAGTGAGTGTGTTTGATTACTTAAAATTTGTCAAAGGCATCTATTATACACTTACAGAGGAATAACGAAACGAAAAATGGTCTCAATAACGCCCACGTAGAGCAAATGTAACATTGAAGAGTGAAGAGTGCACTGAAAAGAAGAGGGAGCATCTTCATATCTCGTAAAGTGGCATCAGACGTGAGATCAACTTATGAGAACCAAGCGCAAATCAGAATCAAAGGCAAATTACAAGAAAATCCCAGGAAACTCGCAAAAGGCAGAGAGGTCGTCTGGAAGATAAAGAATGGTCTCAATAACGCCCACGTAGAGCAAATGTAACATTGAAGAGTGCGCTGAAAAGAAGAGGGAGCATAGTCATATCTCGTAAAGCGGCGTCAGACGTGAGATGGAATTATGAGAACCAAGCGCAAATCAGTATCAAAAGCAAATTAAAAGAAAATCCCAGGAAACTCGCAAAAAGCAGAGAGGTCGTCTGGAAGATAAAGAACCAGGGGCGCAAAACAAAGACAGCCATATCCCCGGCATTGTTCGAGGCATTCCTTGGATTAGAGTAGCAAGTCTGCAATATCATCGAATTCTTGTTGCCCGATCTCGATGTCCCACTCCCCTGGACCTGGGGGGCGATCGTGGATTGCAATGAAGGGGAGGACCATGGGAGCACCATCTATAACATTCGGCATTCCGGGAACAGAATTTCTGGTGACATCAACTTGGTTGGCGCAGTAGACTTGCTGAAGTTGTGCCGGCTGTCCGGTTAGTGGTGGGATGTTGGGAGTTTCTGCGCGGAGGGTATCGATGTATCTCTTGTTTAGCGGGCGGGGTGCAGTACTCGGGGCCAACTGCCACTGCTCGAAGCACACAATGTTCTCACTCGCATGGATGAGGATGACGATCCGGACGTCACCTGCGGAATCTGCGAACCATTTTCGTGCATCCTGACGCAGCCGACCAAGCGACTCAGAGACACCTGTTTCAATCACAAGTGATGGATAGCCTGCGTTTTCAATGGGTCGTGTATGGCGAGAGGGGGGGCAAGTACGAGTTGTCAGCTTCTTTGCCACTGCTTGTCCCGGAGCGGTATGTTTTAGATCCAACCCAGACCACCTCTTTACGAGGGAGGCCCATAGCTTTGAGTTCATCGTGGATTACCGTAGTGAACTGTGATGTAGCGATCTCATGTTCTCCTCTGGGGACAACCTTGATGAGGCCAGTCGTGCCCTCCCATTGGAAACGATACGGGACACCGTTAAGCGCGTTGCGGCCGGTCGTGAGGGTTTCAATTAATATTGATGTCAGGCCAATAACCACAATCCACTGATTGCCGTCGGTGTGGTCTTGAAACCATTCAATGATCCGGCGTGCCTCGTGGCGCAGTGACCTTAGTGAAAACGAAATCACGTAATCCAGCGGCAGATCAGACATGAGTGTGGGGGCCGGATCTGACATGACGTTCAAAGAAATTTGGGTCCGTCGACGCGATACCACAGTTCTGGACGAATGAGTAGATTGGGGGTCTGCAATAACGGGCGGCATGGCGAAAATGAGTAGAGCTACACAAGATGATGTAATGTGGTTAATGCAAGTATGATAACGTTGATTGGACAAATGGTTGTGAGGGTTGGGGTATTGCGGGGCGGGCCGAGGGAGAAATCCACGAATCAGGGAAAACTTCCTCTATCGTCAAAAAAGGGTGCTCGCAGGTCAGATAGTTAGTTGCGAATGCGAATGTCTTCGTAGTATGGACTGAGCGACTCTGGGGAAGAAAAGAAAGAAGAGAGAAGAGACTGATGAGCTAAGGATTAAATAGTTCTGGACGGGGACCTGTTGTGAATTAAGTGACACCGCGTGGCACCGACTCTAATAGAGTGCTAATCTCAACTCCGTATAGACGATGATGACAGACATGGAATTTGCACGGCTAACCGTCGGACATTTCTTGACATCCCAGCGACTGATGAAAAGACCGGTTTGAGGGTTTGAAGAGAATCACCTATCAGGGGACAAGAAAAGCCGAGTGGACTATGGCCTGGGTTGAATAATTTTTCATTTGCTCTATCCTCTTCATGATGGTTACGGTATTTTCTATTCATGAGAATCTACTCGTTCCCTTCCCCTAACGGCTATGTTCTAGAAGAGAAACTATGTACATACACAATGTTTTTAGGATTTGCGGAGATGATATGAACATGAAAGGGTCCGCCATTATACATAATAGGCCAACATAGGTTGTGCCAAGAGATAATCCTTTTTGTCTATAGATAAATAACTCATATAGTCATCATGTCTGATCGTCGTGCTAAGCGTAACGAAGATATTATTTCTGCTCAAAACGCTATCAAGCGCTGGATACTTGAGCTTGGCTGGCAGAATGCGAGCTACGTACATGAACCTGGTCGTGGCCCTGACAATGGCCTTATTGGATTTTGGTGCGATGCTCTAGAGCGCATTGCGTAAGTGCAAAATTCTCTTAGCGAAACAATACACTAAGCATATGTTAATAATATATATAGGGCCACCGATACGCAGTTTAGAGCCACTTATGGTTCCCGTTTTCATCGATTCCAAATCCCCTCAACCCCAACCTCTGGCCATCGTAGCCGTCGTGTAAGTTGACCCTTCATTTATTTAACTTATACTAACCTTATATAGCGTGGACCTAATGTCCCTACTATTCCCATTCCTTTCCCTAGCCTTGGGCCTACCACGGGTGTTTCTAATGGAGGTAACGTGGGTAGTGCCAATGAGGATGATAGAGAAACTAGTAGTTCTAGTGCCTTTGAGAGCATGGCCTAGATCACGATAGTTCTTTTCCTATAGTTTCCCATTCTAAATGAAAATTGACACCATTTAATTCTGCAAATTGCGTAGTGATTCTTCTTTTCTATTTTAAAGAGCCTGAATCCTTTATCTTCGCTTAAGTTCTGCAATTTCCTACTGCAAAGTTGTCTCTTCATCAAGGGGCCCTGCATTACTGGTGATTATGTAATAATCAGAGGCGTCCAGCTCAGTTCTACTCAGTGGGCAAAGAGCGGCAAAGCCTGAGCACTAAAACGGAAAGGGATAGCCACGAAGTGGCAGAGGAAATCTGCTATGTTGTACATGAATACTCTACTAACTGCTCTTTTTAGCTACTTCATGCATCCAGAGAACTATGGAGGCTCTCCACCCATTGTATCCCCCCCTTCCCTTCAGACAACGTGTCTCCAGCCTATAATCATGGAATCAGGTCTCCCACAAAGAGAATCCACTTGATGTTCATTGTGACAGATCTGAAGTGGATCTCTGTGGAATTCCACGATGCTGGAGTGTTCGGCATAGATGTCCGCTTGCGAGAGCAGCACCTTCCTAATCGGGACATAATATCACATGACCATATACAACCGAGCCGTGAGCCTACCCTTCGGCCGAACCGCAAGTTTGGAAGATCATGAAGATCATAAGGAGATGGGTGTCGGGCTAAACCGCTCGTCCCAGGGTATCAATGTGGAGTTGGGATCTGAGCAATGTGACATTCACTCCGGATGCGGAAATCACCAAATCTCGTTGCCACTTTACCAAGGGTCCCATCGAGGGCAGAGAGGAACATCGAGGCCCAGAGGAACGTCGAAAGGCACATATTTCAAATGAAAAATTTTCTTTCCAATTGTCCATGGCATCACCAATTAACCTTAATTAATCTATGTGCCGGATTTGGACACTTCGTCAGGTATATAAGAACGACATCCTCTTCCCTTGAAATTTCTGCTCGATTCCCATCTCAATCGTCTCGGCATTATTACCTAGGTAAGTCATGGATAAGCCTACTATCTCCTGGTTCTCGTACCACAATAAACAATAAACATATACTAACCCCAATCCCAGCTTCGTCGCTCGTTAAGACAGCAAGCCCCATCTCATTTCTTCATCCAATCGCTTTTCATTTTCAATAAAAATGCACTTCACCGCCCCCTCCGTGGCCCTGCTGGCTCTCGCAGCCGGTGTCCAGGCCGGTGGCGCCAAACAGCACCACGAACCCCCCGTCCAAAGCGGAAAGGGTATTGGCAAGCACCAAGCTAGCGGTGCCTCTGGTACCGGTGTTCAGACTGGCACTCATCCCATTGCCACCGGTCACCACAACAACGGCACCGGTACACAGACTGGTAGCCACCCCATCGTCACTGGCACCCACAACAACGGTACCCACGCCGGCGGCAAGAACAGCACCATCATCGTCACGGGTACTGCCCCCTGCTTCAACTGCCACGGTAGCTCGACCATCCCTGTCAATGTCCCTACCAAGAGTCCCTCTGCCTCTGGTGGTGCTGGCCACGTTGGCGGTGGCTCTAGCACGGGCACTGGCTCTGGCTCTGGCACTGGCTCTGGCACTGACTCTGGCTCTGGCTCCGGGGGTTCCTCCTCCGGTGGTGGTGTTGTCGGTGGCTCCGGCTCCGGCTCCGGAACCGAGTCTGGTTCTGGCTCTGGCTCTGGCTCTGGCTCTGGCTCTGGCTCTGGCTCTGGCTCTGACTCTGGCTCTGGCTCCGGGGGTTCCTCCTCCGGTGGTGGTGTTGTCGGTGGCTCCGGCTCCGGAACCGGAACCGAGTCTGGTTCTGGCTCTGGCTCTGGAAGCAACGGTTCTGGCTCTGGCTCCGGCTCTGGCTCTGGATCTGGCACTGGCACTGGCACTGGTTCTGGTTCTGGCTCCGGCTCTGGAACCGAAGGCTCTGCCTCCCCCAGCTCTACCGAATACACCCCCTCCAGCCCCGGCTCCAAGGTCATCACACCCCAGGTCGGAGTCCTCAGCGCTGTTATTGGCAGTATTGTCTACGGTGCCGTTATGCTTCTTGCCTAAATGTCTCGCAGTTACTTAATGTTCACCAAGCTGTCTGTCTCTTAATGTCGGTGTTTGTTAGATTGCTGGGTAGCTCTTTTATTTCTTTCTGATATCTGATCTTGGAACTGGTTTTGGCTAGCGTCTTGATTCACTTGGATGTAGGAGTACTGGGGTATCTAGACTGGCGTTGGAGGATATAATGTTTTTTTTGGGGGGTTTTGGAGTCCACTGGTGGGGTATTTGGTTTATATATCAATACTTAATTTAATTCAAATTTAAAGAAAAGCGTTTTTGGATAATACTGTCTCGGTGAATTTGCCTATATGAACATTTATTAAGCTGAAGGTACTAACATAAGATCTGTCAATCCCCTCTCAACTTGCATATAGTATCCTACTACCACCAAAAGTAACCGCCTACGTTTTACTATACCTCCAAGTACTCCATAGAAATAAAACTCTATCATAGACTCATAGACCAAACTCTAATCCCCCGAGTAGGAAAATGTAACAGTAGTCATACACCTAGCTAATAATAGAAAACTAAAACACAGTCTAGTTGTCCCTGCAGGGTCGAGTGGCGAGGGTCTGCTAGCCGTTTACCAGCCCATTGACTTTGCTTAAAGAGTTGTCTGTATATGTGTATGGAGATTGGCCCAATTAAGATTTGAGATTAACTTCTGTGTCCTTGATGCAACGTGAGCTTCGCTGCGTGGCGTTGTGAGAGTCATCCATGGTTGTTACCTTTTTGATATTACGAGATATCAACAGATTCTGCGTGATCGTAGAGGTGAAGGTTTGCTAGTTTACAAGAGGATGAAGGCTTTGTAATTCAAATCGTACCTTTGATTTTGAATTCTAGAGTAACTAGAGATATCGTGCTATAAAAGTGAAAATCTATACATGCACTCTTTAACGAGTTTCGTCATCATTTGCCATTCGCAAGAAGATGAAGCAAAAGAACCACCCCCAAACCCCCAAACGCCAGAAGAATCACGCAATGCAGCGCAGATAACCAGAAAAGCAATAATTGCAGCCGTTGTAAAAAGCAAACTATCTATGCAACAACTCCAGTCTCTGTGTCCTACTCACTCGATATCCAATTCACCCATTGACACCCACACCCGCCATTACCACCATCAACACCAAAAGCATCCTCAGTCGTAGCATTCTTCGTCTCGCTAAGACCCTTGAAAAGTCCCCCAGCAGGATTAACAAGCTCACCCCCAGCAGCACGTTCCTCAAGCTGTAGCTGCACAGCCGTGATATTGTAATGGCCGTCGTCTTCGAGCGGGTAGCAGTAGACCATTTTCTTTTTCTCGGCGCCGCCGTGGCGGTCAACCGTTATTGTTACCGGGTATGGGAATGAGCCTGGGCGGATGAAGTCTGTTGCGGAGGATGAGGATGTAGGTTCGTTTGTTGATGTTGATTTTGTTGTTGTAGGCGAAGAGGTTGTGGTGCTTGTTGCTGTGTTGTTGGACTTTGGGAGGAGGGGGCGGTTGATTTTGTCTGGTTGTGTCCAGATTTGGATTAGGAGACGGGTTTGGGACCATGTGCATCTGTATTTTGCGTCGGATTTTGAGGTTCCGCCGTTTGTGTCGGCCGGGGATGATTTTGTTTGGGATGTTAGGAAGATGGATTTGTCGAAGTAGCTGTAGAAACCGTAGTGCTCGGTTGCGAGACCGCGATTGTAGAGGCGAATTGGTTGTGATGAGGGGAGGGGGTAGAGCATTGCTGCGGATGGGGTTCCGTCTGCGTTTTCTTCTGGCGCTGGGATTATGGATGAGATGTTTGGGTATGCGGTGCCATTGGAGGTATCTGAGCGGCGGTAGATGCTTGCCGAGGAGAGTGAAACTGGTGAGAGGAGGGACATGTAGAAGGGTGTTTCTTCGCCGGCATAGGGTGCAGTGTTATTGTCTGTGTATTGGCCGAGGAAGCTCTGTTCTGCGTCTGTCGGGGCTGAAGGCGATGGGTTGAAAGGGCCGTCGCCTCTGATACGTAATTTCGACCTAGCAGTAGTGCTGTTATCGTATGTACCATTTTGGAAGCTAATGGAAACCCGGAAACTGGGCTGATTCGCATTGTACGGCTCATTCGCATCCTGCTGATCCTTGGGCAAAGCACAACTCCACATCGAAGAAGGAGTGATACAGGTCGATTTTTCAAGCTGCGGCTGGGTCCCAACAATTGTTGCGATTCCAGTCGGCATGGGCGGATAGCCTGTTAGGTTTAGCCACCGCGATTGAACGGGAGTATCGTGTCCTTTCTTTGTCAGTGTGATCGCTAAAATGGTGGCTAGCGTCACGATAATGAAGAAGAAAATGCAGATCACGAAATACCATCTCCGTCGAGTACGACCCTCGCGTCCAGGTCGTCCGCTCTTCTTGCTGAATAGACCTCGGCCACGCCAGGGATTGCAGACTCTTCGGCCAGTGGCGACTTCCTTTTCGAGTCTGCGGCGTCGGGCCTCATAAGGACCTATCGCGCCGCTTGGGTTAACGCTCGAAACTGCAGCTGCAGGATCATTGTCGTAGCGTGGCTGCGTATCATAACGGGATGGGAGAGGAGCTTCTCTGGGATATTGCGTGTACGCAGGGGCAGGAGCCTGCATATCCGACATTGGAATCGAGCCAGGTCCACCGGCGGCACGCTGGAAACCGGGAGAGATAGGCTCGGAAGGTTGTGAATGTCCCTGGGATGCAAGCTCAGACCCTTGGTGTAATCCGCGTTCTGCTTGCGGCTCTTCGTGCGTATTATGCCGATCCTGAGGCACTGACGGTTGGGATTCCTCTGGCTGAGGCTGAACCTCCGCTCCGGTGGGCTGGGGTTGTGGCAGAGGCGGCACAGGTGGTGCATTGGAGTGGGGATGTGCGGTTAGACCAAATGGCCACCCAGAACCGGATTGCCGTCCCTGGACAACAAGCGGCCCTTTAGGATAGGTTGCCTGACCATAGGTTGCTTGTCGTGTCTGGGGAGGAGCCTGTCCATTTGTGACCTGGGACTGTTGAGGTGATGTTTGTGCAACAGGAAGTTCTCGCGGTTGTCCTTGAGGTTGTCCTTGAGGTTGTCCTTGAGGTTGTTCTTGCGGTTGTTCTTCTTGGGTATAAGCCCACTCAAACCCGGAGAAGTGTCTTTGGGCAGCTGGTTGTTGAACCTTTCGTTGCGCTTGTGGCTGTCCCCATGGCCACTCTGACCTCGGCGTTGATACTTGACGGGCCGGTACTGGCTGGACCATCGGCGGTTCCGAGATTTCTCGTGACGATTCCTCTGGTTGCGTCTGTTGCATTACCGGCTCCATTGGCTGTGCAGGCTGAGGGGGCTGAGGAGCAAAGACTGGCACATATTGCACCGTCGGCTGCAGAGGTTGTACCTGAGGCTGCGGCGGAGGCGTAGTGTAATGGAAATTAGTAACCGGGGGCGAGATATTAGTGATTATCTGCGGAGCGGGAGCGGGAGCGGGAGCCTGAGTTGGCTCAGGTACTGGGATAGGAGCTGGCGCAGGAGCGGGAGTTGGCTCGGGCATTTGAATAGGAGCAGCGGGAGTTGGCTCAGGCATAGGAATAGGAACTGACGCTGGGGCAGATGCAGACGGTTCCAAAACCTGTCTGTCAACTGCCTGCACAGGCGGCGCAACAACAGGAACAGGAATAGGAGGCGAAGCAGCACGCTGAGACCTAGATTCCGAAACACCACCCCTAGTCCCATGCGCGGCCGCCGAACCCCTCTCCTTCTCACCCTCATCAACAACAGACGAATCCCACGTATGAGAACTGAACTCCGACGACGGCGATAGCACCTGCACCTCCTTCGCGTGAACGGCATACCCAACCGGAATGGACGACTTTGTCGTCTCAGGCCGAGGCGAATCGATATCAATAAGCAGTCCGGAATTCTTAGTCGACGTCGTTGACGGACCTGGATCCTGGATTACATTTTCATGCGTCCCTTCAATATCAGATACTCCAGGCTCCCCAACAGCAACAAGCCCAAGTCCCCGATCACCCTCTGCAGACGGGTTTATGGCTCCTGCTGGAACAGTAACGGGATTGACAGGCGTGATCGAGCAAACGTGATTAACGCACTCGAAATACGGCGTCTTGCTGAATAGCTCGTGTGCACAGGCTTGATAGTACTCAGCTGCTTCGCCCTGGATTGTCTGGTTGTTGCTGAACATGAAGGACATGGTATTTTGTCTACTTGAGACGTTTGAGACGTATGCTGGTGGTGGGGATTGGTGGCGTTCGGGGTCTTGGTGTTGGTCTGTTTCGAATGAGCGGGATATCTCGAAGGCCTTTTCGCCCATTGGTGCCGCAGTCTCTGGTGTATCGGGTGAGAAGCAGGATATTTCTTTTTCGCGTGGTATCCATTCTTTTCGCTCAGGCGCGCGGGTTGTGGTTGTTGCTGGCGATGGAGTTGAGGGTGATTCTTGTGGGAAGGATGGACTGAGGGGGGATTTTATGGACCGTCCGAGCAGTGGGGAGAGGAGGCATGTCCACCAGCCTTGGGAATGGGGTCTATCTTCGTCTGCTTGGGTGTTGACGCTGAGACGGCCCGGTTGCTGGCTTTTTTGGGTTGAGCGGACTGTTTCTGGTGACTGGGGTGGACTGTCGTCTTCCCATATTGATCCTGTTGACAGGGCACGCTCGTTCCTTTCTACGCCTGTGTTCTGGTACCCGGTCTCTGGGGCAGGAGTTTTGGTAGCAGCCGAGTGTTGTGCGGGAATAGCTGGCACAGGTGGGACATCTGTTTCATACTGCCACAGACGGGGTGTTGGCTGCGAGTAGATACTTGATGTTGCCCTTGGACGGAGCATCTCCGTGCTCGAGTTTGAGTGTGCGTTCCATGGTGCCTCGCCTCTTGCTGGGGTGACGATAATCGATGGTGTGAGCGGGGTGCCTGCACCGTCGAGCTCTTGTGATCTCTCTACTGACTCGCTGCGGGGCACAGTGAGTCCGATCATGACATGTCGGTCTGAGGGCGAGACCGCATGCTCGTGTCTATCGTGGAACGGATTTTCATCTCTGGTGGTTAAAAACGAGGTTGCAGTTCCATTTTGGCTGTTTGTATCGGGTAACCGTTGGAAGCCCCGTGAAACCCTCCTCTTGAATGTATCCTTTGATTTCTGAGCAATGCGTTCCTTCTCCCGCACCTTTGAAAGGAGCTTCAGATCATTCAGATCGACGAACGGCGCAGCCGCATTCGGTTCTGCTCGAATGGCCTGTTTCCTCGGCGCCGGCGCTAAGGTGAAATCCGTAACGAGGTTCAGCCCGACTGGTTTCCCGACGCTTTTACGTTTCTTGGTGATACGGATGTTGAGTCTCGAGGATTCGCGAGTGGAAATAGGTGAGCGATTCCCATCTTTGATTTTCGCCTCAAGCTGTTGTCGTGTTGCCTTAGATAGAAATGCAAAGGGTCGGTCTCGTTCTTCCTGGTCTTCCGAGGAGCATGAGGGACTTGAGATCTCTTCGCTGATAGGCGATGACAAAGGGAAGTTTGGTACTGGGACCTGGAGATCTTGGGGTTTTCGTTTGATCATGATGGTTTAGTAGACTTGACTTTGTCGAGATGTTAGTCTGCAGAGATGACAAGATTTGACAGCTGGGCATACCATGTGTCATGAAAGCATGAAAGAAGGAAAAAAGCAAGGAAATGAAACAAAAAAGTCAGCTATTAATATTACAGCAAGTAAAACAATGGGAGAAGGCAACAATAGACAATAGCTCCCAATAGAAGTTGATTGAGTCAAATGGCAAAACAAAAAGAAAGACAAAAGACACAAAGAAATAAGAAAATCCCCGAGATTTTAAGTCCAGCTCCATTTCTGAATTTTCTGCATCTTCTGCATCTCTGCCGTTTCTGCATCATCACCGTGCAGATGCCAGAGAGTCCAGGCCGGTCATTGTACAGGACACAGAGCTCAAGCTATAAACAGCCCGGCCAATAATCATCGTCGCTGGTGAATTTCTGCAGCGATCCCAGACAGCCCACTGCAACTAGCTTGGTGCTTCTTCTTGAAGGTCCGTCATTGGATAAATGGTAGAGAGATCACCAGGGGAAACCGAAATGAAGGTGATGGATTGGATGCAAAGGTCAGACTGAGGCCGGTCATTACGCGCCGGACCGGGGGCGGGCGCTTCGAGGGGCCAATTAGTGGAAGGACAGAAATAGATTTTAGTATGATACTTATTATGATACTTAATATAATTGTTATTATAATAACTTAGTTAACTAGTTATTTAAAGCAGGACCTGTCATTCTGAAACAAGATGTTGTGGTTTCATTTCATATGTTGATACTCCAACTATAGCAAATGTGATGCTTTTGAATTGAAACATGAATATCATAATTCAGCTATTCCAGCTATTGAATATTCCATATTCCATATTCCATATTCCCTCCTATCGTATTCCATGTAGAGTGGCCCAGAAAAGAAAAGAAAAAAGCAAAGCAATTGCGGGTATGAATTTAACAAAACATAAGAAAGACAGGGAGACCACTCCAAGAAGAACAGAAAAAAAGGGAAAAAAAAAGGGAATTCAGTATAAACCAAAGCCCAAGTCGAAAGAAAATTGACTGGGGAGTTGCATTTATAAGAGGGATATAATGATATCAAGAGAACAAAGTCCAAAAACAAAGTCGTCGATGATAGGTTTTGCGTGACTAGTCATAACTCATACACAGCTTGAGCTTCCTCCGCACCTTTTCTTCCGCACCTTACACCTGCTACCGTCGCTCATATTCAATTCCCTGCATAGCCGCACTAGAACCATTCATAAGGGGCGGTAATGTGCGTGGCTGCTCCTGAGTTACGCCATTACCGAACCCACTAAAGACAGGGCCCTGGCCATTGACCTGGTTGGAGCTCATTTGGTGGTGCTCGAAGATGGATGGGGGCCGGGAGGCGTTGGCTTGCTGGTTGAGTTGGGCACGCATCTCATCCATCTCGGACTGCATGACCGCCCGGTCGCGCTGGGATTGTGCAACGGTTTTTTCCAACATCGCTATATAATCAATTGCCCGGGTGAGCGTTTCCCATTTGCTAGATTTGTTGGTTTGACCTGGGGGTAGACGCAATCGGAGGGCTTCGAAACAGTCTTTCATTTCACTGCGCCGTTTGCGCTCGGCCAGTTTGTGGGTCACGCGTAGTTCGGGCGTGCGGCTGTACGGGGTGCTGCCGGGCGGTCCATCCTCTTCGCCGATCAACTCTCGCACGGCCTTGTGTTGCAGGGAGTGGTGGTGATGTACATTTTGGGGTAGGTCTGGGAGATTGTTAGTATTGCGCGTGCAGTTTGTGTCTTATTGTGCCGGGATCATACCGTGTTGTCCTCGTGGCATCCGCTCCGAGTACATGCTGTTCATAGACTCCGCCATGCTGCCTTTTCGGGAGAATGGAGGATTGGACTCTCCCTTCGAGGAGACGGAGCTGGAGCGTGCCATGTCCGGGTCGGGGAAGGCATATGCCATACCCGCCGTGGGTGCTTCAGCGTTGTAAATCTCCGACCGAGGATTCGAGGAAATGGCCGGAGCGGTGCGACCGGCTGCGAAACTCCGCTGTTGATCGGTTGCGCGAGGGCCTAACGGAGAGAGTGGCTGGCTGCCTCCTGAGTGCCGAGGTCCCCGGTATGGATTCATGTCGGTCGGAATCCCTCGTTCCCTTTGTAGACTTGAAACGATCGACGATTGGGACGCATTGGTGCTATGGTAGGGCGAGGCTGGGTTGATGGCGAGAGAACTGATTCCTTGGTTCATGCGACTGTCGACACTGCTGCGCCGGGATTCAGTCTCGGCCACACTCGTTCGTTGGGAGGGAGCTTCGTAGTTCTGATTGATGGAGGGGAGTGTGGAGTTTGGCTGGCTGAAGTTTGGAGAGGGTTGTTGAGTGCCAGCGGAGGAAGGCGTGGTGGATTGATCGTGGGGGTAAGGGGAGCGGTCGACAGCTGGGTGTCCGCGATTCGGGGAGGGTTGCGACGCGGATATGAAGCTGAGAGAGGGATAATTGTTGCCAGTGCCATTGGTCGCCGTGGAGTAGGTGGACGATCCTACATGGTCAGCACCGCGCCGCTCCCATTCCATACTAGGTGAGGGTCTCCTACTTGTGCTTTGCGGCATTGACCAATTCCCCGAGTCACGCTCGATCGTGTTCAGTGAGCCGTTCCCGGGGGATTTCTCCGCGGTGGCTCCGGTACCAGGCATATTCGCGGTGAGAGTTGAGATGGAAGGGAGGGTTTGGGTTGAGCCTGCAGTAGACTGAGGCCCTGAGACTGCCTCCCATGGGCGATGTGCGACGGAGGGATCCATGGTGGGAGAGTCTGGATCAGGCGGGGGGGAAACAGTGAAGAAGAACTGGAATATCAACCCGCTCTTTTTTTTTCTCTCCCCCACACTATCGCATATTCCAAATCGAGAGAGTAGAGATATTAATTCGAGAAACGATTCACCGTGAAACCGTTTCGTTGTAAAGTTTCGAGGTTCGCGCAACTTCGAGGTCAAAAGGAAGGCTAGATCGAAGGTTAGAGGTAAAGAGGTGAAGGCAACACAGATCAAGCTTACCGAAAGGAACGTGGCACGGAAGTGTAAGTGTATTATATAGAGTATTATGAAGGAAGTAGTAGAGAGTGTTAGAGAGTGTAGAGATTGTAGAGAGTGTAATCGAGAGTGAGAGAATCCAGAGATTAAAGAATAGAAAATTGGAGTGTCGAAACCCTCGAGTCTCTGAAACTCCTCTTTTTTCTTTTTTTGGCCTTTTTTTTTCTTTTAACCTTCTTTTTTTTTGGCATCCCCTTTCTTGGGATTAAAATTAAAAGAAATAAAATAAAATATAGAAATATAGAAATAAAATATATATAAAAGAAATATAAAGAATTGAAAAATAAAAAGGAAATTCAAAAGAATGTACTGGTATTACCGCCAAGGCCCTACTGCAACTGTGTGTGCCACGAGGCTGACCCTGGGGAGTAAGGACTATACTTATACACACCTGTTAGGTACCATCACTCTCTATTCACACTATTAACGCTATTAACTGACTATTTTCTCCCTATTAATAATCACTATTCTCTATTATATTTCTCTATCTATAATATATATTCAGATATATATATACATATACATAAATAAGTGACATTCCAGAAGAAAGATCCCTAGAAAAAGCAAGGAGAACACGTTTCGTTGCATTCAAGTCTTCACGTCATCTATGGATTTCATCGAATTTTATATACTAGAATATAGTACGATACTACAATACTAGAATACTAGAATACTAGAATACTATTGTTATAAGTTACAAATTACAAGTTACAATACACCTTCACGTGGCTCTCTCTCTCCCTTGCAGTCTCTTCCTACTTATTGGAGTCTCCTTCTCTTTCAATCCAGTCAAGCTGCATTCGCGACCGGGGCTAACTGCACAATCCCGTTTGGGAGATTAAGTACTGTAAGTACGAGTACAGACAGTATAAACAAATATATACATCTAAAAAAAATATATATAAAAAAAAGAACCATGTTGACGTTGGACACATGGCATGAGGATAGATGTAGGGTTGATCGGCAGTCTCGGGGCCAAATAGTCGCAAATACATTCTCTTCTTTTCTGTTTGTTCGGAAGATTGGGCAAATTACCAAGTACCTAGTACAGAAGTCCATCCCTGTCGATTTAATCCTTGTCCTCCATGCGAATAAACATGTCTCTTCTTCAGTCCCACACACATGGCATCTGTTAGGGTCTCCTTTTCACCGAGGGTACGTTTGATCACCACATATAACTATATATAAAAGTTATGTATTTCTTTATCCTCCAAGGTTATAATCCTTATACTATATTTCTTCCCAAGGTTAATTCTGACTTCTAGTCCATGTAGGTATATATTATTACCCTCTAGCTAAAACATGATCCACTTTCTCCCCTACATACTATTTTCTGTTTGTAACACCTCGGACACAGACAGAAAAATGTGTCACAGATCACCCACGCTTCCATGAGCTTGAGCTTCATCCCATAGATCTGCAACCACCCGTCCCTGCCGCCCAAATCATCACATGTTGACCTGTCAGAGTCAGAGCCATGGGTAGGACAGAGTACTATGTCGCGCGGCTATTTTCACCTATTCACGGGGCTGTTGAGGGTAATATCCCGGTTCCGAACAGTCCAGTGTGACCTGGGAGTCTTGGCGAATATGACCAAGCTTATTTTGTTTTGGTTTTTCTTTTTCTTTTTTTTTTTTTTTGGATCTGGATCTGGATCTGTCCTATATATTGATCTCCTTGATCTACCTACATACATAATAAGGTGTCGGGTACTATTCAATAGTACTCCATAGTACAATATAATTTCATTGTCTACTTCTAGATACCAATTGAGACAATGGGGATATTTACCCAAGGGGATCTACGCCACTACAATCGCAGAACCGCGTTGCCTGAACCAGGTGGCTTTGGGGGGGTTGATGTGTCGATTTGATCTTTCCGTTTGATAGGGTGTTCGTCCAGAAATAGATCTAGACTGTAACGTGTAAATATAAAATACATACTTCATACATAAAATACACTAAACCCCAAAATTTTAAACCAAAATGAAATGCAAAAACGAAAATGCGTCGGTCAAACCGACGGTCTAGCCGACACCGCCACACTGTGGCTGCAATAACACGTCGTCTCTTATCCACCTGGGGACTATCCACGCTGCACCCAAAGCACCCAAGGCTGTAGCAATTTAGGCAGAAATTCAATATAACCATATGTTGTATGCATGTCAAGTACCACTGTCCATCATCTTCCCCTTCCAGCATGCCACATGGCACCATCGTCGCCTTGCAGAATGTCTCGAAGATCGCCACCCGATCTACGGCACATTCCTCGAACCTCTGATACGGTAGCACTTCTCCATACTTGACGAATGGACACTGCTTATCTGAGACTCCAAGCTCAGTCCCTGCCAAACAGCTGCTTTCCCCAGGTAAAAAAAAAAAAAAGATCCCCCAAAAAAAACGGTCCACAACGGGAATTCTGAGTACGACTCTATCTCTACAACGTTGTACACCCTCGCCAACCTGCCTAATCTCGATCAAGGGATAGGACATTATTAATTGTCGAGCTTAAAGTTCGTTATGTCAGTAGTGCGTGGCGAATGCGAATCCCTCTTTTTCTCATGGCTCATGGCTCGCCCATGGCAATCCCCCATGCTTTCCCATCCCATCTGTTCGGCCCATCATGGCAATACCGTGGCCCTTGCCCATTCCTGCATCCACGCCCCTTTTGAGGGTCGTGCTCGTGGACCGTGCCTTGCTGCCCTTTCCCAATAGTCTGTCTTGACACACGGGTCGTACCGTCCAAGGATGTAGGTACTTTTTCTTTTTCTTTCTGTTTCTCTCTTCTAATTCCATTTTCAGTTTATGTTCCCTCGCATAGAAGTAGCCCCTTCGTACAAATAATGGTCTAGAATATGACTTCGTTTAAATAGTGCCGGTATAGTCTTCAGAAAAAGTCTCCAGCACGTAATCCGATCCCGTGCCTCTATGCGTTTTGCACTACTACCCACTACCTGGTTATACATATGGATACAACCTACGGAGTACATTGCACATACTTGCCTATTTGCATATGTATGTACGGTGTACTGGGACAGAGTACCTCCCAACTCAAACTCCCTGCGGACGATCCTCGCACCGGCTCCCGTTCCCCGAAGCTGGGGAGCGCACAGCCAAAGCTTAGAGGTTACATGCGAAAAAGGTTGGGAAATATCATACCGGGATTTTTCAACTAGAATGTGGGCACCGATTCAATAATCAAATTATCGTCGAAGATATCCACTGAGGCTAGAAACCTCTCGTTTGGTCCATCCGTAACTTCCGCCGGCGTGTCGCCTCCCAACCACCGCCGTAACACAACTATTTCGTGCCCACCCAGGTATCAAGTAGTTTTCTTAGCTACCCCACTGAAATAATATTGGCGCTTGACATTGTGATGATGTTGTTTCAGCTCCACCTGTGACTAAAATAACGCCAAATTGGCTTCCCACTGTTCAAAATTGGTTTCGTCCAGTATCGCCCAACCTTGTTTGATCATATTAAATGCCCATATCCTTCCACCCTCCTCCCTCCTTACACATTATATTACCATAGTAAACTTAGGGCTTCCACATAACATGTAAAATCTCGACCTGGCTCCCACAACTCCTCACAACCGCCCGCCTCCCCAAACTCTTATTCCGACCCCAAGGTCCCTCGCCTCGACTTTGATATCATCCCACACTGCGAGTGAGCATAATATAACTAGCCCAAAGAGAGCTTCCTTGAGACATACCCGGCAAGTCATTCTTTCGCGCAATCGTACTAAATCGACGATTGGGATTTGAAGAAAACATTCGAGAAAATGCGGGTAAAGCGTAGGGTCTAAGCCTCCTATCTTGAGGGCTCCGAAAAGTGATTCATCATAGATGACGGGCTTGTCGGGTAGATACTCGAAGCGCCAGATAGTTGGGTCGATGTCGTTCAGCAGATGGTAGATCGATGTTGTATTCTGGTATATATAGAGGCGCCAGTAGAATGTGTAGCTCTTGTTACCACGGTCTGATAAGAGGACGTAGAGGCTATTTATTTCAAAGTTGAGATGTGGTACGCCTATGTCGGAGTGACTGGTATGCTCTACTGTCGACATATCAGGTGGGTTATTATAGTAGTCGTGTGTTAGGATGGTAAAAGTGATGGTTTGGATGTTATGATAGTGGGTGGACAGAAAACACAACATGACCTATGAGTTTGCCTGCCCGAAGCACTTTCTCTTTCGTTGTCATGACACTTTTTCTAAATGTAGCGCTTAATCCGTGTGGTTCATTGGTGTTGTCTAATTTTGGGTATTTCGCGTTTATGTTGAGCTCCTAGGGTGCCAAATAGGACGACTAGGTGAGTACCACCCACAAGCTTAGAGTATCCATTAGCCTAATAACAAGTACACAATAAGAAGAATTATAGGAACTAAAACACGACCCCCTGTTGGTACCTGGACTCGAGATCCCATCTTGTACCTCGGGCTCTTAGGAGGTGTCGATGGTTCTATCGATGCTTTTCTCTAACCTCGGCCCGTCCTATCGAATAGAAGTTCATTAGACAATCGTCCTCAAAAATTGAGAGTAGGGAATAGAGACAAAATTCAAGATCGACGCGACAATCTGGCTTGTATCCACCCGGTCGCAACTGACCACTCTATTTGCTGCATCCCTCCAGATGAGGTCACTAATCTGGAATATGGTACTCATTCTACTATTATAGGAAGGGATTCACGTCCCAACGGCTGTTCAGCACCAGTTCTGCAAGCCCTACAAGTTCAAACTCGGCCGGGGGCAAAATATTTCCTCCTAACCGTCATCCGAAGATGAGGCTACGGCTATCTCAGCTAACCACCACATCTGACCCCCTAGTCAAGAAATGCAACGATCCACGGTACTTTATGTTATATCAGAAGCCCTCGGACATCCATCCACCTATGTCTGGATGAACCTACCATTAGTACTTCTCACCTTCATCCCCCGATAGCCAGGTGTGATTGGCAGATCATTCCACGATCTCCCTCCCCTTGAAATCATCGTGGCAACACCCCTTGCCTGCCATAGCTCCACCCGGATCCATCCTGTTCTCGTTCTCGGTTTACGTCCTGTCGCGTGTCGAATGTCAAAAGACCCTGTACACTATAGGAAAGGGGTGAACTTAATACCCCGCCGGTGGAGTAGAGTTGCCATACCGTCCCAAACATGTCTTGTCTTGCATCTTGAGAATTCCACGGGGAATCGTCGCTGCTTCCCAGATTACCTCCTTACTGGATATGCGGATATGTGGATACGTGTTGCGCCTTTGCGCCATGTGTAGCTCTCCTTTTTTTTTTTCTAGGTCGAGGTACGGAACACATACGTGCATCGTACATATGCACTACGACATAATGCGACATCATGTTGTAGAGGGCTAAGTCTTAACTAAGCCTCCACTTGTGTACATATTTTGTGGTTTCGGATTCGGTTTTGCTTTTGCTTTTGAATTTGAATTTCTATGTTTTTCCTCGAATCTCCCCCCACTTCCAAGATTGGCTGTAATATAATAATAAGTTTTGTTTTTCCTGTATCAAACTAATCGGAAATACCTAGGTAGTCGTTAATAGTCCTTAATTAACACTCAATTATTGCTTCCTTACTGTGTGTCTCAGATCGTTTCGCCTGAGGTCCATTTATTCCGCCATGTGCTTGTTTCAGTTGGCGCCGGGTCTCGGGATCCTCCCGCGTGTCTTGTTATGGGGTTCAATTGCCGCTATGAGTGACGACAATGTTTATTTGTAGTTTTCGTTGGCATTTCACCTGTTGCTAGGCGCTGGAGATTTAGCCTTTTAAGATGCATCGTCGAATATTGTAGTGCGGTTGTATATTAAATGTTGAAGTCGACGAATTGGTTCGAAATGCAAATATATCTTTGTGGAAATATTGGTCCAACCACATTGTAGCAATTAAGATACAGCTGCTACGAGCCCTTTCTTGTCACCTAAAATTTTACCCCTTCAGGTAAAAAATTTACCAATTCCTTATTCGTTTACCCTTTCCCTACTTTCTACCTATTCGTTTGTCCTCTCCGCGCTCGAGGACACCGATGTGAAGATAGAGTATGTAAACGGCTGTGAATTACTGGATGCGGTTAGCTTTGCCTCTTTGGGTTTAGCCCCCCAACACGCCGTCACGTAATTTCCCTTCAATGCCCCCGGGGCCTTGTCTTCGCCGCTCGTCCTCCTTTTCTCTCGCTTTTTTATTGTTTATGTTTATGAGATCCATGGGGCATCTGCTGTAGCTGCTGATGTAATCATCCGAGCGATTTCTGGGGCCTTTCTGCCATTAATCGGCCCTCCTTTATATGAACGTATTGGACAGGGCCCGGGTAACACTGTTCTAGCCTTGATCGCAGCCGCTTTAATCCCCCATTGGGCTTGCTGATGAGATACGGCGACTGGTTTCGCAGTAGAGGATGCTTTGGAAAGTCTAGACGATAGGTTGATTGTTATCCACAATAAATGTTATTCATTCTATATTGCTAGTTTGTGATCGAGATGCTTGAGAGTTCCTACGCCATACCAATTAAGTACTCAATACCCCAAAGGCTATCATATGATTAGCTAGGTACTTATCTGCCCAAGTTCGGGCCTATGTTATAGGGAGTGTTAACTATAGGGAGTTGAGCGAAGCGGGGTGCGTATAGGAAGATCCACCTCGCTTCAGGACTCTCCGCAGCGGCCCGAAAGCCGCAGGCTATACCTAAATAGGCCTCAGGATTGGATGAGGATTGCAACGCTCGAGACCCAGGGGAAGATTAACAGCTACGCACTAATGCAGTGTAACCTAAACGTATTGCGCTAGACCAGGGCCTCATCCGTCTAATTATTGCTTTTCTCTAAGTACATTTGTAAAGTCGGTATTAGATAGAGTCCGGAGGCCTAGAAATGCCAATGCCGAAGATTAGACATATATATGTACACACTATATACTCCGTACAGCGCGTATGAGCCATGCTAGACTGGGATTTTTCATCCTTTGAATCATTTGACCGACATAAGTGGGGGCAATGGATTGCGCTAATACGAACAGCACTAACGTGCCTTGGTATGGATGTGAGGGCTTATTGACGCCCCTCATTTCACAATTGTCACCTCATGTTGCTACCTCATATGTGCACATCCTGCCAAGGGCTTCGGTGGTTCGATCTTCCGAATATCTAGGCATGAAGTCCGTAACGTGACGAGGTGTTTATGCAAGGTCCACCACATGGGGAATCGAAACGGGCTCACGGACAGGGCTAAAAATGTGAGCAAATGGAAAACTTCCGACAAGGTACAAAGAAGGGAACGAATCACTTCGAGGGGCGAATATTGGGGGGCCAAGTGCCCGGACAGGGTGAAAAAACGAGAGGGAACACCTGGATTTACCGGACCCAGTAACTTTATCACCTACATATGTACTGACTATCAGCAGGAGTAAATACCACTGCGCCCGCATTTGGAACAGGTCTGGCTCATCCTCAAACGTAAAGCAACCCAATGTTCCAATTTCCGAAGATAAGGCTCCTCTCTATGGCGCTCTCGATCGTTTCTCGCAATTCTTAGGAACTTCCAGCAGTGACAACCAGGGATATACGTTTATACTTTCCCAAACTGTTGCGGCAGATGCACATTGAGGTCCTCGTACATGGCAACATATAAAGGAAGATGCGCTAAACATTACAAAACTTGTGGAGTCAACACTCCACCCATGACAATTCCCAGAGAGTCAGTGGCCGTCATGCCGTACGGTTGCACTACCAAGTGGAACAAACTACCTATACGAGTAGGCACTGAATAACTGGGATAACGTCAATCATTGTCTCGAGTATATCATCTCACTAGTCTCATTCAATCGCCCGACTTGGATCGCAACTTTATATGGCAATGTCTTGAGAGAGCGTCAAAGTTATGACACGACCTGACCGACAGAGTATTCCCACACGAACTCCCGCCCCTATCTCGTATGTAGCAAATAAAGATGGAACGGCCGGGCGATACTCTGAGGGAAGCCATATGAGCCTTTCCCCTCGATATGTTATCCAGGCGCTGTCGTCACTCAGGGCATATCCAATTTGCCGTTCCATGATAGGGGGTAGATTGAGAGTGGAGGTCGAAATGAGCATGTCATTGATCAAATCGAATGTGCCAGCGAGAGTATGCAGGCGATTCGGCGTGTCTTTATCGAATTCTAGAAATGTGGGCAGATCTCCACTAGCAGACAATTCATCGAAAGATTGCACCACAGGCAATTGAGCCTCAATCGAGGAGATGTATTGTCCAGTGGCTGAATCCCGAACCGTGATGGCCAGGTCCCAGAATTTGAGACCTTCATCCCCATGCCTGTGGCTCATTGATGCGAGCCAACGTCCATCCAGAGACCAGGAAATAGATAGCAGTTCACCATCACCCTCACCAAGGTCTGCTGTGCATTGTCTGGTCTCCGGGTTCCAGATTCTGATTGTATGGTCATCTGCCCCTGACGCTAGTCTTCCGTCCCGCGACCAGCGCAAGTGAAAAACTGGTCTGTCATGGCCCTCGAGGGTTGATATGCGTTCTCTAGTGACTGGGTCCCAGATCCACACTTCTCCACTGTATGACCCGGATGCGAGCTGCTGGCTATCATGAGACCAGCCAATTGAAGACCAGCCAATTGACGTAACATGAAGGGTATCGAGGAGCATTGATGCGCAGCTGATTATGGGATCCCAGATCCTTAACCCATCAAAGTATTCCGACGATGCAAGCCAGGCTCCATTTGGCGACCAGGAGAAGGTTCCCCCGGAGGTTCCCTCCATGAGCCCGTCGAACTTTTGAAACGTTGATCTGGGTATTTTGATGCTTGGATCCCAGATTCGAATTGCCCTTCCAGCTAATGCGATATGTCTTCCATCCAGAGACCAGGCAAGTGAAGATCCACCTGAACGATGTAACTCAAAAAACGACAAACAATCTCCAGTGGCTGTATCCCAAATTCGAACTGTGTTATCATCCATACTTCCTGACCTTGTCGCAAGTCGACGTCCATCCGGTGACCAGGCCATTGACACAATGTTGTCATCATGTTTCTCAACCCCCGATACACAGGTTCCAGTGATCAGGTCCCAGATTTTGATTGTCTTGCCAGCTGATGCCAGTCGGTTTCCGTCTGGAGACCAGACAGTTGGACGAACAGAACCGTCATGTTGTCCGCTCAGAATTGACAGACAAGCCCCATTGCTTGGGTCCCAGACTCTCACAGTTTCATCGTTTGATGCTGAAGCGAGTCGGCTCACGTCTCTAGACCAGGAAATGGACCACACCGTACTTCTGTGGTGGAGATCGAAAATACATTGACAGCTGACTGTATCCCATATTCGGACACTATTTTCTGACACTGAGGCGAGTCGCCTACTAGGCGGCAACCAAGTCACCGAACTAACGTTATTTCGATGCCCCTCAAGAATAGTTAAGCACTTTCCGGTGTTTGGGTCCCAAACTCTAACTGTTTTATCAAACGATCCTGATGCAAGTTGCATAAAGTCTGGTGACCAGGCAATCGTACGTATTTGATCGTCATGTCCGCGGAGAGTTGATATGCATTGGCTGGTGACTGGGTTCCAAATTCGGATAGTCTTATCGTTTGATGCCGAGGCGAGTCGCTCATCATGTTGTATCCAGGTAATACAGTTCAGTTTATCTTCGTGTCCTCGAAGAACCGATATACACTGTCCTGTGGTTGAGTCCCAGATTCTCGCAGTTTTATCTTCTGATGCTGATGCAAGGCGCCGGCCATCTTGGGACCAAGCAATACAAGGGACGTCCAAATCATGACCTTCAAGCGTTTGAATGCATGCACTCCAGTAATCTTCGATTGATGGCCCGTGAATAATCCAGTCTACCCTCTCCTTTTGGTAGCAAAGCTTGGTCATGCTTTGGGCTGGGCTGAATATCAGAGATGAACTGTATACCTGCAACGGGCCACTCTCAATTCCGACCTTGTGGTATCGGATAAATCGAGAAGCATCGTGGACTCGTCGAAAGACGGTTGATGATTTCTGGTTTTCCTATTATTGTTGTGGTGCATTTAGTGAGATGAGATGCTCAATTCCAACCCAAGGTGACCCCGAACCTTAAATAAACCCTCAAGCTTAAGCATTGCCTCTATGCCTCTTGGAACGTTTCTTATCAGACAAAGTGCTTCAATCCAGTGGAGGTATTTGTGCTGTAGAAAGGTATCCACGGACTGGAGATGGTGGGGCTCAATATCTGCGCTCTCACTGCAATATCCATCTTGAAGATGATGAGCCCAATAAAGACAAGCGTAATGTGCTACTGCCAATGGGTCTGGACTAGGGTGTGTGACTTGGTCGATTTGCAGCCCTGGGAATGTGATGTCGTATATATTATGGCGAAGTGACCTAGACATGATATGTATGGAGCGGGAAAAGATTTCGTGGTGCTCCGCGGGTACACCTCTTGGAAAGACTTCATCCAGGGCCTTAGTAGTCAGGAAATCCTTTGCGGATTGATGAACAAAGAAGACGGTGTTCTCGCGCAATGTGAGGAATGAGCCACACAGTCTTATAATGTCCGAGAGAAAGTCGTCCAGTGGGAAGTCGTCGTCATCTGTCGAGATCCCGTCAGGCATATCGACCAAGGCCACTAGTTCATTCAATGTGATAGGCCGGTAGACAGTTGAAGCCACACCGAGTATTCTGTTGCAAAGTTCCGCATCCTCGGAGTCCCGAATCTGTTGCAGCATTCGCCTATAGAGGGAATCAAGTCCGGGCGGAAAGGAAGTCAGTAGCTTCGGAGTGTTCCAAGGTCTGGCCTTGGCAAGCTCTTCATACACCAATGCTACCCAAAGAAAGGTGTCTTGGGAGTTCAACATAAGATGACTAGCGACTATGTCTCGCACGGCAGGCTTATACCTCTTTTTCTCTGCCAATTGCTGAACCTTAAACTGAATGTAGATAGCAACGGCCTCAGAAATAGAGGTTGCATTTAATTCCAGCGAAAGTCTTGCTTTTTGAGTTGCGACCTCAAAATATTCCTCGATGATCGGCCAGTTTCGACTAGAGACAATCCACTTCACGCGTTGGTTACCAGAAGACGATGCCTCGGCTATGAGATCAAGGAGGAAAGAAAGCTCTCCGGTACATTCATCCAGTGCATCGATGATGAAATAGGTATCTTTCAGAGTCGAGTCCTCCAGAATGTCTGACAATATACCTGACAAAGCCTGCCACGCATTTGCATCCTCGAACAGTTGCTTTCCTGTCTGGTCGTACCGTCTTCGTATATGGTGGATAACAGAAGGCTGCTCGCAAGCAAGCATGAAGATCAAGCCGCGCAGAACCGCAATGGCATTATTGATGCGCTCATCAGTTGCCTGGCAGAAGAAGAACGACACATTCACCGCGGTGTCGTCAATCGAGCTTTTTAACTCATCGATAATGCCACAGAGGAGCATAGTCTTTCCTTTTCCGGGATCACCCTGAACCCAGAGAAGATGGACCTCCTCGTCCAGGCGCCACTTTTGGAAATCATTGTTCTGCAGCACCCAGAGATACGAATCTTTGAGGAGTCCCCCCTTAGCTTTCTCAATGCGAGTTTTATCATCGCGCGGGTTGGTCGTTTGTAGGTCCCGTAGACAATTCTGGTCTGCTGATGTCTCTGACTGTCCTATGCGCGGTGGGAAGAGGAACAATGATTAGCTTATCCAGAATCTATCGGACTTTTCATTCTTAACCAACCTTGGGGCAGATATATATTATTGGTGATCTGGCCACTATTGTGGCCTATTTGAGCTCCAGAGTTTGGACCATTAAAATACGCCGCCGAAGCCATAACAGATGCCCGGCCTTATAGGCAAGAGTAGTTGTAATAATAAACATCCATGTCAAGCGCCCAGCTACCCCTCATCAGGTGACTGCGTTGAACCCTAAAGGGGTTAGACACTGTCCTAGCAGTGATTTTTGATGTGCACGATCTGCATCTGCCACATGGTTTCACATGCATATATATGGCTTGTTCTGTAGAGCTCTTAATGTGGAATCTAATGATGATTGTATGAAGAAACCATGCAGATAGATTCTTAATGATAGAGTTGGACGGAGAGAAAGAGAAGAGAGAAGGAGAGAGAAAGAGAAACTATATGTGGGTCCTGGGCCTCAGGCACCCAGACACCCAACAGCTCTTTCTCTCTTCCTTTGTTTGTCTACACAGGAGAAGGTTAGAACTTCACGGCCCCTGGGTCTTGGTCGCCCATTTAATCAGCACATGCAAGCTTTCATGAACTTCTCTTCAACTAGTTAGTATATTTAGCCAACTACCAAGTAACTTGGCGCCAAATATTTATAGTCATATTACTGTATTTACTTCATTCCTTCCCATAATATCGTAAATAATATCATAAAACTACTATATATCTACATAGGTAAAGCTAATAGGTTCGATGTCCTATTAAGTATTGATAAAATCTGATATTTATTAAAAATCAGAAAAATTATAGTTAGTATATTTGACAAGAACTATTGTGTAGCATGATTGGTCTCTAGAATTATGCAGACATGGTCGATTTGTGACCTTCGTTCAAAGTGTAACTACCCCTTCATTGACCATGTGTGCCTAGGAAATGTTCGATCATTTTGAGCCATAATACTCACAAAATCGAGCTATGATGAATGGTTCCATCGGGCAATGGGAAAAGATCTGCTAATATTCGATCCTACTACGAAGTGGCCATTGGCTGTTGTGACCGTAGATCTTGCAGGGTACCACAGTTATATGATCCCAGAGGCAGGTAAACCAAGTATCCGGTCACATTAAACCTTCTTCCACTCTACTATTTGAGTTGTCTTACACTGAATATCACCGAACACGGAAGCCTGAATGAGCAGATGAACCAATGTTATGCGTAGAAGATCAGTGGAGTAGGTAACATCCTCCGAAGTCAGTCAGCCACCCATGAAAAGAGTTACATTGAACAGTCTGTTTGAGCGTCATGAAAGCTGATCACCATGAGTACTACGAGTCCCGGAAAGGCGCTAGGTGTTGAATCTCCTTGGAGTTATATAGATCTTCTTTCTCTCAGCTACATGCTCTCTATGAACGTTGTTGGCACCATTTAAGAGCCTATATACCATAGTATCGATGCACTCGCCTCTTCAATCCAGAATAACTCTAGAGTGGACACCGCTGGACATTTAGCGTGCATTGCATATCATGTAACATTCAACAGAAGTCTATTCATCATGTCACATTATCCTACATCCGGCTCGGCCTAGACGTGGGTAGATAGGCTTTATCATGCGCTTTTTTATGAATGCACTATACATCTCTCGCTAGAGTAAACGTCATATATTCTAAATCGTCGGGCCATTTGCGTCACTTCATGACGGGTGAAGTTATCAATATGTCTATAGAAGAAGGCAAGTCACAATATAAATATCTCGGGCCAGTCCCTGTCTCGTAGTCGGAGCAGAACTCATTGATACTCTGAATACGAAGTACTATTAGTCCGCCCTGACTTCCAAAACTTGCAACAATGGACCACACGAAAGCTCCGACCTACAACTCCAAAGAGGGGCTTGTTCTCGACCTGAAGAATTTCATCTGTCGCTGCCCAACTCGAGTGATGAAGTTCAATACCGCGATCGAATCTGCCGTCGATGATGGACCAGAAGACATGAAGGCTGAAGGGATTATAACCCTAGACTCTTATCTGCAATATTGCGAGAGACTTCTGCGATGGGTGCCCAATGTGGACACAACTGGTGATGAACTGCTGCGCAAAATCTTGGTCTTCTACTGGGTCTTCGATCAGCCATCTGTTCTCGGGCTCCAAACTCCGATCTCGCCTGAAACTTCCAACAACGACCTATCCTGGCTTTCATACTGGCTCGTTTCCTTTGCCCGGCAACAGGGACAATTTTTGAGTACCCCGGAGTCCGCAGGGCTTGTCTACACCTTTTATCTGAATCCGAAATATAACTCAGATGCGGCGTTTTGGGAAAAGCCAGCATCCGGTTGGCAGTCTTTCAACCACTGGTTTTCGCGTGAGTGGAAAAACATCAATATCTCGCGGCCCGTTCAGGGTCTCTCAAATGACCATGTGATCACGATGCCCGCTGAATCGACTTATGCTGGAAATTGGCCGATCACCAAGGGAGAAATTCAACTCCGGATCAAGGGTGTGGACTATTACCACTGGCCTGTCAAGGACCTGCTGCAGACCAAGGAAGATACTTGGAATGAGGGCCACTTTACCCACTCTTTCCTGGCACCCACTGATTATCATCGTCAACATGCACCAGTGAGTGGGGAGGTTATTGAGGCAAGAGTCATTCAGAACCAGGTGTATTTGCAGGTGGCGAAGAACACTGCTACCGGCAGGATCTATGCGGATCGCGCTATGGTTCGTGCCCCAGCTGAAGTCAGGCGCCGGCGAGGTGTACGGGTTCAATACGAGTCCGAAGGTGAAGATGGTGAAGGTGGTGAAGATGTCAGCCCTCGAGCCTCCAACAAGAACCAGGATCTCGATGCCCCGGATGATGCTGGCTACCAGTGGTGTCAGACTCGGGGGTTGATTGTGATCCAAACCGAGAAGTACGGCAAGGTAGCCATTCTGCCTATCGGAATGGCTCAAGTATCATCAGTTGTGTTGACCGTGAAAAAAGGCGACCATGTCGACAAAGGGCAAAACATTTCATACTTCCAGTTTGGCGGATCTGACTGCGTGATGGTTTTCGAAAAGAGAGTCGATTTCCAAGTTAAACCAAAAGAGAAGGTGAAGGTCCGAAAGCAAGTCGCTACTTTTGAAGACTTGCCGATTGTTGATGACCTTCAAAAACGCTGAGAAAGTCTTTCTGAAGTAGGGACAATAATTCGAATCTTTGTTGTTGAATATTGCTGTACTGCTTTGAGTTGTGTCCCTGGTGACCGTTTCGTGTCGTGTATCCAAAAGTTTCCTACCTAATTATAGTTGCAATGAAATTAGTTTTCCCTGTTCGTGCTTGTCCGAAAACATCAAATACCAACAGCAAAGTTTCCACTTGGATGAGACATGTTTATTACAACATTGTAGGTGAATGGACTCAAACAGACCTAGAATTAGGAGCAAAGGCCGCGAATGTGGTCAACATGACGAGATTGCACACACACTAGTAAAAGAAGCAAAGACCTGAATGACCGCGGAGCCTAGGCCTTATTAAAGGAGTTTAGTAAGATGCTCTGAAAAGGTCAGGAATGAAAACAGAATAAGGGAGAATGGGGGTGAGGAGAATGGGGGTAGACTGGAATCGACTCTGAACGACAAAAACGGTATAGACTCGCGGTGCGGACCGCATTCCCGCTAGCCGACATGACATCCAAGGTGTCAAGGTATGGTAGCTCAATGAACATGTGTACCTTCTACTCCGTACATACCTACATGTAGGTATGTAGGTATATCTAACATAACTGTAATACATCTTCGTATAATACCCGGTTTAAACCGTGTGTTCAACTTGGTATTTGACATTGCATTTCTGTGGTAAGCTCTTACAACAGGTTTAGATGCATCTTTTCTAAGTATGAAGATTGTATAGAGGAGGTTCGCGGCAATCTGACATTTCATGTTTGAATCCTTCATGATATTATATGATCTCTTGCCCCATAGTATTACAGCATAGTACCTCTTTCCTCCCTTGTCTATACAACTCCATACAATACAATATTGTCACTGCATGAACTCGTATAGCTTATAGATCTCAATACTTCATAAACCGGGTAATTGGAATACGACCGTACTTTAGACTAGACTAACCGTTGCTGTTTTCGTCATGCCAAGTAACCTTTAGTTCCCTGAGTGGTCTATGGATTATCCTTAGCACAAGAGGAGAGATTTGGATAGCACTAGTGATTAAAGGACGTCTACAAAAATTATATTCACACATGTACTTTAGGTACATTGTGTCCGTAAATAATGCTTTGTACATTCCTTTTAAGAATCATTCCTTTCTTATCACATTTGGACCAGTGCCTTAATGCGTCAAAGAATGCCATTAGAACCGGGCCGTAGCACCCCGGCACGGAACGTGAGCTCCTTACGTCTTGGGGAATGTATAACACACAGTCTATACATGATCCCCTCGATCTATCACTACTACATTGACTTCAGGTCATTAATCAGGCCTTCAACCCTAAGCCAGCCGGTTGCAAACGGGGGTTTCAATTTCAATTTGGGATTTTAGCCCTAGCCTAGCGTAGAAACCTCGCAAAGCATGGTTCAAAAGATGGCCAATTCCTATGCTAGGAGTAGTGAGGACATGGAAGGGTATCTACAAGATTTTCTTTGTTAACGATATAGATCTCTTGGCTAGACGTGATTGGGTGATACATAATATGGGGTGAATCAACGGCTGAGACTGCTTTCCTCATGAGAAGAGCTTTGTCAGACCTGTAATGTGATTAACTTAGGGCACCCGGTGATGAGATACTCGTCTTCAATTGGGAATGACCAATTCGAAAGGCCCATTGCGACAATGCATATACGAAGACAGAGTGTCTGATATACATGCCCATGTCAACCTCTCTGGGCATAGCTTATCTCTTGGAATGAAAGGTGGTGTTCGGAGGCGAGTAATGTATCATCAAGTCAATTCAAGTCGTATATGCACCATATATAATATCTACAATCTTTTTTGAAACATATGCACTGCAGTCATGCTGCCATCATGATTAACATTTACTCTTCATCCTCGTCCTCACCTTCACCCTCATCACCTTCTTCATCTTCATCATCGTCCTCAAACTCAACCCCAATCTCACCAGTGATATCCCACCGATCACCCTTCGCCGCAGCACTGACATACTTGACAAACTTGAGAGTGCCGCTATCCCGCAGCACGATGCTGAGTCGGTTCCATCCCGCTTGCGTGCTGAACAGAATACCATCATCCTCGTCGGCACCCGCGGACCGGTAGACAGCCGGATCGGCCTTGTTCTTCTTCCGACCCAGGACTTGGTCAGCATTCTCAGCATCCTCCTCCTCGTCATCTTCTTCATCATCATCGCCAGCCATGTAGATCTCGTACCCTCCTAGGGCAGGGCCTTCCACGGCGTCATCGTTTGTCTTCTCCTTTGGCTCGGGTGTCTTAGCAGATGAACCATTGGCTTCCTCATCCTCGTTCTCATCTTCTTCCTCATCTTCCTCATCTTCCTGCTTCTCCCATCCCGTGCTCGGGGTAAGACAGAGCGAGAACTCGAGTCGAGGTTCCTCGCCTTCATACGCACTGGCAAGAGTATAGTCCGCACCACGGCGGAACCGTCTTGCAAGCAAGTTGTGGCTCGTGAGGTGGTCCACACCAGTAACAAGTCCAAGCCACTTACGGAAAGCCTGCGACGGGAGCAGCACGTTCAACAGTTCCTGAATCGGGTTCTCGGTATCCTTCTCACCGGAAGCATGTTGGTACAGGTATCGATGCTTGTGGGGAGGACGAGCAACCGTCCACCCGCGCTGTGCCCGAATCTCATCCGCAGAAGCCGGAAGAGCCTGTCTCTCCTGCTCCTCAATGTACGCGCTAACACGCGATCCAAACTTATCACTCAAGAACCGCTCTAGGCTGAGCGAGGACTCAGCTGAGAACGCGTCTGACATCTCCTCGGCGATATCAGGCGTCAGGTACGAAGGCGCAATATACCGGAGTAGGAAGGCTAGGTCGCTCTCTGTGAATTCGCCCTCATTCTGCTCTTCCACTTTCCCCTTGCCCTTGCCTTCGACTTCGGGCTCCTCCCAGGACACCGGCTGTGGCTGTGGCAGGTCGTAGATATCGCCGCGGCCCTGTAGCTGCGCGAGACTGCTGCGCTCGGCGAGTTTCTCTTCCAGTCCTTCCTCGTAGCCGTCTTCGCCTTCCTGCGGGATGTGGAACCAGCCGCTTATCGCCATGCGCACGCGCTTCTTGGTCTTGTCTTCGCCTTCGCGTGGGTGGTACACTTCCTCGACATCGTGGAAGCTCTCACCCGGTTGGACGGTGAAGAAGCTCAGCTGGTTGAAGGCGGGAGGGATGGAGAGGCTGTAATCCGGGCTGGGGATCTTGACATCCTCGCCCTTGGCATCCTTCTCGGTCGTTGTCGGGAACAGGCGCAGGGCACCACCCCACTCGGCTTGCCAGGGTGTGTCGGGGTCGGTCAGGTAGAGGATGTAGCTGAGACGACGGCTGCCGATGACATCGTCGTGGCACAGGAGGTGGCAGCCCTCGGTGTAGACGTTAATGGCCATGTCGGTCTTCTGACCGCTCAGCTTGCCGGAGCCAGTCACGGAGGACAGGTACTCGCGGAACCGTGCTGAGTACATCGCGTCACGGAGCTTCAGTACGGACGGCAGCTTCGAGAGGGAGGAATCATCCAGTCCATCGAGGTTGGCGAGATCGCCAGACTGGAAGATTTTGTAGATGTCTGTTTCCTTCTCGGTGAAAGACACTTGGGTTTCGATCTCATCGCGGACGGAGCGGAGGAGAGTAGGTTCGATCAGAGGGTGAATGACGCCGTGGAGGTAGCTATAAATCCAGACATGTCAGTCTTTTGCCATTGGACTAGTTTCCTGTATACATACGGAGAAGACTTGGCGTATTCGCCGGTGTACTTCTGCTGCTCCGCGGTGTCGAACAAGCCGTCGCGGAAGCGGGCAGCAGCCTCCTCGCTGGAGAGAGCCCGTTTCTTGGACTGAGGCATGGCATTGCCATCGAGGGAGGCCCTTGTGTCTGTTTTGCGCTTCATTTTTGATGTTTGTAGAGGAATGGGAGTTTCACCAGCGAGTGGTCTGATGTTTCATAGATTTTTTGCGGGCGGTGAGAGCGCACGATGAGGCGGTCAACTGTGTTTGTGTTACATCTTCAGCTTTAGGATAGAAGATCACAGTTCGTCTAAGGTTCAGTCTATTCATATAAAAATCATATAGTCTAAATTTACTTTAGATTTCAATCAATGTTGTTTTTATCAGTGTTGTGTTTCAAACACCTGTATTATAGGAGGGTTGTCTCTCTTTGTAGATCAGTGGCGCATAGCCGATACGCTCATCCCTTTCCGAAGGCAAACTAATTTCTGCACATCCTTTCTTTATCTTCAAGATCAGAAACAAGCAAGAGATCCTTCAATATCAGCGCCAGTCTTTGTTTTGATTGAACATCGCACGTTGCACATGTGATTGCGGCAAATCCAGGCACCGCTGTCGTCATAACCCGCATATCCCGCCTTATCGCCGGAAAGACCTCGATTGTCCCCCCACTTAGGGACTTGCTTGATCTTCTTCAACTCCGTCGAATCTCACAATGCAGCAACAAGGGGCTGAACCCCCAACTCCAGATCAGCCGGGAACCCCGCCTCGTCCGCCTTATTCCCCAGTGACGCCTGTCTTTGCTCATCTCGCGCCAATCGTCTCCAACGAGCCATCAATCGTACCGCCACCTGCATCTGCCTCTCCTACTTCACACCTCCCTCAACATTCACATGCCAACTATCCACATGCCCCGCCTCCTCCGCCCAATCCTCCCGTCTTCACACCACAACTGCCCCCTGTCCCTATCTCGGAGAGCGAGAATCCAGATGCCATCGCGCTCCGTTCCGCCATCTCGATCCTGCAAATGCAGAAACAGCAAAGTTTGCGCGATATCCAGGCATTAGATCGCATGAAAGAGGCCGCTGCCGCTGATCCAGAGGGGTTTGCGCATGAGCTGGCAGCAGGTCGGTTGAAGACCGAAGACCACGGTGCTGTGATCCAGTTCTCCGAGGATGACGCAAGGGACGACGATGAGGATGACGAAGGATCAAAACGCACGAATCCAGACGAGTCACCGGCTTCGAATTTCGGCCATATCCCCGTTCCGCAGAATATCGTCCGTATGCCCCCTATCAACTGGGCCAAGTATCAGGTTGTTGGAGAGCCACTTGATCGTATGCACGAGGAACAGTTACATCGCCCAAGCTCTGGGGAACCGAGACGAACGCGCGCGCCGGAACATGTCTTGGCCTCGCCGTATCGGCCGTTGGTAGATCGATTGGAGGGACCGCCGAAACTCGGTCGTCCTAGCAAGGCCAAAAAGACTTGAGCCTGTAAAGTGGATTTTATGATTATGGGATTATGGACTTTTACGAAGTTATGTACTTTACAACTTATGAACAGAGCTGGACTTGTGTGTTTCATTGACTATTGCATGATTTCTTGAGTGGGTTCCCGCTGCGTTATGCGCGCTATCCTGAATATGAAAAGACAGAGAAAGGAAAGATTCCTCATTTATCCATGCATTCAACGTTCAAAATTTTGTTGTGACTCATCCCTTGTCCACCCCGGGGCCAGTGGCCGTGAACCGAGACCCCCTTTCTCAATTAAGAACTGGGCTTCAGTTGGTTAACAGAGACAGGAAACAGAGAAAACTCATGATTCATTTCATCAATGAATCATCTTAAGATGCTCCTGCAAATCTTCAGGTACAACAAATGGAGTCTCTTCAGGTAAACAACCCCTGGCAGCTTGAACATCCCCAATCTTAAGATAGCTGTCGATCATCTTCATAGTAGCAGTCACATCAGTAACCGAAACAATCCACTCATCAACATATCTCCCAACAGCCTCTCCACTCAACCCAATTTGAATACTCCGATAGCTCAAAGACCGCATTGAAATATCCCGCTCGGGATCCCACTGAACGCGCACTGGACTAGCACGCAGCTTCTTCTGCCACTGCTCCTGGCTTGTCTCCTCGCCAGGCGTATAGTGACTCAAACAGGAATGGCGCAATGCCCATTCGAATCCCTCACGGGTAATCTCTATTGCTAGGACACGCTCCTGTCGGGATTTTGTTGCCCAGCCTGATCGGTATGCCATCCATAGAAAAGAGGGCTTGATCCAGGTCATTCTCTGTCGTGAAAATGGAGGGACGAACTTTTGGGCCTTGAGTGCTGGCTCGGCTATCTCGGGAGAATAGGCTTGGTACACTGTGATTGTACTTGGGGTTTGTTTGGCTCGGATGGCTCTGTGGGTATTTGAGGCCATTGTTGGATGTGCTGGATGTTGAAGAGCTGTGGAGGTTCGTAATGGAGGATACAGAATATTCATGTACGGAGAATAGGAATTGTGGGATGGTGTAGTGAGATCTTGTAGTAAGTACTATAAATATATAACTAGGTATCCAGGTAGACTTCCCGAGGTCATACATAGTACTGACTCATGAAAACAAGTCTGCACCAAACCTAATTGGGACCCCGCAATACTTTGCTTTAGACGGTAGTTAGCAGGCTCTTAATCTTACTTTTCGGCGCCTATATATACTGCAGTAAAAGGCCTACCTCTTCCAAGTATTACCGTAAGCGCCTCCTACGCTTATACTAGGCTTCGTTATGACTATTACGAGATAGCTAGTATTATAGCAGCTAAATCGACCGCCTATCTCTATCCTTATAGGCTATAGATACAATGCTGAAAGCCAGGGAAGGTAAATATGATATGCCATTTGAACTAGCGGAGTGTTACAGAATACTGATTAATGCATTTATATTCCGGGTCTGGTTCTGCATTAATTGGAGAAGTAAACACCGAGACTACGGGCCAGCTCTGTATAGGTAGAGTCTATAGAAATTATATAATCAGGTAGGCGGGCGTGGGGGCAGGTCATGTTAATACTTATGTGCTATCACTGTACGCATAATTATGTTAATTTGGTACAAGTAGTCTTATTTTGGCATTGATGTCATCCTCCAGGTTGTTCATCTTAAAATATTATGAATTATGTATACAAACACACAGCATATCGCGGCTATTATATAAACTGTTGATCTTTTCTTGTTCTGAGCCCTTAAGTGCACAAACTCATGACCGTAGAGTTGGCACGGACTCAAGTACCTGCATTATGTCGTATAGTTATTTAAATATCACATGGTATAAGGAGCAGTTATACCTAGAATATCTTAGATTGCCGTGTCTGCCAAGGTTGCGTGTGCCTGTCAAATCAGCAAAGACCAATGGTAGCAGTGGGGACAAGCACGAGTTAAGCATGCCAAGTAGCCAAGACTCTTCTTGGTCAATCTGAGGCAATGCCACGATTGAGCTAGTGATATCTACTCCGTACTCGCTGTCCGGATGCTGGGTATAAATAATTGTCTTGACCCTGGTTATTCAGTGTCTTCGTTGTCTTCGTACCTATCTACACCGTTATAGTCCCTTCAAAATGCTGTTACCAAGCTCCTTTATAGTGGGGCTTGTCTTGTCCCTCAGTGGCATTGAGATTGCATCTGCTGCTACCGCAAAGCTTCCCATTGCTGAACAATCCGCTGAGGTGGACTCCGACCTGGCGGCCATTTACTATGGCTCATCCTTCCAAAAGTCTTTGCTTGTGGGCAACGATGGAGGCGCTGCTACTGGTGGCATTCGATCTTTTAGCCTGGGTGATATGGAGGAAGTCGCCAGCCGCACGCCCGGTCGTACCAAGGTCGCTGGTGTGATGTATGATGTCGGGAAGAAGGATGTAATTGTATCTATCGCTGCTCCTGATTCGATCATTCGGGTCTTTGATATCGACGACACCACCGAGATCCCCTTGGCAAAAACCAAATCTCTCGGGGACTGGTCTTCTTTGTGCACGTGGCGCAGCCCCAGCAGTGGCGGAAACTACTTCTATCTGCTTGGAAAGAAAGAGGCGAGGCAATTCCTGGTCCGTGAGAAGGACTCTGACATTGAGATCCTTGAAGTCAGTATCTTAGCAACCCATATCTTCTCCTATACTGTTGAAACTAAAAGAATATTAGGTCCAAAGATTCAAGGTTCCCGTGTCAAGTTCTTGCACTGTTTCTCCCACCAACGGTACTGTCTATCTGGCAGGTGAGGACAAGAAGAGCATTTACACTTTCCAGGCCACAGAATCAACGTCTGCCCCCGAGATCAACGTCCTGGGAAAAGCTAATGATGATGTGACTGGATTGGCTGTTTACGTTGGGTCTGACTCCGACTACTTATTTGTGGCCGAGACCGATGTTATCAACATTTATTCACCCAAACTGCGGCTCCAAGGTACCTTGACTCTTACCGGCGCCAAAGATATTGAACTTGCTGGTCTGTCCCTTTACCAGGCTGCTTCTACTCAGTATCCTGATGGAATTCTCGGTTACTCTATTGAGACTGATGATGGCGAGGGCTACGGCATTAGCTCTTTGGAGCCAGTTTTCACTGAGCTCGGACTAGAGGCCAACACTACCTATTCCCCACGGAGTGTTGATTCCTCCCTACAGGGCCCGCAAGACAATGGCTTTGTGACCCCGGGTGGCTCTCTCTCTTGTTTTGCTGGATTCACAGGCGAAGACTGCTCAGAGTTCACATGCCCGAACTCCTGCTCAGGCAACGGAAAGTGTGTCGGACCCAATGAATGCCGATGCGAGGATTCCTGGGCAGGTCCTGAATGCTCTTGGGTTGGGGTTGAACCCAAATATGAGACTGATGCCAACGGTGGTGATGGCGATGACCCCGCCATCTGGATCTCTCCGGTGAGTGCCAACCAGTCCACTATCATCACCACAACCAAATCGGAAAAGGGTGCTGGGTTTGCTGTTTTTGATCTTGCTGGAAATTTGCTTCAAACCGTTTCTGCTGGAGAGCCAAACAACGTGGATGTTATCTATGGCTTCGAAATCGGTGATCGCAAAGTCGACCTAGCCTACGCGGCATGCCGGGAGGATGACACACTGTGGTACGTGTATCAAAATCTTTCCACTTTCTTTTCTTAGGCTGACGTTAATTTCAAGTCTCTTCGAAATCGCTTCCAACGGAACTCTGAAATCTATCCCCGGTGGCTCACAGCCCGTGAAACCCGACTACACCGTCTACGGCTCCTGCACCTACCGCTCGCCAATCAGCGGCAAACAGTATCTCTTTGTCAATGAAAAGTCTGGCGAGTACCTTCAATACGAGCTGACTGCCTTGAAAAATGGCACACTAGCCACCACTCTCGTCCGCACATTCACTGGTGGTTCTGGTGGTCAACCCGAAGGCTGCGTCGCTGATGAGGAAAACTCCTTCGTTTTCCTGGGCGAGGAGCCCTACGGTCTGTGGAGATACGATGCTGAGCCCGATGGTTCATCCACCGGAACCTTGGTTGCGCGTGCCGGTGATGGCACCCTTTTTGCCGATGTCGAGGGAGTCACACTTCTACCAGGCAAGACAGCAGAGGAAGGTTTCGTCATCGTCTCCTGCCAGGGTGTCAGTGCATACTCAGTGTACCGCCGTGCTGCTCCTCACGAGCATGTCCTGACTTTCACTATTCAAACCTCGGCAGATGGAAGCATTGACGCAGTGAGCAACACGGATGGCGTAACTGCGGTTGGAACTGCTCTGAACGCCGACTTCCCACATGGTCTGCTGGTCGTGCATGACGATGCGAACCAATTGGCTGAAGGAGGTACCGCTGAACTAGCGTCATTCAAGCTGGCCAGTATTGTGGATGTGTTTGGAGAGGAGGGACGGGCTCTTTTGGCCGAAGTTGATGCTACCTGGGATCCGCGGGCGTGAGTGCCAATCCTATAAGGTTCCAAATCGCAGAATTTGGTGATTGCCGTCCGTAGATTGCTATCCTGGTTTTGTTGATTATTGTTATTGATATAGATAGATCTCCGTTTTCTTCGATTCAGGGATTACTTCGTCGCTAGGCAGTTGACTCTCTTCGTTAATTCCGCCTCAGTTTCGACGAAAGTAGATTTATCTTCAGATTGATCTTAATAGAACGATTCCGGTCTTATAACTGACAGAAATCTGGCTTTATTCAAATATATATTATAACTGGCAGATATTAAGAACTCTAACTAACTATATTGAACAATCTGTACTACAGTACATATTTTTGTATGGTATGCTGAGTACCAGTTGTCATATGATTTTATGGGTAAATTACCCTGCCTCTACCATGTATTCTACCTTGGATTTTGATAGATCAATATAAGAGTAGCTGTTCCTTAATTAAGATACATCAACCGACGCAAGAGGCGGAGTTATGTATTGGTCTAGTGATTAAACCAAGGATAGGTATATATACACACTGCAGTATAATATCAACAAAAGAATCCGGGAACTACTACATTCACCCACTCAAAGCTTCGCTTTCTCATTCTTCTCAAACTGTTGTACAGCCTCCAACCCTCTTTCCCGAACAACGTCGTTCTTATCTTCAACCTTCTCCCGCCACTGCAAGTTTCCAGCATGATCATCCAACCCGCTCAAAACCCGAGAATACATCTCCTCTTTCATGGTGCCGTAGATACCCGTCGCGGCTTTATTCTGAAGCTTGCGGGTCTGGATAAGCGCAAGCGCTTCCTCGGCTCCACCAACGGCATCAACAATACCAGCCTGGAGGGCATTACGTCCACCAAAGCGATGAGCTTCTAGAACCACGCTTCGGAACGTGACTGGCGGCAGCTTCTCGCGGAAGATAGCCATCATGGGCGTCTGAAGCGGGACGCCAAATTCCAGCTCGTTGACACAGAGGAAACCACGTTCTGGGTTCATGATTCGGTAGTCGTGGTACATGGCCAACATAAAGCCAGCGGCAAAAGCGTGTCCATTTAGTAGACACACGGTTGGCATGGGGTATCTGGAGTTGGTCAGTATTTCTTTTTCCCCCTTTTTAGAAATTATGCGTGACTGGACTGTATCCTCAAAATTGCAAGAACATACGTCAAAAACCGTCGGAACAAGCGCCACAACCAGTTCTCAAGGAACCCTTCGGTTTTCCCGACAAGATCGAGATCAAGCCCATTGCTGTAGAATTTAACAATTCCACTAGTAGTCACTACGACACCCTTAGGGTAGCGGTGCTCAATAATGTCCAAGGCAAGCAGGAGAGCATCAATAAAAATGGGTGTCAGTCGGTTGTCCGGGGGTGAAGTAAAGGTGAGCACATAGATGGTTTCATGCTCTGTCGCTGTGCTTGGGTTTGTACAGATGATTGAGCCTCCAGTAGAGCTTATCGGTACGGTGAATAGAGTCGTCATGATGAGAATGTTTGGAATAAGAAAGTTGTGGAGAAAACGCGACAACTATCTACAAATACAAATATGATCGGCTATTTGAATACTAATCAGACCTCGGCGTCATCACATGCTGCCGCAAATGATGTCATCACGTGATGATCGAAGCCATTGAGATTGATTTTGTAAATACTCGGTAGGTTCTTTGACTTATAGCTAAAGGCAGAAACAATACGGAATAAGTCTATTTTAGTTACTCTTTAACCTAAAGATAATGTCTTTCTTATAGCTTACCCTATCATTTCAGTCTAGGAAGGAGATACCATTAGGAGGTTTGCTAGAGAGATTCGGTACTCTTTAGACTACAGCGCCGTCTACGGTATACCTAGTCCTAAAGAAAATCTTTGGCTAGATTACAGTATAATAACTGGGGTACTTAACCTTATAAAGGTAGCAGATCCTAGAGGTGACTCTAATGTTCGTCTTCAGTAGGAGCTCATCGATGGACGGAGTGAAGGAAAAGCGCATCTTATATGGAATGTCTCGGTTGTTACTCTTCGGGCAATCCAACCATTTGAAGAGTTTGTTCGCGCTGCTCCTTAAAAAGAACAATATCTCCTGCACCAGTCGCCGGCTTGCGCAAAGCCGAGGATATACGAAATACCGAAGTTCCTGACTCTTGTTTTTATCTACTCCTAGCGGCTCATTAAATAGAATCATCGCTAATGATAAAGTACGATTTATGCGTATAGGCAGAATGTTTGCAGGTGTAAGGCTTGGTCCTGTTTAATTTGAGCAAGGACAGCAATTGCGGGATGATTTGTACGTCGGTCGTGGAAAACAACTCTGAGCAGAGTACAGAGAAACGCTAGCCGCTTTCAGCTCATCCTGCCCCATATCAGTCCCTCTCGTTCGCAATTAATAACATAGCTACACCCCATGGCTTTTGGCATATATTCAATCATGCCGTCTCTTCAATTTACGCGCTTATCCACTACAATATATAGGCGAGTCCGACTGTAAGGGAGATATAGTATAGGTATTATTGCCACGGGAACATGGATCTCGTAATGGTAAGTTGGTGATTAAGGAAAGCCAAAAGGGCAAGACAAGGACAGAGTATTTATAACAACGAAATTGAAACAACGCCGTTCGCGTTCGGGATCGGTAGACCTTTCTTCTTCAGTTTCTTGATCCTTTTGCTCCTCTTTACCGACGACAGAGTTTCCCAATCGTGATATAGAGCGACATCCGGCAGCAGGATCTTCGCCAGGCTGTCTTTGGGATCGGCCTGACCGGCAGCCGCAGCATCTGGCTCGTTTGGTCCAGCATGCCACTCAGCAGGACACTCTTCGGGGGCAGGACACTCTTCGGGGGCAGTGAACTCTTCGGGGGCAGGACACTCTTCAGGAGCAGGACACTCTTCGGGGGCAGGACACTCTTCAGGAGCAGGACACTCTTCAGGAGCAGGACACTCTTCAGGAGCAGGACACTCTTCGGGGGCAGGACACTCTTCAGGAGCAGGACACTCTTCAGGAGCAGGACACTCTTCGGGGGCAGGACACTCTTCAGGAATTGGGAACTCTTCAGAGGTGATAGACCACTGTTCAGGAGCAGGACACTCTTCAGGAGCAGGACACTCTTCAGGAGCAGGACACTCTTCGGGGGCAGGACACTCTTCAGGAGCAGGACACTCTTCGGGGGCAGGACACTCTTCAGGAATTGGGAACTCTTCAGAGGTGATAGACCACTGTTCAATCACCACCGGGTGTTCAGTAGAGGTAAGCTCGTGTTCAGAAACTCCTGATGCAACATTATGTTGAGATCTGGTCCCCTGTTCCAAGCACTGAATATGCGATGATAAAATTTCGATCGCTGATAGCATAATTGCTCTACTGAAAGGGTCAAAATCTTTTTGCAAAATTCCGGACAGATCATCAATGTTGAATCGTGAATTGCCTGACACAAATGAGCGCCGTAAGACTTTTTTCACGTAGCTTGGAAGCCAGACTTCGTCTTCAGGAAGCTTGGGAAATATTTCTCCAATCGAACGCAGAATTTCAAAGGTAGAGATCGCTTCGTCGAAGTGTTCAATATACTTCCTGGCAAGGATCTCGAGGTCGGTAATGTTGTACATCCTAGACGCATGGTAGACCAGAACACTTCTTCGATATTCTCGTTCGATGTAGGATATACTTTCATCAAGTGGCGAATTGATCGTCTCGTAAGTACCCGAGTATAAGAAATGAACTAATGTGTGGCCGACATCTCCATGAATATCGGAAAGTGTGATATATGTATTTGGGGGAAACTTCGACCCAATAGAGGGTACTTCCGAATATGAGACCCCAAAACACCATACTCCTTCTCTCCAATACATAGTGTGACCATTGGATGTTCGTATGATCTACAGAAATTGAGAAGTCAGTTAATTTCGAGTAAAATAATAGTCTGAAGCCCTCACGATGACCGTGGCTGATTGTACTCGATTTTCGGGAAATTCTGGCCAGAGTTCAGAGATACCGAACTTGCTTGAATCTGACATGAGAGGCTTCCGGTCATTTTGAACGCCTTTGACAATGGCACAAGAGATGAATCAGAGTAGGCTAATTAAAATGATTGAGTTGAAAATAGGTAGCATAGTAAAGTCTGTATTTGTAGACGAAGTTGGGAAAAGAGGGGATATGCAAGTATGAGCTGTTCTTCATGCACAATTCCCAAGTGGAAATGCAATAATCTGCGAGATAGGCCACAGAGATGTATAGTGCTTTTGCTCAATCACGCCGTACGCTGATGCTACAGCTACAGCTACGACAGTCGAGATATAGATAGGACACCGAAAGGCAAGTGTATTGTCCAAGCGCCCACTAAAAGACACTTCTGTAAGCCTAATTCCAGCTACTCCTTGTTTGTCATCTTTGCATCCTTTGGAAAGAATTCTGGCCATTGTGGATCTCCCATACCATTACTGTAATATTATCATGGTAATGTTCTGTATACGAGACCATACGGGGATATTATTAGTCCGGAGCTACACCAGATGCGGACTACTGGGCCTTGGCATTAGGGTTAGGAAAGCAATCAGAGAATGTAGGTGGTGACATCCATCCATCTATTGTATACCTCAGAAGAAACAAGTTTAAGTTCTCCGTTCTCGCCCGAGGGCTCGGAATGGAACGGAGGTGGCCCTTGCGAGCAGGTTGAAATAATTTCTTATCAGAGACCTGGGGGGACGAGGGTAGTATGAAATGCACGGACCTGTTTTAGGTGGGGAAGAGGCTCTCAGTTGGTCAGCCCTGTATGTCAAATTGCAAGGTTGCATACATGGGATGATACAGATTATGTAATCTAGCTTAGTCATAAACCGCACAGAAACAGCACAGAAACAGCAGTTTCTATTATGTAGAAAATGCAGAGTTCTCTATATCAGCCCTGAGGTCCATATATTTCAATACATCAGATTTCTGTCAGTTATAAGCCCGGCTTTGTTCTATTAATCAATTCAAAGATTAACCCTGCTTCTATCGATACTGAGGTAGTTAAAGTGACAGAAAGTCATCTACCTAGCGACGAAGCAACCCCTAAATCGAAGAAAAATCGGAAATCTATCTAAATCATAGCCGATTATCTCTCCGCGGGTCTATCCTCCCGCGTTATTCTTAAGGATACCGAAACTTAGGATATATAGATCGCTAATATCGAATCGATTATAGTGTAATTTAACGTTTAGGAGCTATATAATCCTAGTAAGGAAAAAAGAACCGGAGATACGGAAAGCTCCGGTAGAGATTATATCGATTGAAGAAGCGGAGAAAAAGTATAACGATAAATAGGTCGATACTTATAAAGTGATTTAATTAAACTAGTCGATAAAGAATATACTTTATACCTAGGAAAAGAAGGGGTTAAGTATAATTATAACTAGGCCTTGACAAGTCCCGTAGCACCGGTGCTGCAGCACCGGTGCTGCGGCAGCACTAGGCCTTTGGTTCGGTGCTACAGTGCTGCAGCGGGAGTGCTGCAGCACTATAAACAGTGCAAACACGACTAACCTCGTGATATATATAAGTTATATAGAAAAGCTAGTAATTTTAGGGTATTTTATTTATAATAAATAGGAAATCTAGAAAAGATTATTATTATATTTATTTGATTATTTACGCTTTATTTAGTCCTCTTAGTACCTCTTAGTATATATATATTTATTATTATCTCTCTAACGCTTCCGTTCTCTATATAGACGCTAGCTATCGCTTTATACTATTCTAATTATTAAGTAATAATTTAGAAGTTTAACTAAGTCTATCTTTTAATCTAGAGTCTCCTAATCTAGAGGTAGGTCTAGGTCCTAGAGACTAGGTAAAGTATCGCGATTATAGGTATCTATATTATCGGCTTTATATTCGGTTTTAGACTTAAGTTCCTTATTATCGCTAATACTAGCTATATTATAATTAGATAGTTAGGCCTCTACCTTCTTATTAGCCTCTATTCTCTTATTTAGATCCTAGCTTTCTATAGATAGCTAGCCTTTAGCGTAATTTATATTAAAATATATTATATAATAGAGTATTATTAGATCTTAAATAGTTATTATATTAAGAGATCTATATTTATAATAATAGATATCCCGCGTTAAGCTAAATAATTATTTAACTCTTATATTAGTAGTAAGAATAGAGAAGATATCCTAGGCTAGCGTTATAAGGGTTAGAAACTAGATCTTATATTATCTCTAGAATTAATATAGGTTATTATTATTAGTTTCTTATAAAATTAGTATATATTATAATTTTAAGTTCTATAATATATATATAAAGATTAAAATAACCTATTAACTCTTCTTACTAGCTAATCTTCTCTTAGATAGTTAATCTTAGTTAGGTTTATATAAATAAACTAGATATACTTCTAATTCGTTATAAAGCCTTATCTTTATCTACTAATTAAATTATAAGCTAACGCTAATAGTATTACTTAAAATAGGAATATAAAGAGCTTTTATATACTATATACTAGTCCGTATTATTATTAGCCTAGTCTACTTCTTTAAAATAATTAAGCTTATATATAGGGGTAAGAATTATTCCTATTATATAAAGATACTTATAAGCCTTCTTAGTATCCTTATAGTAAGTTATAAGCTTCTATTCTCTAGTCTTTAAAGTATAAAATATCGCCTTTTTCTAAAGAATCTTCTTCTAATATAGGCGCTTTTAGAAGTCTTTAAAATATCTAAATAGTCTATTATATACTTCGAATATATAATAAATAGTAATATCCTTAACCTTAAATAGTCCGACTATTTATATATAAAAAGATTTTATAATATAAAGTAGGTATTTAATCTACTACTACTTTTATATACTTAGTTAGAACTAAAGCTAATTATATAGAATATAATACCTATTAAATATAGTAAATAGATAATTTATACGCTAAAGTATTAGATATATTAAATTCTAGTAGGTATATATATCTTATATTAGTATAAGCTTCGGCTTAGTATCTTATAGTATTAGAAAGAACTCTTATTATTAAGGACTAGCGTTAATATAGACTATAAAAGTATAGATCTAGGAATAATATAAGTATATTTTAATAAAGATTTTAAATAACTAATCTTTATAAATATATAGATAATTTTTCTTTTAGATTTAGTCTTTTAAAGAGCCGATTTATTCTCTTTTTCTAATTAGATAGTATTAGTAGTATTATTATTTAGATTAGCTTTTATTAATCTAAAGAGGTCTTTTAAACTAAGCTAAATTATATAAGTAAGATATAGAATTTATATAATTTATATATTATTTAAAAGATTAAGCTATTCAATTAACTAATAAAGGCTCTCTATAAATATTTTATTATTAGAGATATTATTAGTAGTTATTATAAATACTCTATTAATAATATTATACTACTATAGTATATCTTATAATATCTTACTTAAGTAACTACTAGTATACTAATTATATATTAGCTTAAAGCCTAATAGTATCTTATAATAATTCTAGCTAGAATCTATAAAATAGCTAGTAATTATTATAAATATTTATTAAAAAGATAAAGTCTAGTAGTTAAGTATTATTAAAAGTTTAATATTCTTTAATAAAAAAAAAAGGACCTTTTAATAGTCCTTTTTAACTATTATTTATAGGCGATACTATATTATCTTAGGAGTTAAGATTAGAGATATATCTTTTAAGAAGCGAGTAAATCGAATAAATTTAAATATTTCTAGTCTTCTAAAGAACTAGAAAAAGAGCTAATATATTATAATTAAATTAATTTAAATTCGTTCCTAATCTTTAGTATTAAAAGTAGTCTTCTACTTTAAAGGATATTTAGACTAAGATATATTAAATTAGTATATAGTTTATTTTAAGATATAATAGTATATATTACTATAAATTATAATAATTATCTTAATATTTACTAAAAAGAAGAACTCCTTCTACCCTACTAATAGATCTTACTCTTATAGTACTTTTTTAACGAGTAAAAACCTCTAGACTATAATAGATAAGGAACTATCTTTCTATATTATCGATAAAATACTATCGGCTATTTAGTCTAATAATATATAACCTAGTTAAAGTACTCTTAATATAATAATATATAATTTACTTTAAAATTTATTTTATATTATAAAGTATTTAATTAGGCGTATATAATATATTACTACTACTTAATAAATTATATTTTATTTATCTTCGTATAATATATCTAAAGCTTTTTAGCTCTAGGGCTAATTTATTCGAAGATTATTAGAATAGTAATAATATATAGAACCTAAAACTCTAGAATACTAAGGATTAAAGAGGCTTCGGGATTTAGTATTTATTAGCTAATTAACTAGTTAAGAGTAAAAGGATTATATATTAAATTATATAAAAGAAAATTAAAGTCGGTAAGACGGTCTAGATATCTAATTTATAATAAAGATACCTATAAAAAAGGGCTAGTCTTAGCGTACTATCTAAAAAGTAATATATTAAAGATTAAGGATAAATAGTATATATAGATATATAGTATAAGATAAAGAGGGAAATAAAAAGTATAAATAGCTTATTTAGATAAAATCTATAACCGATATAATTAATAATAAATAAAGAGAGTCTAATAGTAGATAAAGCC